AAAGACATATGGTTGGGTTCAAGTTTGGTGAATAAGCCAAATTTAAGGTATGAAGTTCTATAGGAAGTTTCAGTTGTACTGATGTTTGGCAAGCAAACATTAACTTGCAGACAACTTTTTTCCATCTGTTAGAACAGTTTTTGACATTTGAATCTGCTTCGAACTTTCTCACCCAGAACACATCATTTATGCATCTTCTATTAGATTTAGGTTAGGTGAGGAGATATAGCTCTTCTTATTTTTTTATTTGATGAATATTGTTCTTTCCTGTTTTCTACCAAATCTAATAGTTATGAAATGAAAATTTGAATGTCTTTTTTTTTTTTTTTTTTTTTGATTTAGGTTTAGTGGAGGAAAGATATAGCTCTTCTTTATTTTTTTATTTGATGAATATTGTTCTTTTCCTGTTTTCTACCAAATCTAATAGTTATGAAATGAAAATTTGATGTCTTTTTTTTTTTTTTTTTTTTTTTTTTTTTTTTTTTTTTTTTAATTAGGAGGTGTAATCCTTTCGGGCATAGAGCGTAAAAATTTTTAATCTTTAAACACAGGGATTGAAGCAGCTTACCACCCACTAACACCTTGTTAATCTTAAATCTATTTGGATAATGGAATATTAAAAATTTATATTTAAATATACCATAAAAATAAACTAAACATCAAAATCAAAATATTCAAAAATCAGTTATTTCAGTATTTGAATGAATTTGCTATGGTTTTTTTTTATAAGGATATGTTTTTATTTGTATCTGATGTGTATACATTCGTATTGTCATATAAAAACAGAATATTCCAAATGAATCAATTTTAACATTGGAGACGAGTCTATGAACAGTCATACTTTACCGCCAATGTTAGTTAGACTAAGACTACGCTTGGCACTAAAGGGAAAGTTAGCTCACCCTCATTTCTTTTTCTATGAAATATATATAGAATTAAATATAAAAAAACAAGAACTGAGGGACCCTAATCTTAAGGAAAGATGAGTTTAACGAAATAAGAAATTTAAAAAACATGTGATTAACAGGTAATCAAATATGGCTCCTAAAAAATTTAGGTTTTATCGCTCAGTTGACGACACAAGCTGAACATGTGGAAAAAATTTTTAGATTCGATCCTCACTAAACGCATCTGCAGAAAAGAGGGAAGAGTATTAATTGTGACTATGCCCCGAATCGAATTAAAGGATCCTTGATAATAGAGTCTGGATACCAATAATTTACACTAAATATGGCTCCTGAAAACAAATTCTATATGACTTTAGAATCATACACATAAAAAAAAGGCAAGGACTTATCATGATCAAAACGTGGAAAAACAGTTCCAAATTGGAATAAGTTATCATTACAAATTGAAAGACTTCAAGTGCATTCCACAAATTCACAACTATCAAATCAACTCTTAATAAAGAAAATAAATTTATCGCAACATCTTCTTTCGTATTGACATCAATTCCGTTTTTGGAGTTCTTAAGTATTCTTTTAACATTCTGATTTTGCAGATATTGTCCGTTAAATTCATACGTACCTTGTTTTTATTCATTGAGAGGTCCAACATGATTGGTATTTTTCTTTTTTTATTAAATTGGTAAAAATTTTTGTGATTGAGAGAAATTAAATTCGAGACCTCTAACTCTTTACATAAATAAAAAGACTAATCAGACCACACCCGAGTGATTCATATTTAGCTTATCTAATAAGTATGTATTTATAGATACATCTATAAATATTTTGTTAAAAGAAAGAAAATGACATATACATATCTGTTGTTACAAGGTACAATTAACAAAGCTCCAATTCTATAGCTATCAAATTGACACAACTTACCCTAGAAGGAAAATTCCAAATTGGAAAACCTTTGTCCAACTTTGGGTACCTCTAGAAGTTGGAAGAGGCAAATTTGGATTGAGATTTTGGTCTGTGTCAATTCACCGCACTGTTAGCGTTTTTGTAGTTAGTAAAATTGAAGTTGTTGACCCAAATACTTTGTGACCAAACCCAAATATTACCGAATGGGCCCATTTTTGTCCCAAACGTATAAGACATTTTGGCAATGCCAACCTTGCAATTCTTTTTCTTTTTTTTATTTGGGAATGGGAAACAAGAAGATAAAGATTTGACGTTCCTCCAACTATTTGAAGCCAACAAGGGAAAGAATTGAAATGGATCAGAATTAGATCGGAAAAGATTCCGACTAGAACTGACTAGAGGATATTAATTTTTGAGCCCGACCAAGACTGACGGTGGGAAGGTTGGTCTCCAGTCAAGGCCGAAGCCTGAATATAAATAGAAGGGAGAAACCATATGACATACAAGTGAAGGGGCGTGAAGTTGCTAGAGTGCTTCGTTCAATTTACCTCTCCTTCCGAGAGGAGGGGGCAATTTACCTCTCTTCCAATGAGTAGCTTCGTTCCTATTTCTAATCGCTTCCTCAAGATTAAAATCAAATTTTGAACTTGTTAAGGAATAAAGTTCAATTTACTTCCTCAATTTATATTTACAATAGAAAAAATTTAAAATCGGCTTTTTAATTCAATCGCGATGCCAAGAGGCTTTTTAAGCAAATTGCACCTGAATTTAAGTTCAGCATACAAATTTAATTAAAGGCGATTTCAAATTTTTTTTTCATCCTAAAATACAAGTTAAATTGTAAATTAAATTAAATAATCAACTAGCCGACTAATTTGGAATAAAGTTATATTGTTGTTTTTCAAACCATCAGTTCAATTAATAAGAATAAATTTGCGTGTTATCTTCAACAATTCAATTTATTCCAACTTCAAATATAGTTTATCCAAACGCTTCCTACTGTCTTTTTTTTTTTTGGTCAAATAAAGATGTAAGTTACAGAATTCAGCTGGACTTGGTCAATGGCTATTGCCGTCTGGGCATATGAGCATAGCAAAATACGGAGAAAGGATGGAAACCTTGCAAGAATTATATTTAAATTAACTGTGACCAATTTTATTTTTATTTGTACTTCCTTTTACTTCTTATTTTTATTTAGTTTAAGCTTCAGTTTTGTATGAATGAACTCAAAATTTGAAATTCACTTACAGATGAATTTCAATGTTTATAATAAATTTAAAAATCGAAAATTCATTTACTTTTATTCATAGAAGATCATTTATAATAACATTAGGAAAATGAAGTTTTGTTATAAAATATTGGATCATTTAAAGTTACGACATTTATTTAAAATTTCACATTTTTTAATTTTTCTGGTCGCTAAATTGCTCTCCTTTTTTTTTTTTGCTAAGCTGGGTTTTTTTGGGTATACATGCAACAAAATGTTCTCCATTTTGCAATTCAACTTAAAAAGGATTCACTAAATATATTATTGTTATATTGCCACGTTGAAAATTCTTGCAAGACTAGTTTGGGAATTGCTAATAACAAATTTTATAACCCTAAAACTTGTAACCGGAATGGAAAAGCTTCAAATGTAAAATATTAACAAAACCATGCTTAAAAAAGTTACCAGATTGAACCAACAAATTACTAATTTTGGTAACACCAAATATGTTAGGTCCAAGACCAAATATTTTTTGCTAATCAGAGGATTCAGAAAGTGGAGATGTTTGGATGCCGAGAATCAACAGGAAAGAGGAACGAGAAACAAATCGAGAGAGGAGAGAGAAAGGAGCATATATCCGATTGCATTCGAATTATCTAAGAAGCAATTATAGTAATGCATTTCTTATAGTGTATTCATATTTACAGCTAACGCCTTCTTAACAAAGCTGCAGAAATACAACTCATACAGCCAATTACAACTGCAAGTCCTAACCATTACTAGGTCCTAGCCTAACCAACTATTGTTTGCTAAACAGAAAATATAGAGAGGAGAAGATGTTTGGATGTCAAGAATCAGCAGGAAAGAGAAACGTAAAGAGAAAAGGGAAATTTCTGAATATTATATTCAATTATCTAAGTAGCAATTTCAGAAATACATTATTTACACTAATGGGCTTGTATTTACAGTTACAGCTAAAGCCCTCTTAACAAACCTATAGAAATACAATTCATATTAGCCCAATTACGACTATAATCCCAAAAAAATTATCCATAAAAGAGACGGTTCTAACTATTTGAGATCTAAATCATCAGTATAAACAATTATAAAGAGGATGATGACTCAAGTCATTGTTCTCTTTGTATGACCTAATATCATTTTCACCATCTGATAGTTCTTTTCCAAAAAACAATTTAATGGTGCATTCTTTCCAGTGATAAACAGGAATTTATGATCAGAAAAGACCTCATAAAGAGTATGTAAATGCCAAACGCATAAAGAGCTAGTTTAATTTTCCTGTTGGATATGATTTAATTATTAGACATGCATGTATGAAAAGCATCAGACCCGTTACACCCGTAGACTAGGGAGGATCATGGATCAAATCCGCCAAGATATCCATGTTCATATTCAATCAACGTAAGATATGACATTATCCATTTTGTTTATTATGTTTAAATGAAAAACAAATTTAATAAAAAATTCATATTATTTATTATATAAAAACATAAAATTCCTGACAATAATTGAAATTATTGTATGCTATATTGTATGTTATGATAACTAGAAGAGACTTTATCAATTGTCAAGCACAAAAAAGTTTAAGCTAGTAGCTATAATGTTCAACACTGTGTTCTTTTATAGAGATTATAAAACGTAAAAAAAGGTGAAAGAGTTAGAAATAATGATTTAAAATGTAAATAGAAAAGAAAGAAGGGAAAGAAAAATAAAAGCAACCGCATATCTATAACTACAATCAATAATTTTAGAAATATAAGAAAAAAGCAAAATTAGCAGTCACGGATCGGATTCGGATATCATGCTATATCCTTATCCGATCCGTTGCGAAATGGATGGATAACGGATGGGTTTTATCCGCTACATTACGAAATGGATCGGTTTTTATCCACTCCATTTGGATCAGATCAGACTATATTTCCAACAAGATTAGGTCATTTGATCATCCCTAACGTACACAATACACATTGGTTAAGTGCTCATTTCCATAATGAACGTGTATCAATGTTTCACAGCTTTGCAAACTCAATGGAAAGGAAACAAGAACAAGCTTTCAGAAAATAAACATCCAACTTGTCTAGTTACTCTAGTGCTCACAATACCACAAACTGAAGCAACAAACCCTGAAATCTGAAGAATAAAATACATAACCAATCAGAGATAAATATCAAAGTTTGAAAACTGGCTGAAAAATACAGGCTATGTAATGAAAATAATTGCTACATTGCAATGCCAACAACAACAACACATGCAAATGCACAAATTGAAGATACCAATTTGACCTGTTTAAACAGCTTCGGACCATATCCAACATAAAGTAATACCTTCCAGAGACTATTAATATATTATTGTACTGAACATCTACACGATAGCTCAAGAACTGCTACATGGATAGAGCACTCTTCAAGACACCGTTCTTTAATCCTGCATAGAAGTAGAATGTCTCAGTCATTAGCATAGGCAAATCCATAGCTAGCCAACATGTAAATATTGCACTGTTTTATCTAAAACTGAAGCGGGTGCGTTCTCCATATGGGCATCTATTAGCCTAACTAGTAATCAGGCTACTGGAGCAATAGGCAAATCCCAAGTCATACAGGGAGCTGCAACCAACTGGAAGCCCAACTGAGTGGAATTTTGTAGCAAGACCATATTATTGCATAACTAGTCAACTGACAATAGCTATCTACAGTTCTATACAGTTTATCCAAACACATTTACATAGACAAACACATAATTTACCGCTTATAAAAGCCCTCAAGTGGAAGATACGATTCTACAACATTATAGAGCTCTCATAACAAGAGAATCAATGTTATGTTTACTTAAAGTAAATACCATGCAGTCATCACAAGATAGTTTGCCAAGTCCTAATACATGCAGATTAACTATATATATGTGCTACTTAATCTTCCAATCAATCAACATCCTTCATCTTAGAGAAATTCTTTTGCTAATAACTAAAAGGTTGTTTTCTGCACTGAAGAGGTATGTCTATGATTACAGCTTTATTTATTTTGAGAATTTAACTTCAGATTTTCCATTGCAATTATAGAAAAGCTTATGAAATTAAGTTTTTTCCCATGATAAGAATTTAAAGTCTAAAATTAGATATTTCATTATAAGCTCAATGAGAAATCAGTGGAGGAACATCTATGAGGAAACACTAATTTCCCCACGGTAACTCTCACATTGGGTAGGAGCACCCAAGCATTAATGACATTATACTCTAGAAAATCAAGCCACTACCTAATAAGACTGTGCACTTCCACAATTTACCATGCAATAAAAAAAAAAAAAAAAAAAAAAGCATTAATTGACATTTTATACTCCTAGGAAAATCAAAGCAACTAAACCTAATAAGACTGATGCACTTCCACCAACATTTACCATGCAATAAAAAAAAAAAAAAAAAAAAAAAAAAATCATCTATGGTTTGATTATTAGCAGCAAGACTACAATTACCACAATTTAAGATGTGGCAAAAGGCGTTATGCCTTAAGCCAATCCAGCACAGACATATTGTCCAAAAAGAAACGTGGAAGAGAATCATTTTATAAAATGCAAGTAGAGTAGCGTTTTATATGTTGGCAAAGATCTATAGCAGAAACAACACTAGTTTTAGCCATTAAAAACAATTACAGTAAGCAGGATTTTGCATCCTTCCAAACTTTAATTCATCTGAAATCACGCCATTAACGAAAATTTATATCACATTGGCTAAGGATCAAGAACATCTGATAAAGAGAATACTGCCTGACTCATTCAATTAAATTGACAACAAAAAACTAAAACAGAGTAAAAACGCCCACCCTCCGATCGTCATTTCATCATCACCACCATTCTTCCCTTTGTTTTTCTTGAAGATGCGATGTCAATGTACCACCCTCCTTGCTGCATGGGGCAATACTTCATTGCCGCAAAAAAGGACGTACTCCGAACATTAATATTTCCTTTTATCAGTGTAACCTAGCTGCCTCTTCCTCTGAGTTTCAATGTCAAAAAAAAAAAAAAAAAAAAAATCATCTATGTTGATTATTAGCAGGACTACAATACACAATTAGATGTGGAAAAGGGTTATCTAGCCATCAGCAACATATGCAAAAGAACGTGGAAGAGAATCATTTATAAAATGCAAGTAGATAGGTTTTATATGTGCAAAGATTATACAGAACACTAGTTTTTAGCATTAAAAACAATTACAGTAAGCAGGATTTTGCATCTTCCAATTTAATCATCTGAAATCACGCCATTAACGAAAATTATATCACATGGCTAAGACAAGAACATGATAAGAGAAATGCCTGATCATTCAATTAAATTGACAACAAAATAAACAGAGTAAACGCACCTCATCGTCATCATCATCACCACCATCTTCTTTGTTTTTCTTGAGGCGGGTTGTACCACCCTCCTTGCTGATGGGCAACTTCATTGCCCCAAAAGGAGTATCCACATTAATATTTCCTTTTATAGTGTAACCTGTGCCTCTTCCTCTGATCATGTCCCAAAGTGCAGAGCCAAAATCTTTAGGCCTGAAGGTAATAGGAACATCAATGTGACTAATTCCATTTTTCTCAAGTTTTGTAGATTTGGACAGTTCAGCACCTCCAATGCTCACATCAGCTAGCCAAACCTCATAGTCCAATGCATTGAGGCCCAAGTCAAAATCATTCATATTTTCTAACTTCAAGTGAAGCACTGCCACAGTTTCTTCGAAGGAAAACCTCTCAAAGTGTATTTTCTCAATATCAACATCAGGCTTGTAAGGAATTGGAATCTCTCCAGTTTTCTCAAGGGGCAGAGTTATCCTTCCAATAACTGGAACATCAACAATAAGGTCAACCTTAACCCTGTAAGGAATGATACTTCCAGGCTTAATGTCATCATATGTGTTTTTTATGTCCGCATAAATCAAAGTAACTGGTATTTTGACCGTTTCTTCGCCATGTGCATGAATAGTTCCAGCATCTGGAATTAACCCTGAAACAAGTTTCCGTCCATCACTCTCAATTAAGTAGTTGATGTCAATGAGAGGGATTGGAATAGGGTTGGGATTCTTAACAAGCACATCAACAACAAGCTCTGCCTTTTCTAGATTGATTGAAGGAATGTGAATCCCAGTAACATCTGCAGTTGGCTTACCAAAACCAATTGCTTCCTCAATCTTTTCACCAATATCATGAATGAAGTCCTTTACCTTGTCCATAAATCCACCCTCCTTCTCTTCATCTTTGTCATCCTTCTTGAGATCTTTCTCCTTTACATCTCTATCAAGGACTTCTGGCTTATCAGAAGATGCCATACCTTATAACAACAAATTGCATATGTTAAAACATAATCGAATATTCAGGGAACAGAACATACAGCAATAGGAACCCAGCTACACAACCAAAAAATGGAGGAGACATGCTGAGGAATTAGGCGACTAATATAACAAAACAACTGCAACCCACATTTTAATCCTATGAAAAGTCAATGGTTCCCTAAGCACTGAAATGGGGAAAAGTCAAGGTTGCTGCTACTCTCTTACTAACACTTTCAAAGCCTATGCAGAGTATAGCATTTTACATCAGATGAAAAAAGTTATACAATCAAGTGCAAAATCATCTAAAAATAAACAGTTAAAACAAGATATGAAAGCACACCATTGAAACGACAGCACTTCAAGCTCAAAACTACACAGATTTACAAAGAAATGAAACACAAACAATAGCTGCACGTTTCAAGCATTTTTAGCAATTTTCCATAGTCTTCTGCCTCTTCAATTCAGATCTTAGGAAGTGCAGAAACAAGAAAATAAAAGCATCAAACATATTCCCTTCCCTTGCATTTCGTTTCTCTCCTACTTTCCAAGATCTAAACAACGACCGAGCAATTCAAATTCCAGGAAAAGTTTATAATTGCAAATCATCAAATCATATGCCATAAATTAACCAAATCATCATACCAATGTAATTGACACACAAATAAACACCAAAAAAAAAAAAAAATCAAATCAAAAAATCTCACATTAGATCGAAATCTCAAATTAATCAACAAAGCAGAAATTACAAATTCAAATCAGAACAAAAAAGAATCAAACAAGTAAGCGATCCATTGAGATCACCAAACCGATAAAAATGATCAAATTAAAAAAAAGAAAAATTTATATAAAATAAAAAACCATACAATTTTATCATAGATTTTGCTTTGAGTTTACCTGAAAATGGAAACGGGGGAGAGAGCTTGACCGATCGAACTACCAATCTATTGGAATGAGCAGGGAGTGTAAAGTGTGAACAGGGATCAGGATGAAATGGCGGGGTTTTATCGTAGGGAAAGGCTTAATTGCTACACGTCAGATTGCCGACTAAAAAAGATCAGCACGAGACTAGACCACGCGTCTCCGCGGAGGGCTGTCCAATCCATGTGATTAATTAGTTTAACAAATAATCTCTTGTCCCTTTACGGTTTTGGACACCGTCCTGGGCTGATCTCCAGCCCTAGATTTGCCCCGCAATTGCAAAATAAGCGGCTAGGATTCTGCCAGTACATCATCTGCTACTTAGTGCAGGTTTTATTATTCCTCCGCTCCGTTTTTATTTGTCGTATTAGTACTGCTCTTGTCCATTTTTACATATCCTTTCAATACCTCTCGACCAGTAGGAATGATGGACCGATTTTACATTACATTTAGATTAAACGGGAAGGCATAATTTGTCGCTGTACTTTCGCTGAAAAACCTTGTGGCCCTATAAATTGCGACTTCAGAGGAGAATGAGTTCATCTTAATCATCCAACGTGACTTTTATTTTAACCTTTTTCTTTTCTTTTTTTTTTTTTTTAAATTTTAAGTAAATTTTATTGCTTTTGGATTTAGAGAAGGAAACCCAGAAAAGAAAAGGAAAAAAGATTTGAACTTCAATAATAATTCAATTAGCTTTTCATTTTCATAAGTATTTTCTGTTTGTGTTTGTTTTGTTATTCTTTTAACACACAATAACTCTCTCTCTCTCTCTCTAAGAACACCTCGTTCCTTTCATGATCAATCATCAATCGCCAGTATGCTACAACTTCTTGAATTGAGAGATTCAAGGGAGGGAACAAAGAAAGAAAAGATCTTTACTGGATTGCGCATGCAGCTTCTGGGTTGTTTCTGTTTGTTGGTGCGGTTTGCTCTGCTCTTGAGTTGCATAAGAGAATTTTGAAGATTTTTTTGGGACTGTTTCTGATGGATTTTGCTTCTTTATTGAAAATTTTAACTCGAAATAGGGAATTGAAAGGTAGTTTTTGGTTCTTGGGTGTTTCTCTCCAGTTTTTAATGTTTGTTGTTTGGTTTGGGATTGAAGTTGATGCAATTTACTTGGCAGATTAAGGGTTTGATTCATTTTTTTTGTGAAATTAGAGGAAAATCAGGTGAAAAAAACATGTGGTTTTTGTTCAAAAAAGGGTTTTGATGAAGTATGTGGTTCTAAAATGATTTCTTGCGAGTGTAATTCGTTGGAATTCTTGGATAATTCAAAGTCTGGAACTAACGGTAATAATTTGTTCACAAAGAAGGAACCTGTGAAGACAAATGGTGATTCAAAAGATGACAATGAGGAAGTCGACAATTTTGTTGTAGATGAGGAATTTGGTGTAATGGCATTGAGAAGATTAGTTTTTATTTTTATTTTATTTTTTTTGTCTTTTTTTGAGTACTATTCGGAGTTAATAAAAAAAATGCTAAAAAACGTGTGTTGATCTATATTAGAGCTGCTGTGTGTGTGATAATTACGGTATGCAGGAGCTTTTTGGCCGGCTCATGCCAAGTACAACTCACGCGTTCAATGTAACATAACACAGTGAAGGATGTAATATGTACAAAAAAAAAAAAATGTATAAGATCATAGTGAATTTTTGGCAAATTATAGAGGGCCATAAGGTTTTCCGGTGAAAGTACATGAGGTAAATTATGCATTTGGTCTTAAATGGAATGAAGTTACTTTTTACATCTCTATTTGGTTTTTTTTTCTATTTTCGTGTCTGAACGGATAATTGTGATAATTAAGTGTCTAAATTTGTATTTTTTTTTTCAATTTGATATCTCCTAACAACATAGAAAACTAGAATGTCTAATGAAACTAAATAAGACCACATTTATTTATGTGTGCATTTACGTGGCGTGACATTTAATCTGCATAGATTGACAACGTGAATAAATCCGAAACATATAAAATGCAGTTAATCCTGGTACGAAGTCTGGAGTAATCCATTATTCCACTGTCTTGGGCTATTTACAACTAGCCAATTAAGAATTTTCAGATGTCCTGTTACTAGCAAGTGCATCAAAGATGCCGTCATCGATTAATAAAATGTCCCATTTAACCTCAATTTATTGAGTGTGCAAATAATTATCCCAACCCACCGTCTCATTCTCAATTCACAATCTAAACCCCCCTTTCATCCTCTTTCCCCCTTTCTGCAACAACGATATTCTTCTCAATATCAAATCTAATCCTCTAAGAAATGGAGAAAAGCCTCTCAAGCTGGTGAATGTGACTGTATCAACCTTTGACAGTTTTTTTGAGAAGTTTAGATTAGAAGCACCTACGAACAAGGCGAATTTAATCCTCTTCTTGGCTGATAAAGGCCCATCTACCAATCTCAGCCGGTGCCCTTGCATGTTTCTTTCTTTTTTCTTTTTTAATTTAGATTTTAAGTTCCCAGTGAATAGAAACAAGTACCCATTTTGCAGTTCTTCTGGAAGTTATGATTTTTTGCATTTAATTTTCTTCTGGAATTTATTGGTTCAGCTACTGAGTTTTGTCATTTTTAATTCATGAAGAACGGGTAACCATTATATAATCTTTCAAAGTTATGGCATTTTGCAATTTTTTTCATATGAGTTTTATTGCATTCTGGATACAGGCATTAAACAATGATAGGGTTTTTGTTGAATTGAGTTTGAAGAATTAACGATTTTTCATACATTGGTTTCTAAAATTTTAGCTAAATTTGAAGAGAAAGGGGAAAGAGGAAGAAAGGGGCTTTAGATTCGTGAATGAGAAGGTGGGTTGGGGTAATTGTTTAGGGATAAATGGGTCATTTTATTATTGTTATCGCGCTATCACCTACTTGGATTAAACGTTAGGCCTACGTAAGTGGACATGTAACTAAATATAAGTTCCATTTAGTTCACCTAGGACACATAACTAAATATAGATTTCATTTAGTTTATTAGACATTCTGACTATCCATATGATCAAGGGACATCAAATTGAAAAAAAATGCAAATTTAAATACTCATTTATTACAAATTTCCATTCAAACACAAAAATAGAAAAAATTGTCAAGTACAAATACCAAAAATAACATTATCTCATATTAAATTGAAGTATGATCACATCAAGCTGATATATAAAATTACTAAAAAGTCTAAATTTTATTTTTGAAAAAAAAAAAAAATCAAATTGACTCGGGTAGCATCGAAGATATCCATATCTGCTTCATTTATAAATGATCGGATCATTTTATTCAATCAGATCAAAGTCGAAATGAGCATCCCTGCTCTCAACTTTATTGCTCTTCAAAAGAAATTATTATACCTCTAATATTACGAATTTTGATAGTAGTCTGTGGCTTTCCACACCTTCCAAATGATTTTGTTTGAGAAGAAATTTCAGAGAAAGTTCATCTCCAACTAACCTCTTATGAAGAACATGACTAGCGTCATATATGAGTTGTTTATTTTTTGATTTATGCATGCCAAAAGGAAAGGAACACTGTTTGTGTGCAATAATGTTTCATAGTATTTATTTACCTGTTGAATCAAATTTAATTGATGCTAAGTAATATATATCAGAGAAAGTTCATCTCCAACTAAACCTCTTATGAAGAAAGGAACATGGACTAGCGTCATAATTATGCAGTTGTTTATTTTTTTTGATCATTTTATTTGCATTGCCAAAAGGAAAGGGAAACACCTGTTTGTGTGCAATAATCGTTTTCCATTAGTATTTATTTACCTGTTGTAATTCAAAATTTAAGATTGATGCTAAGTAAATACTATATATATATATACCTATATATATATATATTAGTGGTGACCTATTCTTTTTGGGACACAAGGAAGGTACAATCATTTGAGATTACCCAGTAATTTGCCCTTCCATTTGTATATTTTGCTTATCAAATACATTCTGTTGAAATTCTGTATTCTGGACAGTACAGAAGTTGGAAGGGAGTTGTGAAAATGTAATGCTAAAGATGGCAGGAAACACATGCGGAGACATTTGGAAGTCATGGCAAGTTCTGGTTAGTAATTTGCAGCCATCAAAAAGAGATATTTGCTACCCCTTAAGCCGTTAAAATGGAAGATATATATATAGTGGACTATCTTTTTGGACAAAGGGAGTACAATCATTTGAATACAGTATTTGCCTTCCATTTGTTATATTTGCTTATCAAATACATCTGAAATTCTGTATTCTTGGACAGTAAAAGTTGAAGGAGTTGTGAAATGTAAGGCTAAGATGGAGGAACACATGCTGGAGATTTGGAGTTCTGTTAGTAATTTGCAGGCATCAAAGAGATATGCTACCTTAAGCCCGTAAATGGAAGATAAAGACAGGATAGGAAGTTAGTTGCCCTTTAGTATTGGAGGGGAGTGGTTACATATTGTAATATGCACGCGCTTAATTATAATTTGTGGGAACTCAAATCAATGTGCAGAGAGAAGGCACGATCAGCATTACCTCAGCTTGGGTTAACCTACAGTTGGCCCCTCATTGGATTTTAGGGTGCAACTAATCTCTAAGCTGTATTTTAAAGTGCGATTGCAACAATACCAAAAACAGAGTGCACAACAAGACCCAATGTTCAGGGTACTAATGCTAATAAACCATATAACAGTTGATATTTCAGCAGATAAATTCTCGTGCCCATTGAAGCATTTCTGAAGTAGGATGTGTCCCTCTCAGACTGCACTCAGTGAGACAAATGCAGATCACACAGTGAGACAAATATATATTATATATTTGAATGATTACAACTAAAAACTCAAGTAAATTAATACCTTCTTCATCTACTCATTCCTTAATGCAATGTTTCTATCCCCTTCTCACTCTACTTTCTCTCTAAGTGACTATCAACTGCTGCTATTGCTATCTCCTAGATGAACTTCGAGAATTGCTCGTAGGTAGTCGAGCTGCTCAAAACCACCTTGAAGCTCCTCCCACTAGAAGAAAAAAAAGTCAAAAAAATAAAAATAATTTTAAAAATAATATCAACTTGCACATATTTTTTTAAACAGTTTGTGCTCATCTTAAGAGGATGGTTTAGAGGAGTAGATTTTCTTTGATCGGGATACGTATACTTATGCAAAATACCCTCGCTAGTAAGCTATGAATTTCAAATCTTGGGACTGTCACATTTTCATTTGCCTACTTTTTGAACTAGACGAGGAATAATTTGATCAGACAGAAATTAAAAAGAAAAGTTTCAGCAATACGATTTAATGGATCAAAGTTGATATTCTTCTTAAAACATTTAACTCTCATAATATATGCATGTTCATTTGGCAGTCTATTAACTTAATGTTTTCCTATGTTTTGCTTCTCAGTACAAGTTTGAATAAGTAAACATAATGATACAGGAATGGGAGATATGGGAACTCACCTCTTGATGAGATAGTGACACCAACTTCCAACCAGCAGCAGAAACATACCTCCTCTTTAGCATGGCATGCCCTAAGGGTACTCCTGCAGGACATATCAACAGATGAGATTTTTCTTTTAAAAAAGAGGCTAAAAATAGGCAAGTGAGCTATTATGTGAGTGAGTTAGACATCAGCAAGTTGGAGATGGTATCATATACACCATAATGTTACCAACCGGTATTCCTAGAGAAATGAGATGGTCCATCAATCTCCAAAGCAATCTTTTTATCAACAACAACGGCATCCAGAGTATAGCCGTCCACAACGTATTCTCTCACCCAATCAAGGCCAGTGCTCACAAGAAGGCGTGCAACTTCCTTCTGAAATGATGAGGTTACTTTCTGATTAAACCTTTTAGTTTTACCAGCACGTGCAATTTTCTCCCTTAGATCAGCCCCAAGAGCCAACTGGAGATGTGGGTACTCAAGTTTCAAGCATTGATCTACAAGATGAACCTGAGAAGCAAACATTATATCCTCTCTGTACTGCTCTGAAATCCTTTGCTCTTCAAAATGATTCAGAGTTTTCCAAACATTAGAAAAGAAAGGCCTGTTCAATTCTCCAAAAACAGCATATGACCAAGCTATATTCCCAAGCTGATCCCTATTAAATCTGAGAAGTGGAGGGCCTGAAACCTTATTTAGATCTCGAATGCCTTCCACACTGCCATCCACATCAGAGGTTGACGTTTTGACCTTTAAGCTGCATTCAAACTGGTTTGAATGCTGGAAAGCATTATCCAAAGAATTCAGCAAGGAGTCAGCTTGCTCATATAGAGAAGCAAATGCCCACAAAACCTGAGCAAGCTCCTGCTCTTGGAAAGTGTGAACTATATCCGATGCTCTTTTTGATAATGCTGAAAAAAGCTCAGGAGCAGAGTGCTGCATTGAAGCAAAAGCACCGGCAACATTAGCAACATTCTGAGAATTGAACTCATTAACCTTGGTCAATGCCACCTCTGCAACTCTATCCATTTCTGACAAGTAAAGCAGCTCACCTCCTATCTTAGACAATGCCCATGATATATTCGAGATACCTTGACCTGAGCATTCTGGCAACGCTGTCATTGCAATACCCACTAACATCGACATCTCTTTCTGACGTGCAAATGCCAGCCTGCGAGTTCTCATCATAGAAACCTTCTCCATGTTCTTAGCAATTCGATGAAGCGCAGTGGCAATATTCAAAGGAGACAGAGGAGAAGGGCTCAACCCTTTTCCAACGGCCATAATCATCTCAGCAGTAACCTCCAAAACTTCCTCTGCAGTTTGTGCTTCAACAATTTCTCTATTCAAATTAACCTCTTTTTTTCTATCAGAAGGCCCCGAAAATTGTGACAACCTCTCAAGAAACTCTTCCATGGTCTTTTCCTTCTTTTCTTGAAACATACCACCTGCCATTGAACTCACTTTACTTCTAAGATCATTAGTATTATCACCAGGCAAGTCCATTATATTTTCAAATTCAACATCCTCCGCCAGATCAAAATCAGAATCATCTTCTAAATCCTTATTTTCCTTGCTAATCTTACCTTTGCTAACCATTTTTTTCTTATTCTTATTCTTTTTCTTTTTCTTCTTCACATTAACCAAATCTTCCATCCTCTGACTCAACCCTCGTGCCTCAATTGACTTCAGAGCAACCTTCCTTGCTCTCAAACACCAATCCATCCCATCAGTATCTACAAGCAATTTTGACTTTTTTGGTTTTTTCTTCTTCGGTGCTTGAAAACCCAAAGGGTCAAGCTCCCCAAGAAATTCCAATTCCCAATCCTCTACTTCCTTATCAGAATCACCACCCACAACATTTCTAGCACCAACAGAATCATCTTTACTCAAACTCACACACTTTATGGGTCTAAAACCAAGTTTGAGATTTCTATGAAGAAACCCAGTTCTTAATTTCATTAATTGAAGATTATGAAGTGTATTAGGATTAAAAATGGAGGCCTTTAAGCAACTTCTACAAGGAAAAGGGTTTAATAACCCTTCCATACTTTTCTTTCTTATATTTGTTCTATGTTTTAAGGAAAATAATTACAAAGCCAAAACAAACTCTGAAAAGCAAAAAGGTTTTTAATTTAACTTTGGCTCTATTGCCGCGAAGAGGAAAGATTGTTGGATAACAGAACTAACCCATTAATGGAATCCATTAGAAAAGAAGAGATGCACCTTTCAATTGTTCAATATTTGCAGTGTAGACGTAGCTTAGCACAGTGGCGGTGACTGGTGAAGGAGGAGGACTGGAGGAGGAGAAGCTGTGTGTAATTGGATAAGAACAGAGAGGACGTATTCAGCGCAGATGATTTAACCGGTGTCGTTTTGTTCTGTGTGCTTACGTATCTGTTTTTAAAAAATAATAAAAATATTACTTTTCGAAAAAGAAAAAAAAAAAGAAAATTATAAACACATATCCCGCCGTGTTTATAATTATAGGAAAAATTACTATTATATCTCTGTATAATTGGAAATATGACCGGTCCATCCCTTTGTTTCATGAAATGCATTTGACAGTCTCCATCTTTTACTCTCGTCACATAGTCCAGTCTTTCCATCCATAATTACACATTTTTGTAGTTAGTTAAAAATAAAAAGAGCAGTTAGAGGAGTGATAAAAAAAAAAAAAAAAAATCAAAGTACCCTTATTAACAATATAAATGCACGTGCTATATACACTAAATACACTTTTACCTATAATGGAAATTTAGTCTCGTAAGGAAGAGAGACGCTAGGGTTTGAAGGAAGAAGATGACTTCTTCGAGTGGTGGAGACAGTATATGGGACGGCAGGTTCCTCACTAGAAGTTCTGATCAACTTTCTGGGAAGTCAACTTTCCAAAAAATAGATCAATTTGAATCAAACGAGGCATAACATTAAAACTCTTTTTTTTTTTTTTTCTTTTTAATCTCTTGTCCATAAATATCATTCATCTTTTTCTTCAAAAATTTTTTAAATGCCTTTCTCCTATCCTTTATTTTTTTAGCTTTTTTTTTTTTTTTTGTAATTTTTATTTTTGTTTCCCTTGTCTTTTATCCCTTAGCTTTTTTTCCCCTAATTTTACTTTACAGGGATTTAAGTCAATAAATAATATAAAGAGAATTTAAAATTTGACATTAGATGATAATGAAATTACTTTTTATTAAAAAATCTTTAATTTTAATTTGTTTATTTGAATCTAACTCCAACAAATCTTATTCAGTGTCAGATTTCTTCAACTTCATGGAAATTTAAAAAAATGCATAAACTACATGAATAAGTAGGCTAAATCATTAATCAAATTGAAATCAAGAAAATTTAGGACAATAAAAAGAAAAATTAATTAGATTTTTCATTAAAACTATTTATCAAATTTAAAGATTATATCAAAGAATGTCATTCGTTTGCCATAACCAAATATTTTCAGTTTTTCGTAAAGGTTACGTCAGAGAATAATACTTCAACTAAATAGTAAGTCTTAGTTTACAATTAACAAAGATAAAAAATAAAAACTTAAGGCCAACACAATGTTGATGGTTTTCTCTATATTAGTCATAGGAGTTTAATCTCTGATCATCGACGGAGTCGAGGAAGGCAGATGAATCAGTAAATCAGACCAGATTGAAAGATCGGTGACTACATACTATGAGATATGACATTCTAAAGACTCGAGGGTCCATCCAAGTGAGCCGCAGACTCTCATGTCGTCACCCTCGATTTCTTATAATAAAACCTTCCTTGGAAGTTAGAAAAAATCTGCAAAATATAATCAACCATGGACTTGTTCTCACCAAGAGTCTTGACTAAGTATTGGTTCACCGAAAATATTATCAATAAGTCAGGATGGCCGAGTGGTCTAAGGCGCCAGACTCAAGTTCTGGTCCTCGTGAGAGGGCGTGGGTTCAAATCCCACTTCTGACAATTAATTTAATTTAATTTTTGGCTCTTTGTCTATCAGTTGTCGACTTTTGGAAATATCAGGCATCACCTAAATCATTGTACACTCTAACCCCTTATTTATAATAAAGGAATTCGACAAAATTTTAGTGGAATTGATTTAGGAATTTAAAATTTTGTGTTTGGAATAAAAAAAATAAAGATTTCAAAATTATTTAGGAATTAAATTTTATGAAATTAAAAATAATTATATCAAATTTTAAAAAATTAGGTGGAACTTGCAAATAAATTCTACAAATTTTAGTGGAATTCATTTAGAAATTCAAGTTTTTGTGTTTAAAATGAAAAAAAGTTTTCAATTTTAAGAATTCAATTCTATGGAATTAAATATAACTATACTAAATTCTATAAAATTAAGTAAAATTTGCAAATGAATTTCACAAAACTAAACAACAAACTTTTTTTGACAACCCTACAATTCTTCTTCTACAAAGTTAATTTTTCAATTTTTTTACTTCTTTGACTTGTTTATTTTATTAAACTAGACCAAAATCATTTAACAATTTTATTTTTTTAGAAAATATATTTTTGTTATTCTGTTTTTTATTTTAATATTTCTTAGCATTTTTTTACTATTAAAGAGAGTGGATTTAAGTTTTTTTTTTTTTTTTTTATAAATTCTACAAAAAATTTTAGTGGAATTCATTGTAGGGAAATTCAAGTTTTTGTGTTTAAAATGAAAAAAAAGTTTTTCAATTTTAAGAATTCAATTCTATGGAATTAAATATAAAACTATACCTAAATTCTATAAAATTAAGTAAAATTTTGCAAATGGGAATTTCACAAAAACTTAAAAGCAACAAACTTTTTTGACAACCCTACAATTCTTTCTTCTACAAAGTTAATTTTCAATTTTTTTACTTCTTTGGACTTGTTTATTTTAGTTAAACTAGGACCAAAATCATTTAACAATTTATTTTTTTTAGAAAATATATTTTTGTATTCTGTTTTTTAATTTTTAATATTGTCTTAGCATTGTTTTTACTATTAAAGAAAGAGTGTATTTTAGAGTTTTTTTTTTTTTTTTTTTTGAAGAGAGAGAGTGGATTTAAGTTAAATATACATTTATCACTAAATTAAATGTAATAATTTTATTAATATTATTTTTATTGTATATATTTATTTTAATCAAAATTATAAAAGGTTATATAGCATAACATAAATATAATTGATATTTATTATTTATTTTTCTGAAATTACTATTTCGAGGATATTTTAGAAAATAAAAGTAAATAAATTTTCAATTATGAATTTATTCCATATATGATTATGTGAAATTCAATTGAATTACATATTTTAAATTAATCATACCAAAAAATGAAAAATTCATTCACAAATGAATTCTAACTAGAATTTATTTGTAATTTTGAATTTATTTATACCAAATGAAGTGTAATAGTCTAATTTATAGTTCTCATTAACTACATTAAAAAAAAAAAAAAAAAAAACAAAAAAAAAAAAACTGACTCTCAGATTTTTAATCCGGATACAAATTATTCTACAAGATATATGCCTTGGAAAAAAAAAAAAAAAAAAAAAACTGACTCTCAGATTTTAATCGGATACAAATTATTCTACAAGATATTGCCTGAAAAGTAAATAATTTTACATGCCAGACTCATTATATTTCAAGCAAAAGTTCTCTTTTTTCATGCCAAACTCGTTCTCTTCTATACAACACCACCTGTCGACTCATGCATTATAGGCTACGTTGCAAAGATGACCATCCTCTTTGAATTCGCGTCACCTGTTACAGAGAGGGCTAAGAAATTTGTCAACTTACATTCCTCGCGATTTAGGTCTATTTGGGTAAATTAGTCGTTTTCAACAGCTATTAGCTGTTTTAATAGTCGTTGGCTATTTAAATAGTGTTTTCGTGAAATTTTAAATGAAATGCACTCCTTTCAACCTTAAACATTAGTAATAATAATAAAAATAATATTTTAACTTAATTAAAATACTAAACAATACATAAAAATCTGTTGCAGTTCGAGAAGAGGATGTTTAAAGGAATGTGAGAAAGATTTTTTATTTTGAATAAAAGGTGATTAGATTTATAGTTCTTTTAGGTTCAGCTGTAAGAAGATAGTTGCAAAATAAGAAATTTTCAACTGAATATTAAAAGTGGTCTTACCTGCTTGTCTGTTTTAATCCGAAAGACCAGTTGAAAGAATTATGTATTTGTTATTTGTACTTAAGAATTTTTCCAATTCACATTTAAATTTACCTGATTTTCAAAATATATATACCTCCATTTTAAATGACCATTTATTCATCAAATGAATTTCTCGGAACTCCTATATTTATTTTTACTCATATAAATATAAAGAAAAAAAAAATTAAATGCTAATATAAATAGTAAAAATAAAAAAATAAATGCACTTTGAGCCAAATCAGCAAATCTCAAAAATATTTTTTAAAATTAATAAAAAGTATTAAGGGTTGAGACTGTGGGAGAGAGATGAAGGGCAATCTGGCTTTGGGACATAAGGAATAAAAGATGGGATAATGCTTACCTTAATAAGTACTTCATTCCAAAATGCCCCGCATTGCCTCATGTAATGCCCTTCAAGCTTCAACCACCAAATCTTTTCTCCAATATTTCTTTTAGTCATAATTCTAATAAAAATAACTATTATACCTTATCTATAAATTTAGTTGAGATAGGTTTTTTAAATTATTTTATTTTTTAAAATAAATTATTATGCTTTCTTTTTTATTTATTAGATGTAAAATGAAGTGAAATTAAAAATACTTGTAAATGATGTATTAGGAATAACTCTCTTCTCCTTTTAATAGCTCTAATTTTATTAATGTACCAAACCAATGAAAATAAGATGTTCTTAAAAATTATTTATATTTTATCATTTTTTTTCCCGGTCTAGGCAAGTTAATTCATGTAGCTTTCATCCTATAATTTGTATATTTCTATAATCCAAGGTCCAATAAATATAATGTGTTGAAATTTGAAAATTCTATGTAAGATTTATGGATATTTCATTCAATCATCAAATGCCTGAATGTAATAAGTCTATGGATCACATTTTATACCTATCTTCAATAAGTTTAGTGCTTGACTTCACTATAATAATGACTATTCGTTAGGAAAAAAAAAATACTAATAACTTCAATACATCCTTATAATAGCCTTTCAGGTTAATTTGTACATAATAAGATTAAGTCGCTTCTCTGAACGATTTAAAAAATGCAGTTTCTTATGATTATGATAAATATTTTTCTTTTCGATACATAAATTAAATCAAGCATACTATAATAATTTAGATTTTTATTTTTTTCAAAAAAGAGGGTCAATCTAGAGTATATACTGTAGTTTAATGGTGAGGTAATGGCATTGACAAAGATCCACTTTAAATATTCTTTGTGACAAACAAAAGTTAATAAAATCCAAGCCAAAGAATAAAGAAAAAATAAAAAAAGGCAACAAGAAGCTAGCTTAGAATCAAAGTTAAACATATATAATAGCATATTAAACAAATCTCTTTTTCCCCCGATTGAAACATGGGATTATGGAGAGGCTTCATGATCTCCATTGTTATATGTATCATTAAACAATGTCAAATTTATATACTTATATGCAAGTATATACTCACAATCTTACAAACCAATACCACCTATGAAAGGAAGATCTCTGCAATAGTCATGAGGAAGAAGAAACCAAAATATTCTCCTCTATTTCTCTCTATTAAATCACTGATTTAGAGGGAAATGTGAAGCTATATATAAATCCATATATATATATATAGTTAGTGAAGTTGCAAATCAAATTAGAGATATCATGGGAATATTGCAGCTTCCTACTTCCATTCCTGCAAATCTCCAACTTCAAGCAAAGCTTTCCAATCCTAAATCAGGTTATTTTCGTGGAAAATGTTTATCAAATTCATTTCCTTCTTCGTCTTCTCCGCGAAGCTTGTTCATGTCCAATTCCCAGCAACCTCAGTATCCCATGTCACCGCCTCCTCTAACAAATCAGGTCAATTTTTCTCTACACATTATTTAGTGCTATCTTCTTTCTTTATGTTATTATTAATTTCCCTCCAACAGATTTCACATTTCTAATCTTACAAATCTAGAGATGACTTCAAATAGTTATGTCTGAATAATAATGTTTGGGACTTCATTAATGGCAGAGTGTTGCAGCTATTGTATTTGGAGATGGATCAGAATCAAGGCTTTATCCATTAACAAAGAGAAGATCAGAAGGGGCAATTCCTTTAGCAGCAAATTACAGGCTAATTGATTCAGTAGTGAGCAACTGTATTAACAGTAACATTAACAAGATTTATGCCATTACACAATTCAACTCTACTTCTCTTAATTCTCACCTCTCAAGAGCTTACAATGGATTAGGCCTTGGAAAAGAAGGTTTCGTCCAAGTGATTGCAGCTTATCAGAGTCCTGAAGACCAAGGATGGTTTCAGGTCTAAAAATGTCTGCTAGTTTTTCTCAAACCATAGATTGTTAAGTTTTAAATATTGCAAAAGCATCTGAAAAAAGCAATTTTAAACTTAAAACGGCAAACAGACACTTGCCCACCAATAGAGTTTTTTTCTCATAATATAATCTAAAGTTAAATTCCTAACAGTTCTCTTTTCTTTTAAGGTATAATATAACTGAGTTTTTAATATAGTCTACAGCTATACTAGTTGATGCTTTACATGAACTTTTTCTTTTTCTTTTTTTTTTTTTTTTGTTCTGTCAGGGAACTGCTGATGCCATGAGAAGATGCTTGTGGGTAATGGAAGAGTTTCCGGTATCAGAGTTTTTGATTCTTCCTGGTCACCATTTGTACAAAATGGACTACCAGAAACTGATAGAAGCTCACAGGAGTAGTCAGGCTGATATAACAATTGCTGCTTTAGGTTATATCAGAGAACCAGACCCAGGTTTTGGCCTTCTGACAGTGAATTCACAAAATGAAGTTGCAGAGTTTAGTTTCAATTCAGAAAAAGAGCCAAGAACTGTTATCTCTGCAGTAAGAATTACATCATTTCATAAATACTACTCTTCTTAAAACAAAACTTGTATCAGAAGATATTTTATCCTCTAATTGCAGGTAAAAAGCTCAAGAAAGTTAAATATTTCCAATTATGGCAAGTTCTCGAGTATGGGGATTTATCTTGTTAATAGAGAGATTATGACAAAGCTTTTAAACAACTATTTTCCCGATAGAAATGACTTTGGAACTGAAGTAATACCTGGTGCAATATCTGCTGGACTGAAGGTAACTTATTATTATTGATAAATTAGTATAACATACCTGAATTTTACCATAATTAGCACAATGATATCATTTTAACCCCAAAATCAAATTTCACTAAAATTGATTTTGGGACCAAAACTTCCAATTTTGAAATAGCAGGGAATACAGTGCTAATTATGTAAAACTTCAGAGGTGTTGCATTAATATTTCTTTTTCATGTTTTTGGGTGTCTCGGATTCTTTTCTTATTTCAAAATTCTAAGTCTTTTCTGGATTTGCAAGTGACAGGTTCAAGCTTATCAGTTTGATGGATACTGGGAGGACTTAAGAAGCATTTCTGCATTTTATGAAGCAAATATGGAATGCATAAAGAGGTCAAACATGGGATATAAGTAAGTAATTTTAACACCAGGAAAAGTGAAAGTACAATACCACTATAATGAGCTTTTAGCAAAAGCAAATTTTTCTTTCTTTTTTTTTATTTTTTTACTTTTCAGTCATAATTAATTATCCCTCTCATCAACTAATAAAAACTCTTAATTAACTTCTCATAGCAGCTTCTGTGATAGAGAGTCTCCTCTTTATACCATGCCAAGATATCTGCCTCCAACTACTATAAGTGATGCAGAAATAACAGATAGTGTTATTGGAGATGGTTGCATCCTCAATGTAAGAAAGCAAAAATATTATATATTTATTCCCTATTTTTCTCTCTTCAATATTTAAAATTTTTTACTGAGTAATTAAATACTACATACTTTTTATTGGATTAACTCTAATGGCGGAACTAAGTGTCGGTTATCGTCCCTAACTAAAACAATTTCTAAAATTTGGTTTGCAATTAGTAGTGTTCGGCGATATTAGCTGTTTTAACAGTTATTTTAATAGTTGTTAACTGTTCTGTTAGCAGTTAGATATTAACTATTATTTATAGAGGTTTAAATTAGAAGTTCAATAAAAATAGTTGTTTATTACCTGTTTAATTTAAAATAGTAAAAAAAGACATTAATTATTTAATTTGTTGAATTTGAGAAAAAAACAATGAGTATGATTGTCAAAAAAAAAAAAAAAATCTTTGCAAAACGCTAAAATTTAGAGCGTTTAACCTTTCATATAAAAACTTTCTCAAACTATAAATTATTATAGAAATTACGTTATGGAATGTTACAATTATAAAGATAAAGTTTTGATTTGGTCAAAACGCTAAAAGTTAGTTTAAAATTGTTGTCGTGCAAATTTCTTTTATTTTGCCCAAGAGTCTTGAAAATTATTTTCCCCCACCCCTACTTTGATTCCTGGACTGCCATTTAGACACACAAACGGTATGGACACACGCTCATTAAAGGCACTAAAAATTGCAAATTATTTTCTGAATATTTGCTTTTTCTTGCCATGGCTTTTTGGAAATATGTTTTTGACCTTTCTAAGAACAGAGGTGCAAGATCAAAGGAACAATTGTTGGTATGAGGACAAAAATTGGAGATGGGGTTATAATTGAAGATTCAGTGATTATGGGATCTGATATTTACCAAGTAAGAGGCATACTTAAAATCTTTTTTTTTTTTTTTTTTTGGGTTAATTAGCAATGACGGAGAAAAGGATAATCTATTCAATTTCAAGTATGTGAATGCTTATAAGATCAACAAGGATATTTAATGTAAACATTACATGCACAGATTAATTAATAAATGATTGTCAAAAAAAAAAGTACCAGAAAGATCTTTTGCAAAACTCTCGTCCATATAACAAGTATTCTTTAGAGCAGGAGTTTAACCTAAGAATTCCAACCTTTAGATTCTATATAATAGACTATTGTACTCAAACTCATATGCAAAAATACTAAATAGCTATTTAATATTAAATTATATCGACCTCTTAAAGGATATGAATGTTACAATTTATAAAGATAAAGTTTAATGGTTGATTTGGTCAAAACCCCGGTTAGTTTTCCATAAACAAGTTAGTGTTATTCCACACTTTTAAATGTGTGCAGATATGTATGTACTCTTGTGATCAACACTTTCTTCTTATTTTGCCCAAGAGTCTTAGACAAGATTATTTTCACCGCGCTCACCGCTACTTTGATTTCCTGGGCACAAATGCAATTCTAGACACCAAAACGGATATGGACACGTGAACCCCATCGAACCCTACAATATTCCATATAAATAGCATGAGGAATGGCGGACACTAAAAATTGCAAATTATTTTCTGAATATTGCTTTTTTTCTTGCCATGGCTTTTTGGAAATATGTTTTTTGACCTTTCTTAAGACAGAGGTTGCAAGATCAAAGGAACAAATTGTTTTGGTATTTGTGACTAGGAGTGAGCAAATGCAACGTGATATGTGGTGAGTCGGGCCGCGACCTTGGTGTGTGAGTTTATTTATTTGAAGATAGTCAGGTAAGTCGTGTGATAATAACTCCGGCTAAGTTGACTTCCGCATTTTAACTTGATATATCTTCCATACCAGTTCTAGAGTAGATAGAGGTTAAAATACTTAAAATCTTTTTTTTTTTTTTTCCCAATGTTTATGGAAGGCGATTGGTGTGCAAAACCGAATGGATCCGAGACGTTTAATGTACTTACTGTCTGTATGATACCTTTACACCATGAATAAGTGTAAACTGAACCTTTTGCAGTAAGTATAACAAAGAAAAGTTTTTTTTTTTTTTTTTTTGGGTTAATTCTTTTGTTTCAAATAGTACAAAGTTATAACAGAAAATTATGCTGTTAACAGAAAGACTATATTCAAAAAAATGGCATGCACATTCCAATAGGAATTGGTGATGAAGCTCAGATAAGGAAAGCTGTAATAGACAAGAATGCAAGAATTGGCAGAAATGTAATGGTATGTACAGGTTCTCAAAGGAAAATTTTAATTCTCTCTTGCATTTTAATATAAGGTTTCTGTCGTATCTTACTAGAGAATGACTTGCCTAGACTCGGTCTATGGTATTCATTAGAGATGACAATTTTACTAATCTAGTGGGTACCCAATTGATCCAATCCGATTTTGGCAAGTTCAGTTTTAAGGACTCGGATACTCATTACCCGTTTAATTAATATTCCAAAAATATTTAAAATATAATTATATATATATACACTTTTTTAATTATAATTAATGTTCCCAATGCCTATTTGAGTGCTTCATCTTATATTGCTCGATTTTAAGGCAATCGGCAAAAAGGGTTTTGCCCTCACAGAAAAGATATTCTTAAATGTGAAATCTCGGTCGATTAGATATCATTTGACCCCGCCGTTTTTATTTCATATTCCAAAAATGATTTTCAAAATATAATGTATCACAAATGTGTTGTTTTAATAGTATATCGAGCACTTTGTTTATCCTTAACTTAAAATATGATTAATTTGCTTCATTTTTAAGGCTATATGTAATATTTAATACTTTTTGTTCCGCCAAAATTGTATAATATCTATTGATTATATTTAAGTTCAAAATGGACTTATTTATGAGAAGTTTTTACTTGACTTTTTAATTTATGACATTTTGTAAGTAGATACAACATAAATTTTATAATATGGTACACTTAAATATTAAGCGAGTAATTTATTGATCAGTCACGTTTTTCGCATCCTCAATGGAATTCTTGGATTACTAAATGTTGAATTTCTAAACAGGTTCAGATTTACTTATAATTATATTTAATATTTATAATATATTTTTATTAAGTCAAAATGACTATTTTATAATTTTTACTTACTTTTTATTTATGAAAAATGAAAATAAAAATATTTTTAATACTAAATAAGTAATTATAATCAGATTTGACTGGATTCGGATACTAAAAGTGAATTTCTAAACAGGTTCAGTTACCTAATTTATAATCAGATTCGGGTTCGGATAGTGTATTTTAATCGGATTCGGATAGTGCCTTTTAATCGGATTCGGGTTCATATAGTGCATTTTAAGCGGTATTAAACCCGTTGTCACCCCTAGAGTTCATTTATAGATCACTCAATGAAAAATATTTGTTTTTGAAAGGAGGATAATTCTGACAGTTAACTTAGAAAAAAAAGATAAAACGGAAATAACCATTAAAAATCTCTATTGTCATTGGTTTGACCATATATGGATTTATAGACCGAGTTTAAATAAGTTTTATCCTATCTTGCTAATACAAAATGGATGTTATGGTTTCAATAATGCAGATAATAAATAAGGACAATGTGCAAGAAAGCAACAGAGAAGCTAATGGCTACATAATCAGTGATGGAATAGTGGTTGTTCTACAGAATGCAGTGATCTCAGATGGCAGCATCTTATGATATTAAGCATGACCATTTTGATTTTTTTTTTTTTTTTTTTTTTCTAATAAAATAAGGACATGTGCTTGAAAGACAGGCACAGATGAGTTATTAATTAAACAGATAAGGCGCTCCATTATCTGGCTACATAGCCAATCATTGTTGATGTGTCGGAAAGTTTAAGCCGTGTAAACCGTTGTTCTGCACAGATGACCAGATTTAATTAGATCTCAGTGTATAAAAGCAGCATCTTATTGATATTTATAGCGGGCATGACCATTTTGATTTTTTTTTCTTTTTTTGTGTTATTTAGAATAGGGCTCAATCATGTTTTTTTTTTCTCAAAGAGTAAGGTATAAGGTCTTGCCTATTATTAATTTTATTTATCTATTGATTCTTAATAAATTATTTAACTAAATAATGACATGACATTTATGCAAATTGTTAGCCTTCTCAGAGATTTCAAAAAAAATGTTTGTTAGGAGCGAAAACAGCCACCTGAGATGGAGTCGACAACTTCATGACAGGAGATTATAGATGAGTGCTGAAATTATAAGGCAGAGTTTTGTTTACATACCTTGAGATTTAAACTCGAGATTAAAATTCACTTAGTTGTTCGAGCCACTTCTTAATTTCCAAGATTTGAAGCTCCTCGCTTTGTTTTGTGTACATTTCCATTTCAGTATTTTTAGTGGGAATAAAGTAATTTTTTTTTTTTTTTTTTTTTTTAGATGAAGGATGGTCATTATTAATTTATTTTCTTGATTCTTTAATAATTATTAAATAAAATAATTATATGTAGCCTCAGATTCAAAAAATGTACGAAACAGCACCTGAAATGTCCCTCAAAGGAGTATAGTTGAACAATAAAATTCTTTATTGTTCAATGATTTTTGTTTGTGTACATTTTCCCATTTCAGTATTTTAGTATGAATAATAATAATTTCTTTCAAGTGCCTTTTCTTTTGTTTTCTTCCCCCCCTACAATACTAAATTTGTGTAGCATTTACTTCCTTTTTTATTTTATGAAAATTATAAACATATCCCTATAGAATGCCAAAATTAATCATTTTGTCCCTTTTTTTTAAAAAAAAAAAAAACTACTTTGTCTTCCTATTTTACTCTCATTATATTATATTACCCAATTTTGAATGTTAAATGGATAAGAAAAGACACAAAAGTCCTTCTACGTAAAACCCATTCCCTTAGGATTCCTTGGTGCAGCCCCCAAACCCCTACTCTCTGTTATCAAACTCAACCTCTCACCTCCATACATAGCCTCTCTTTCATGTCATGTTCCTTCACTGTATGGATTTTGAATGGAATGTTCGCTTCAACCAACGGTTGTGCCAATAAATTAGCTTTAATGGGAATGAAATTATCGAAATCGTCCTCTAGCTTCTATTGATCGCTTTATCTAAAGAGGCATTTTGTTGTTGTCATTGATCTGAAGCTAAATTGATTTGTAATCTAACTATGCTTCTTAGTCAAATCTCAAAGCTAAATATTTCTAGTGTGAGAACTTTCTTAGAGTTCAAAAAGTGCATAATCCTCGTTTTACATTAAAGAGTCAATTACATTGCAATCAAAATAATTGCTAATAAAGGCCAAATATCTAATAGAGAGTAGGGATGATAATGATATTAATGTAATTGACTAACCCCTGGCTAGGCAAAGAAGCGATAGAGTTGTTCATGGCTCGGGTTGGGAATTACATAATTCTCAGTCCCCTCCGAAAATATCAAAACATAAAAAATGGAGTTTAAATCTCATTCCAATAGATATGTAATCTCGTTTCATTCCGTTCCAATAAATATGTAGTTTTGTCTCATCCCGTCTCATTTTTTAAGACGGGATCAAACGAAAATTCGAGTATATGGACAAGAAAGAATGGAATAGGTTGAGAATCAATTAGGATTTCCCGTACTCTTATTAAATTACTTTTCATGTATAAAAAAAGATAAAACTATTATATTCATCAATTGCAATCAAACAAAATTCAGTTATATAAGTTATAAATCAAATAATTAATTCAATCATTGATGATCATCTACTAAAGTTATAATGAAAGATTTTTTAAGTGGTTATTTTATAGTTAATAAAAATGTTAAATATAATAAAATAAAATAATGTAAAAACTACATACAATTTAACTTTATATGTTTTATGAATTTTATCTCATCATTGTTTTTGTCATTGTTGTCCTTAAATTAATTTAAATTTGATACTTACTTTATTTAATCAAATATTATCTGAAAAATAAATAATGACAGCATTAAACATAACCAATAATCTAGTAACCTGATTAATTAAAGTTAATATTTTCTCTTGTATTGATTAATTTTTTCATTTTTTATTTAATAAAAAGAATTTATTCAAAAAAATTTACTTAACACATACTGTGATAACGGAGGAAAAACTATGTTAAAATATATATTTAATTACTTGATTTATTTTATATTTAAAAATACATATTTTTTTTCATATTATTATTACTTTAACATTAATTGGTATCGTAAAAACAACTACAAATGAAAAGGATGAAATGATTTTTTTGGACAATTTAAAATTCATAAAAGAAGACAATTAGAATTTTAAAGAAAAAATGGGATGATAATTTTTGATTTTTGAGACGAGAGAGATGTGATAGAACTTGGGTCGGTACGGGTCGGTTTTAATCAAAGAACTAGTCTCTTTTCATAGCTACTTTTGGGACGAGATTCGGACAAAACTATTAAATTAATATCGAGTTTTCTCGAGATGAGAAATTCGAAATGGTTTTCTAGAATAGTTTGGGATTTCCGCAGTCCCGTAGACACCCCTAGAAAGTGATGCAAGTATTTTTAGGATACCTGCCCCACTATGATCAATTTAAAAAATATATGAATAGTTATAAATGAGTTTGAAATGGTGTATGAGATATAGATTTCTACGTACCTGCTACTCGCTATATTAAACGGATTTGACAGTAAATACGAGTATCCTATTATTATTAATCAAAATTATGTTTTAAATAAGTTTGGATTTAGATAGTTTAAGATTTACGAATACTTTACCCGTGTAAAGGTATTTTAAACGGATACAAATAATAAAAATTAAAATGGGTTCAAATACATATATTTAAATATATATTTAAATAGATTTAAAAGGATATGAATATAAATAATTTAAAATTCACGGACACTACTTCAGCTTTCATCTCTAATCGAGGCTTTACGCTGATAATGGCCTTCAAAATAAGAGTTTATACGGTTAAAACAGGTTCTTGTATGTTGCTTTCCTCAGTGCCCGAGTCGATTAGTCTAATGGTTATGCTTATACATCCGTTGGAACTTTGGAAACTGCCTATTCCTTTGAAACCGAAAATATTTAGTTTGGAGGGAACTTTTTGAAATATTAAAACTATTAATATTGATACAAGTTGCATGGCTTGTGGTTGATTTTAAGTTTCAGAAGAAAGAAAACAAATTATTTATTTTTAATATAAATTAATTTTAATTACATTCATTAACTAATTGTATTTTTTAACTAATGTTATAAGAGAGTACCAATTGCACTTGAGCTTTTTTAAGAGTATTCAAAAAATTAATGAAATTTTTTATTAATAAAAAATGAAAAACAGATCGATATGTATTCTATATATATATTTTTTTATTAATAAAATTTTGATTTTATAAGAGCTTCCAGTACCAATTTGCACTTGAGTCTTTTTTAAAGGATGTATTCAAAAAATTTAATGGAAATTTTTTATTAATAAAATGTGACAAAACAGATTCGAATGCTATTCTCTACATATATAACTATTTTTTTATTACATAAAATTTTTATTTAATTTTTTTAAAAAATACAAATTCTTAGAATAAAAACTGCCCAGCATATATATCTATCTATGACACCCCGGCTTTGGAGCTAACTTTTTGCTTACCTCCTTCTGATTGAATTTAATAATACAATTAATAATAGAACAACAACTAAAAAGAGTTTGGAGGGTTTTCGGACCCTTCAAGCTAAACAAAAGATTCCAGACCAAAACCAAACACTCGTAAAACAAATCGCTTTCTGGATGAATGGAGAATTAGGGAAAGGACCATTAATAAAATTTTTAATTTAATTTTTTTTAAAAAAAATTTAGAAAAACGCCAGAGAAACTACAGAACGGCTTGGGCTAACTTTTTGCTTCCTCCTTCTGATGAATTAATAATAATAATAATAGAACAACTAAAAAGAGTTTGGGGTTTTCGACCCTTCAAGTAACAAAGATTCCAGACCAAACCAACTGTAACAAATTCCTTCGTGGAGAATGGAGAATAGGGAAGACCTGAAGTCCATCTTACCATTCCTGCCATTAGTAATTCGATCCTCGAGTCTGTTTTGGCCATCACAAGTTGTAGAAGCTCTCAAGGCACTCTCAAGAGGACCCGATTGCAGCAATGTTAACTCTGGAGAATTGTTGTTTACTGCTATTTCTGATATCAGGAATTCTCTTACTCTCTCTGCTGAACCTTTGGCTCCTTTTTCCCGAGAAGGTTACGCTCTCTACTTCGATGAGGTAACAGCTCAGTTTTCGAATTTTCTTTTCTGGGTTTAGGGCTTTTTGGTTGATTATATGTTTTTGTCGACAGTTTGAGCTTTGAAAACAAATATTAAGAGCTGGGTCTCGTAATAAGTTATTCTAGCAAATGGTTATTCATTTTCTTTTCTGGTTTTGTAATTTTAATATACTGAAAGATTTTATTGTTAAATTGGCAATTTGAAGCAATCACGGGAACTCGTGAGGTGCATTGAGCAAATTTGTGACGCGATTTTTTTCTTTTTTTTTTGTATATGACTATGACATGTCCAATCAAGGAATCGAAGATAAATGAATGGACAAGCTTTAATGTCAGTTAATAATTTTGATTTGCATAACATGGAAGAGCTATTAAGGAGACACTATGAATGATGGCGGCTGAATGATGAGGATTTTTTTTTTCCAGCTGATGTCCCGGTCTGAGTCAGCAAAATGGTTTGGAGAGGTTCTCCCAGCATTGGCTAATTTGCTTCTGCGGATGCCATCACTTTTAGAATCCCACTACCAGAATGCAGATAACTTGCTTGATGGTGTCAAAACTGGCCTCCGCCTGTTGGTTCCACAAGAAGCTGGCATAGCTTTTCTCGGCCAGGTATCTTTGTTATCTTGGTTGTTCTGTTTCTTGAGAATTGTTATGAGATTTGCACTTGGACTACACGATTCATTGCATGCTCAAATTTATAGCAACTGAAAATGCACTAATGGAGAGGTGAAGCAACATTTTTGATGAGGAAACTGCTGGCACTGAAGAATGATGTCTTTGTCTAACTGTAATGACAGAAATGGTGTCTCAAGGTGCTTGTTATCATGATTGTGCAGCTTTAGTGCATCTTCTTTCATCTAAAGAGAATTTTGAAATTTTCCAGATCTAGTCTTAGAGAAGTTTTGGCTATAACCATCAAATTTTTAGCCCTAAAATTATATTTGTAATTTCCTGCAACTAAACTAAAAGTAATTCTTTTGATTAGTGTAATATAACAGTTGATCTCATATCAACATTTCTCCTCTATCTTTATAAAATTCCTTCGTACATGTCTCACGTTATTTGTAAAATTTCTCTCTTCTATTTGTATCTCTCTCAGATTTATGGTAGGTTTAAATGACTTTGTGATACTATTGTGGAACTATACTAGACTTGCACCTTATGATGTATGGATAGGTCATTTTTGTATCAGTAAGTCACACACTTATCCAATTAGGACCCTGTGAGCTCAAGTAACTGACTTACTACCATATGATGTTGCAAATTAGCTCTTATCATCTAATTCTAACTTTGTTCCCTTGGAAATGTTTATATTTGTATAGGTTTTGATAATGTCAATGTTGCTTTTCAGGAATTGATTGGCGCTCTTCTTGCATGCGCTTTCTTTTGTTTGTTTCCGATTACTGATAGAGTTGCAAAACATCTTCCATTGATCAATTTTGATCATTTTTTTGAGTATGTGATCTTTAACTTTGCTTTATTTTCCTGAACAATCTCATGGCATAACAAGCATTCGCAGCAAGTATTGGACTAGGAAATATAAAATGAAAAGGAAAATGAACTCTAGATATTGAATACTATTTCAAGTTTTAAATAGAATTTCAGTTTATCCAGTGATAGATAGGTTTCATTTCATTTTCTTTCTCTTCTCTAATCCGTAATTGCTTGTGTAATCTGTGTATTTTTGCCAACATTTCCTTCATATGCATTTTTCTTGACAACACATGCCAATGAAGATAAACAATTTGGAAAAAAAAAAAAAAAAGGAATTGATTTCACAACGGAAATTATTAATCAGTAAAATATTAATTCAAGAAGAATAACTTACTAACCTCCGTGGTAAATTACCTTAGGGGAGTAGTTTACTTTTTGGAACTTTCAATAGCTCTATTTTCCATGAAGCTACTTTCAAACCTAACTTTTCCAATCAATTGGCTGGTCCTCAGTATTGATTCCATCAAGCATTGCTGACTACACGAGCACCTTTAGTTTAGAGGACATTTTTTAAGAAAAAAATTATGTAACCTAAAGTCATTTCATAATAGATTGTTGAAGGGCTGTTGCTATTTTTTTATGGTAATTACTAAAATGTAGTCGACATGGCATGTCATGTGCTCATGGCCATTAAGGCCGTTTCATTCTGTTATGGAACTGTTGTTTCTCAGCAGAATCACCTTTCAAAAGCAAAAGAAGAGAGAAGTCACAACAACTCTGTGTGCGTGCGCATGTGTATGTGTGAGAGGGAGACAGAGAGATGAGAGAGGCATACCTGTCCTTTTTGTAATTCTTTTTCCCCTTCATCTATTTTCCTTTTGCAAAGGCTTACCAGCACAAGTGGGAGTTGTTAATAGTGCTAGTAGCCCATTTATATTCAAACAACGGCTGTACGCATATACTAGACACGTTAAATTAGGTTGTCAGTGCTAGATTTTTGTTTTTTATGAGTTAGAATATAATTATATCTAGTGCATTATTATTGGTTCAATATCATTATTTCAGACTTTGAAAGTATTAGTATCTGGTTAAATTCTTGTTAGAAATTCAGAGTTTGAGTCATCTTGCCATAAGCTTCTTTTTTAGATCCATGGTAGCGCTGGCTGATGCTGTTAAACTTTGACCACGATGCGCTGGCACTACAACATCCTGAAAAGTACCATTATTTAAAACTTTTAGAGGATTAGCATTTTGTATGAAATTAGCAGGAGGAAAATGATTGGGATATATACTATGTAGAAAGGCTAAAAAGATGTACATGAGATCCTTAAACTTCTCAAAGTTAAAATCTTTTTTCTGGCTTCTAGCAAAAAATGACAAGGGATGGGCTATTCTATACCAGAAAATATTGGATATCCTGTGATCATAAAGATTTTCAAAGTATTTAGAGTTTCATTGTTGAGTTGATATCAAAGGTTGATTGATTTATCCTGTTTTATGAATTAGGTTTCTTCTTCAATTTGGTTTATTCCGTCCGTTTCTGTTTCTAACTTCAAGATCTTTCCACCTTTTGTTTTTCCTTAACGTGGAAGCTGACTTTATCTGATATTTTTTTTTTATAGGAATCTGTATGACAATTATAGTGAAAAGCAGGAGAACAAAATAAAGTGCATTCTTCACTATTTTGAAAGGATATGTTCAAATACATCTGTGGGCTTCGTCTCGTTTGAGAGGAAGGTTCTTCCTTTGGAACAACTTCCTAAAAGTATTGCTTATCCTAAGGCTGATTTTTGGAACAAATCTGCTGCACCACTTTGCCCTTTTGAGGTAAAATAACTCATGGATTGGTTTAGCAAATTATTATTATTCATGGAAATTATCTGTCTAATTTGTTTACTTTTATTTGTGATTTCCAGAAATTACTTCCTGGGTGTTCTTTGCCTTTTGTAGGTTCACAATTCAGGCTTTATAGAAGATCAGTTAAGTGAAGCCCTTGAAGTGGATTTTGCTAACAAATATCTCGGGGGTGGTGCTCTTCATAGGGGCTGTGTACAGGTGCAACTTTTAATAATCAGTTAATTATTTTTTTCAAGGTTGGAACTTAAAATAGATTTTTTTAATTTGGTGCATGTCTTTCATTTTTATTGTCTAGTGCATGATTTTTTTGCTTCATGCCACTAAGGTCACCTATTTTCTAAAATATTGTTAAATTGCATCCTCTTTATTTGTTCTCATTGTTATCTCATGTAGGAAGAGATCCGTTTCATGATCAATCCTGAATTAATTGCTGGCATGCTGTTCTTGCCTTGCATGGAGGACAATGAGGCTATAGAAATTGTTGGTGCAGAAAGATTCTCTAATTACACAGGGTAAGTATTACTGTTTTACCAAAGGCATTGCGATCCAAAACTTGAAACATATACATCACTTATCTGCTTTACATGCATTCAACACTTTATATTTATATCATCCTTCCTCCCTGCTGGTTGAAGATATGCTAATTTTCAGATTTATGGTAAAAGTTCTTATTGTCAATGATTAACTAGTCTTGTGGTATGTGCACCTTCTGAAGTTTTTGTTTCTTTATTTTCCTTTAATTATGTTAACAAAGTTTTCTTTTATATGAGCTAATGCTACTCTAGTGAGTTAGGTTGCAATCCATACCTTACCATATTCTTCTCTGCATGATGTAGGTATTCCTCTTCATTTCGCTTTTCTGGTAATTGTGTGGACAAAAGGAGCACTGATAATTTTGGAAGACGTAAAACAAGAATTGTTGCCATAGATGCATTATGTCATCCAGGGTGGAGGCAATATAAGTTTAAATTCCTCATTCGGTACGCACATGTTTTCAACTTTGCATATATAATTAATACAAGATCCTTTATAGTCAGTGTGGTTTTAGATGTTCTATAGAACTCTCTGCCTTCAAAGTTCGTATTCTATGCTGCTCTTTGTGTAACTGTCTACTTGTTGATATATGGAGAGTTCTTTGTTGTCATAACTTCGTTATGCGCAATACTTGTCAGAGGAGCTTGGTTCCTAGGATATAATACCTCAGTTCTAATTATCAAAATTATGCATTTCATACCATAATGATTTCAATACAGCTTCCATATAGATATTTCAAGATTATTATCTATCCATTTGATTGACACCAGGGGAAGTTTCCAACTCTGAAGAATTATTATATAAAATATCTAGAAGATTGTGTGTCAGGGTTTCTTGCAGAATTGACAAGGTTTCTCACCAGAATGTACGTTGAGATGATTCTAGATTGCAGCTAAACATATCACTACCTAATCAAGTTTTTCCTGGTCATTTGCAGTCCTATTTCTAAGGCCTGTTGGCTATGAATGCAATCCTTTTATTGTTTGTTCACTATCCATCAATATCTTTGCAATTGACGTTTAAGTTCAATCTGCTTGGATAGCAGAGATACATGTGTAGTCTTGCAAGTTATAAATAGAGCATAACTTTTAACTGTTTGTTACCCAGAAGTTGTTCTGATTCCTATATGTTTGGTTCTGCCAGGGAAATCAATAAAGCATTCTGTGGGTTTTTTGACCAATCTAAATGTCATCATTACGAAAAACTATTTCAAGACAGTGGCCAAGGAATGCAGTGTAAACAGGAAGACAAAGACCATATATCCATAAATAATTTTCTGGTGTGAGTTCTTTATGACTTTTTCTATGGTGTTTCATTTTGTTATTTTAGTTGAATGCCCTAGCCCTAATGTTATTTCTAGTGATATTAGCATGACTAATGTCATAAATATTTGTCATTTTCTAATTATAATGATGAAAATTTACCATGCCTCATGGTTATTAAGCTTCTTTTTTTAGCTCTTATTTTTAGTATCATTCGTTTTCTTTGTAATAGTTAGATGAAGTTCCCTCAGCTTCCAGTGAAATTGAAATGCATAAGGAGGACTCTTCAAATGGACTGGTCAGGGAGTCTGACAAGAAGGGCACCTGGTGCCTGCCCCATGAAGATAAAATTGGGATTGCAACAGGGAACTGGGGCTGTGGTGCTTTTGGAGGAGATCCTGAAATAAAGACAATAATTCAGTGGCTTGCAGCTTCTCAGGTAATTTATTCTCGAACTTCAAGATTGAGATCAAGTAAAAGTGACTTGATTTTCTAGACATTGTGTGAGGTACTTTGTGAAACTTTCATTTCTAAAATTAAATTTGTGAACTTTTACAAATCTTGTACCTCCAATAAAAGAATAGAGAATTTCTAATTCCTTATTTCTCGTTTTTTGTTTTTGTGAGGTACTTTGTGAAACTTTCATTTGTAAAATTTTACAAATCTTGTACCTCCATTAAAAGAATAGAGAATTTCTAATTGCTTATTTCTCGTTTTTATTTGATATGAACCCTTTTATGAACCTGAATGCATTTCTTTCAGGCATTAAGACCTTTCATCCTGCACTACACATTGGGCATTGAGGCATTGCAGAACCTGGATAAGGTAATTACATCATCCTTGCCATGTTGAAATTTTATTGAATCTGATAATTGTAACTCCTCATAATGCATCCTTTCGTGGCTGATAATTATGCGAGCCTACCGTGTATAATTGATTCGAACTTGTAACCTGACCTGGATTTTGACATCAGGTAAAAAAATGCATTCTCTATAATAGTTTATAGCCAAAACTCAACTTGATTGAGGTGGTGTTTGGTAGAACTGAAAGTTAAATGCTAAAAATTGAAAACCAATTTTAAGTTAAAATTATTTAAGTTGAAGTGCTAAAATTTAGAATTACAAAACTATTTAAAAACTTATGGACTAATTGTATTCATCATAAATTTTAAGTTAAAATTTTTAACTTATTATTTCAAGTGAATTTTAAATAAGCATTATCAAACAATTTAAAACTAAAATAACTGCTGAATATTGTTATGAAACACCACTTAAGCTCGATAACTAGCTGGTTGGAGTTGGCTATATGGATCCATTTTTTCTATATTCTGGCCAGTCTAGAGGTGATTGATGGCCAGTGTGCATGTTAAATTTATATTTCTTGCTACATCAACACCACTTAATTTGATGTTTTGGGACAGGTGAGCCAGTGGATTTTGGAACATGGATGGACAGTTGGAGATCTGTGGAATATGTTGGTGGAGTACTCATATCAGAGGTTTAACGGGGAAACTCATGCAGGCTTCTTTACATGGTTGCTCCCATCGCTGATTTCGCACGAGGGTGAGATATCAAGCGTGCCCAACAGCCCTTAAACGTTTTTGTATAATCCTCTTGATTGTTCTAATAGTCCCTCTATCATAACTTTTTAGCTTTCTCCACTGGGAATCAGACTTGGCATTTTCTTTTTACCCAAAGTTTAAACGATAAATATCAGTTACAGGTTTTTTTTTTTTTTTTTTTTTTTTTTTAATAGAGTGGATCACCATTTTTTTCTATTATTTCTGGCCCAGTCTAGAGGTCGATTAGGATGCCAGTTGTTGCATTGTTAAAGATTTTTTATATTATTTCTTGCCTACATTGCGAACTACCGGACTTAATTTTGTGTTTTCGGGGGACAGGTGAGGCCAGGTCGGAGGTTTATGGAACATGGGAGTGGAAGCATGGTTTGGGGAGATTCTGTGGAATAGTTGGTTGGAGTACTCATAATCAGAAGGTTTAAATGCGGGGGGAAACTCATGCAGGGCTTCTTTACATGGTTGGCTTGCCCATCGCTGGAATATTCGGCCAGCGAAGGGTTTGAGATATGCAAGCCGTGCCCAACAAGTCCCTTAAACGTTTTTGGTTATAATCCTCTTGGATTGTTCTACATAGTCCCTTCTATCATAACTTTTTAGCCTTTCTCCACTGGGAATCGCAGACTTGCATATTTCTTTTATACCCAAGTTTAAACCGATAATATCAGTTAATCAGGTTTTTTTTTTTTTTTTTTTTTTTTTTTTAAGAGGGAAAAACTTATCAGTACGTTAGGTTTGCGAATAATAAACTAGTTCCATCTTTGTGTTTTTAAGAATATAATCATTTATCCTTATGTTTTGATTTGCTTACAGCTTCTCGATTTTTTGTCCGCTAAAGTTTTTATATTTGTATGTCATTAAATCCAAAGTAAGCAAAGTGCACGGAGGTTAAAAGGGAGAGTTGAAAATTTTATAGTGAATAAGGAATGTATATTTATGGCCTGGTGGTTTTGAAGGAAATGCACTTTACGTCTCGCATGGTGTGTTTTTGTCTAAAAATATACCCGAAATGTGAGGAGATAAATGCCTTATTTTTGATTATTCTATAATGATGAACTTAATTCGGGAAAAAAAATTATAAAAAATGAAGACGAAATCGGATTTTGATTGTTCTGATAAAGAGTGAATTATAACAACGATTACATGGGTCTTTACTAATATTTTTCAATAAACATAGGGAGACCAAAAAACCAGTAGTCTTTTATCTTTTGTTTAATCCTCTTTTTTGTTTTTTGGCTAATATAACAAAGAAGAGAGAAAAAATGAGGTGGAAAAGAGATTATGGAAATTTTTGGGCTTAGTCACATTCTCCACGTATCACATCCTGAGGTTGTTTGAGATGGGGTGGCGATGTAATTGTCACGAGTTGCGCTAGATATTTATGAAAAATTTATATGAATATACTTTGAAGAGTATTTTTGGGAAGATAAAATATAAGGTGGTTTAGAGGATTCTTCATAATTACATAAAAATATGACAGAAAATGAGTAACCCAAACCATGCTTAGACGTTGGAATTTCTCTTTTGATACGCAGATTAAGATTATAGTATTCCATTAAAGGCCCCCAAGAAACATAACTCTTTAATTTCTTCAAAAGGGATTGATATGCTTGTTGTTTTGGGTGCAGAAATTCCCATTTGTGAACTCTGGGAGCCCGACTGCCTTCGTATTTTCCTCCGGCTGCCTTCAGCTCTTCACCCAAATTGGAGACAAAAAACAGGAATCCCGAGAGTAGCAAGAGCCGAAAAATTGGTTTTTTTTTTTTTTTTTTTTTTTTTTTAAGGGAAAAATTACAGTAGTAGTTTGCGAAATATAACTAGTCCATCTTTGTGTTTTTAAAAATATATCAATTTATCCTTATGTTTTGATTTGTTACACTTCTTGATTTTTTTGTCCAATTTTTATATTTTATTCATTAAATCAATAAGAAAATGCAGAGGTTAAAAGGGAGAGATTAAAATTTTATATGAAAAAATTATATTATGGCCCATGTGGTTTGAGAAATGCATTTAGTCATCATTGTGTTTTTTTAAATATACCAAATGTGAGGAGATAAAATGCCTATTTTTATTATTTTATAAGATACTTAATGGAAAAAAATATAAAAAAAAAATGAACGAAAGGATTTTATTGTCTGATAAAAGTGAATTACATGGGTCTTTACTATATTTTCAAAAACATAAGGACCAAAAACAGTGTCTTTTATTTTTGTTTAATCCTTTTTTTTTTTTTCGGCTAATATACAAAAGAGAGAAAAAATGGTGAAAAGAGATTGGAAATTTTTGGCTTATCACATTCTCCAGTATCCATCCTAGGTTGTTTGGATTGGTGGCATGTAAATTTCACGGATTCCTAAATTTATGAAATTTATAAATAACTTTGAAGAGTATTTTTGGAATAAAATTAAGTGGTTTAAATTTTCATATTAATAAAAATATGACAGAAATGAGTAACCAACCCATCTTAGACGTTGGAATTTCTCTCTTTGATACAATTAAGATTATAAATTCATTAATCCAAACAAATACTTTAATTTCTTCAAAAGGGATTGATATCTGTGTTTGCAAAATTTCCATTTTGATTGTAAACGACCTCGTTTTTCTCCGGCTCTTCACTCTTCACAAATGGAGACAAAAAAAGATCCGAGAGTAGCAGAAGCGAAATTGGCCAATGGTAATGGCTACGGTGTCGTAAACGACGAGCTAATTGAAAGTTGGGCCATAACTGTCGTTTAAGCGTGCTATTTGTTGTGAGAAAACAACCCAACTTATCCTAGTTGTCTCCAGAGCAAACTAAATGGGTCATACTCTGTTCTTGGGGTTTTAGCTGCAAGCAAGCAAAGGGTTTTACGTAGAAGAAACAGTAAAACAGCAGGAATCACACAATTCTGAAATTCATTTTCACTCGCTCAACAAACTAAGTTGGTAAGCAAGTCTATTTCTTAGTAAAACATTGCTTATTGTCCATTTATATATGATAGATGGACAACTTCATCTGTGTTCATCAAGAAATGCACATTTAAGTCATAATCAAATTCTATTTCTTTTATCTGGGTTTCTTCAATTTTCTAGAAAGATTTGGTTTTTATTTTTTTTTATTTTTTTTTTGTTAATTTAGAAGTGGCTAACTCCCGGAGTTTGTTGAATTTTTTAGCTGAAGTAAGAATTATCTAGGAAGGCACAGAGAAAGTCTGAATTGGTAGATACCCAAGTGATTTTAGAAGTTGAAAAATCACTAACAGTTGTCTTTCTTAAGTTTTAATTGGATTGCTTGGGAACTGCGTTTGGGTTCAATTACATCTTCAATGGGATTTGTGCTCACTGCTTTTCCTTTCCAGAAGAGTTGAATTCTTAAAATTGAGGCTGAGTAATGATACAACATAATTACCTAATCTTTCGACATGTAATTTGAAGTTCTCTTTATTTGTATATAATTTTTATTTCGTGTGCTGTTTTCTAAAATCTTTGGTTGCGAGATATGCTAATTCATTTGTTACTAATGTTATTTGCAATGGAAATGATTTGTAGAAATGGCTCTGCAACATACATTAAGGTTTCAGAAATTGTTTTCGCCTATACATGAATACAAATTCAAAGATTTTCCTTCAGCTGCTGGTATTAATTCTCATTCTGAAGCAAAAAGAAGAAATAATGGGGTTTCTTCCTGTAGTTCTAGTCGCTCATCAAAATTTTTAAAGGTTCCTTTGCAGGTGCATTTCTAGCCATCCCTTCATTTTAAACAATTGAAGTTAACGTGAGCTAGGTATCCTTTTTGTTTTTTTTGAATAAAAACAATTTCTCTTGGCAAACGGTTCCATTTTCAAAGCTGCAGGGTGGTGGATTCAGAACTGTCGGAGTAAGAGCTTCTCGATCAGTCAAAACACTCAGTTCCAATGATGGAAAGAAAAAGCGATGGGAAGAATCTAGCGACACTGATGATGATGACTACGAAGATAGTGACGATGACAATTCTACAGGAAAAAAAAGTGAGGTGAATGACCCATATCTTATGGATGCTGAAGAGAGACGTGAATGGAGAAGGAAAATTAGAGAAGTGATTGATAAGCATCAAGATGTTGAAGAGGAGCTGGACCTGGAAGAAAAGAAGATAAAGATGCAGAAGCTCCTAGCTGATTACCCCCTTGTCGTGGCGGAGGATGATCCTGATTGGCCTGAAGATGCGGATGGGTGGGGATTCAACTTGGGTCAATTCTTTAACAAGATAACTATCAAAAATAAAAAGAAGGATGACGATGATGAGAACTATGATAGTGAGAATGAAATAGTGTGGCAAGATGATAACTATATTCGTCCAATCAAAGATATTACTACTGCAGAATGGGAAGAGACGGTGTTCAAAGACATCAGTCCGTTGATTATTCTTGTACATAATCGCTATAAAAGGTTATTTTACTTTAATTCCATTCATCTGATTTTAGCTCATCAAAGTTAAAAATAATGCATTTGATTCTGTTATAAGACTAAGGTGCATGGTTCTTTTGTTTGAGTTTGTACTTTGTGGCATCATTATCTGCTGAAAGCTTCATTTCGATTTTGCCTCTTCTGTTACCTTGTTTTAGGAGCAGTACTCTAAATTTCCTAGTGTACATCGTTAATGCCATCATGTTCAGTTCATCTCTTTTTATGTACCATAACTAAAAACAATATTCTATATTTTCAGATATGAGAAGCTCTTATCCTCTTAGAGTACCGAGCTATATTTTCTCATATAACTGACATGAAATGAAGACTATTTTTTTACTCGGTGAACATGCATAAGAATTTTCTCTGCTTTATGTTCGCCAAAGGCAAAGCTGAGACATGACAAACACTTTCCTCAGTTCAATCTTTGCTGCATCCAAAATTAAACTGCTATTAATTTTTAATCTATATTTGATATTCTCACCAGACCAAAAGAAAATGAGAAAATTCGAGTTGAACTGGATATGGCTGTGAACATCATATGGAACTGCAGGCTACCTTCTCCAAGAGTAAGTAGGCATGAATTATTCCTTGTAAATTCCATTCCTTTTGAGAGATTATTGTCTCTGACATTCTATTTTGTTCTATCATAGTGTGTTGCAATAGATGCTGTCATTGAGACTGATTTGGTCTCTGCTCTAAAAGTATCTGTGTTCCCAGAAATTATTTTCACTAAAGCAGGGAAGATCTTGTACCGTGAGAAAGGTGATTCTTTAATTTAATATTCCTCAATATTTTTCTTTTTATCTCTTTTATATCATGTGACATGACCAACTACATCTCTCTCTCTCTCACTCTCTCTTTCAATGGTTCAGCTATACGAACTGCAGACGAGTTTTCGAAAATAATGGCATACTTCTACTATGGAGCTGGCAAGCCACCATGTTTGAATGACACTGGAGATAGCCAGGAATTGATCCCATCTGTTCCTATCAGCAGCTAAAAATGCTAAAATTAAAATTGCACGGCCAGTTCAATAATAAGTGAAAGCTTCCACAGTTAGGAGCTTCCATATGTACTTGTTGCACTTGTATTTGTACTAAATTCACTTCTTTGCAAGAAATATAGGGGTCCTTATAGCCATAGTCATCTGATCATAAATGTAACTTGATTCTTCTTTTGGAATATGGTTGAAAAAGTTTCTTACCTGCATCATGCTCTACAGAGAACTACAAATAACTTGTTAGGAACTGCAGAAATGCAGTGCCCTAACTGGTGTTTATTAGCTGAGAAGCAGGAAGAAAATATGAGAGAGAGAGAGACAGAAATGGTAAGCTATTATTGAATTTGAAATTACAATGACATCCTTCTGTTTTACATCAAAATTTGTTTATATCGACCAAGTCTTAAAGGCTAATGACCTTTTACATGAGCAATTGATAACAGGCTCGGTCAAAAATTACAGTTCAGCCCTCAACAAGTCAACAGGATTACAATTGACTCCAATTTTATTACAATGAACTCCTAAAAGACAATTCTTGTACAAATAATGCAAGAAATCTCTAATCATTGTATACATTGCAGCAGCAGAAAGCTTGATGGTAATGAAATCGAAAGGCGAAGAGTTGGAAAGGATTAGAGCCATCAAATTTGCAGTCAGCTACTCCAACGGTTTTCTTATCACCCTTTCCTTGGAAAACTGTAAGGCATTTTCCTGTACTATGAGACCTCCAAAAGCGAAATCCTCTATGATTTAATTTCTTTGGTGGATTAATTGATTTCCAATCTGCTTCTGCTAAGCTTTTTAGTGACGTCAATGAGCGAAGCCTCACCTTGCCATGCTTGTCCACTGTTAGATAGCTGCCACTTGAGCATTTGTTCATATAGTTTCTAAACCTGTCTCACATACATTTTTTTTTAACGTTGAAGAGTTCGTTATACATTTTTAAAATTAGTTCATTTTGAATTGCACTAAATTTTTCCAAAAACATATATATAGTACACAGGTTTAACCTAATAATAAATGTATATGTAATATGAATACAGATTCAGGTTCAAATCCTTTTTACTCAGTGTTCTATATAGATACAAAGAGAGGGCTGAAATATGGAGGAAAAGAGAATTGAACCTGGGTCTATGTCCATGTCCATGTTGGCTCATTTTTTCAATCTATTCTCAGTTTAAATATTTGAAATTAAAAGAACAACCTTTGCTATTGTGTGAAGGCTAAAACTAATTAATCCAAGCTTTCTTAATTAAGAAAATTGAAAGATTTGCAATTACCTATGGTAACCAGAAGCTGAACCAGAAGTAGATTCCCAGCCAAAGTAAGCATTATACTTTGCAGAAGTGCCTCCTTTAATATTTGGCACTGAATAGACAGAAGTGTCATTAGCATCCACATAATCAGATTGCAAAGCACCAGCAATAAGAGTATCATCATGTGCAGTCATATGGGGATAGGCATCACTTGCAGGGCATTGTTTTGTGTCACATTTAGAGCATTGCCTGCAAAGTTTATCACTTTTTAAATCATCAATAACAGAGGAATTAGTGGTTGAACCCAGAAGAAGCACAAGTAGCCACAGAGAAATGCGATATCTTTCCATATTTAGAATTTTCATTGCCTTTCTGTTCAAAGATATCTTGCGTTGTATTTAAAGTTGGCCTTTGTTACTTATGGATATTTATTGTTTAATTTAATAATTTGTGTTCTTAGGTAATAACAACATTGTTTGTCGATAAAACAAATGTATAATTTTATATTAAGGTTTCCATTGTCTAAATTAAAAAATTATATATTTATTTTTGAGTAAAACAAATTGTAAAATGAAATGGGTTTTTACTTAGCAAGCCAAACTGTTTGATTATCTTGTAACATAATTAAGATTAAGGTACTTAAATAGTTGAAGTGAATTAGTAGCCGTCAAGAATCGAAGTATAATCTGAGAGGAGTTTGAGATTGATTGAAGATTGTTGTTCTGTTTATGTGGTTAAATATACGGTCAATTGTCTCATTTGATTTGACAGCATTCACATTGCTGCCTGCGTTCCAGGAAAATTGTTGCCAAGTCCTTGGAAAAGTTCCATTTAGTCCTCAAAGTCTTGAGAAATGCCATTTTCATCCCCAAAAGGTTGAGTTTAAATGCACCAATCATGCACTTTAATCACATCAAAATTACATTAATCATCATAGTTTAAATGCTTTTAATTAAATGAAACTAATTTTAATTTTGTGATGAAACTTACACTTCCTAGTCCTATTTCACTGGCTTATTTGTACCCTGCTACATGATGACACTCCCCTCGTCCAATCGTAACTCGACAGCCAGTCTTTGATTGACTTAAATTTGTGAAATATGAGGGATGTTTGAAGAGAAGGTTGAGTTGTGTTGAGGAATTATTTTGAAAATGTAGTTGAAGTTGTGGACAGATTATACAAGTTTGTCATTTGTAGTTTAATGTTATATAATATGTATTTCTACATATTAAGGCATAGTCTAATAGTAAGTGCATGTAAATAACTTCCGCTGTTATTTGTAGTTTAATGTTATATAATATGTATTTCTACATATTAAGGCATAGTCTAATAGTAAGTGCATGTAAATAACTTCCGCTGTTATTTGTAGTTTAATGTTATATAATATGTATTTCTACATATTAAGGCATAACAGCCAGTCTTTGATTGAACTAAATTTGTGAAATAATATGTATTTCTACATATTAAGGCATAGTCTAATAGTAAGTGCATGTAAATAACTTCCGCTGTTATTTGTAGTTTAATGTTATATAATATGTATTTCTACATATTAAGGCATAGTCTAATAGTAAGTGCATGTAAATAACTTCCGCTGTTATTTGTAGTTTAATGTTATATAATATGTATTTCTACATATTAAGGCATAGTCTAATAGTAAGTGCATGTAAATAACTTCCGCTGTTATTTGTAGTTTAATGTTATATAATATGTATTTCTACATATTAAGGCATAATCTAACAGTAAGTGCATGTAAACACCTTCCTCTGTTGTCACTACCATCTCATCTCTCTTCCACTTCAAAATTAGCTCCGATCTCAGTTTTGTATCTATCGAATTTCAAGAAAACTTTTTACCATAATGAAGAAGTATTGAAGGTCATGAAAAAGTAGAAAATTCAAATACAAACTTGGCTGGTTTAACTATAGGAGCAGCAAGCATTAAACTTGGAATCTAAACAATCATAACCCCTTTCTCAATCAAATACTAAGAAAAATACAAAAAAAAAAAAAAATAATAAAAAAAAAAAATCAATAATACTTCAAATACACAAATTCGTTGAGTAAACTCTGATATTATTGCACTACGTTTTACTGATAAGAAAATGGGAGTTTAAATCTAATTTTCATATACATATATATTTCCGAGAAACATTTTTGGCACAATTTGCGCCAAGAACAGTTACAGTGCAAATGGGATGAAAGTATTACAGTGCACTTGATATTGCTAATGTCATGCCAGATATGTAATTGTAAATGATAATATGTGTCATTTAGCAAAGCTGATTTGTTTATATAGCAAACACAATTTCTCACTCTTCCTCTGCATATTTTATTGTTTTAGAAGTTTTTGCCTTTCAAGAACCGTAGTTTCGCACTCAAAGATTTCATACCTAAATTCCTCTTTTCAGATAGTTTCAAGTTTCCAACTAACCTTCATTCCAACCACTATCAGCCAATTAATAAGACAGTCCAAGAAGCAAGGTTTATTCCCTAGGCATATACCCTTTTCTTTTCTCTATTTATTTTTTTTTTTTCATATACTCTTTGTTAGACTTTCTAATATATAATAGTATCACTAAAGCTTCTAACAATAGACCTCTTTCATCTAACTTGGCGTTTCTAAAGGATCTCTCAATCTTTGCATCCATGGATATATTTGTTGATAGTCATCTACTCATTTTTGTTATCTTATTCTACTCATTTTGGATGTTATAGAAACATTATGGTTAGATGACCATCAACAAACACATTCATGAATTTGCATTTCTTTTGTCATTTTATTTTTTATGAGACGACCATTTTATGTTTGTAAGTGTCATCTTCTACTCCTTTTCTACCTCTTCCCTTGGCTGTATTAGGATTTGCTACCATATGCTTGGTTAAAGAGATATATATATATTTTCTGGCACATGTGTCTTCGCTCTAATTGCTATTGTGTAATTTAGGGAAACTGTGATGTTTGGATTGCGTAAGGAAAGTGGCAACTGTAAGAAAAGAAGGGTTATTATATGCTCTTACAATTTGGGTACTTGTGTTGCTTGCTTTTTTTTTTTTTTTTTTTTTTTTTTGGTTAAGATCTTTTAATTTTTGTTTAAAAAAGGTTTTTTTTTTTTTTTTTCTTTTTTTAGGGTTAGATCTTTTAATTTTTGTTGAAAAAGGATTTACTCGAGGATTGAAACAGAAGAGATTGCAGTAACAATATTTTTACTACAAAATTTCTATCATTCAAAAGATGCTTGGATGGAGGGTTGTCGTGGATTTAATTGTTTGTGCCTTTGTGGTTACTGGTTAGGTGAGAGAGACGAGGGACAAGGATTAAAGGAAAGGGCATTTTTGTCTTTTGATATAAACTAACGGCAAAACCACATTTAAAATAGAGGGAAGGACAAAGGTGTTGAACTAGAACAAAAGTTGAGGATGTAACTGTGTATTTTAGAAAAGCAAGGACCTACTAAAATGTATTTGACCAAAACCAAGGGATGAAATAGTAATTCTCCCTATATTTACTTGGGCTGAATTTAATAAAACAATTAAGACCAAGCTGCTTGGTCCAATTCAAAATCAGTTAATTATGAAATGGGAATGGGCCCAAAGCCCTTAAAGTAGTCTGAGAAGACTTAGAATCTCTGTACTCAACTTCACAACCACATGTAAAAAAGTTATATAGTCAATGCTACCCACCAAACTTTAAAGTTTTCGAGTCAAGGCCGACTATAAGAATCAAATATTCCTCAGAAAATATATTTCATTGGGATAAATATAATGCTTTGTTTCTTTCAAAAATAACTTATATTTTAAAAAAATATTCCAAACAACTCATTTTTTTTAAAAAAAAGCAGAACTTAATAACAATATTTATGTTAATAGCCAAACTAAAGATATTGTTAATTTTTATTGGTTAAACATAAGTAAGATTTTAATGTTATCAATATTTATGTCCCTTCTCAAATGTTTGAGAAATAAATAAACAGACATTAGATACAAATTTCATATATTTATACTACTCTTTTTTTATCAACTGGAATCCAACACAAAAAGAGTAATTTTCGGTCCATATCTTTTCAAATAGCTTTTAATATTTTAATCGGTTAAAAGGTTAATTACTATTTGTTTGAATTGGCTTTTAGATATTAAATAGCGTTTTATAAAAAATTAACTCATGTAATGTTTAACTTTATGGCATTTTATAAAAAGCTATTCAAATAGTTAATAATTAATATTGTATTCGTCAACAACTTTTTAGATAGCTTTTTATATTTTGATTGGTCAAAATGTTAAACAATATTTAAAAAGCTGTTTCATAACATAGCGTTTGGACCAACTTTTTAAAAATTATAGTAACATTTGTAAAAAAATTAACTCATGCAATATTAACTTTTTAGTATTTCACAAAAACTTACTCAAATAACTAACTCATGCATATCTCTCATATATACTACCACGAGGTTAATACTTGTGCTAATTGGTTATGTAAGTTTGTTATTTTTCAGTATATAAGATTACAGGTGTTGAAGTCCTCTCCAATGAATCTTTCGCCTTGGCTGACTCATCATATTTCTGGAGTTGGTTATCTTCTATCTTCCACTAGTTAGTTGATTCCAAAACTTCTTAGCTTTAATTATGAGGGTAAAATTGTAATTAAAATCCCTGAGATGTGAACCTAAAGAAGAAGAAGTACAACGCGGAAAGACTTCCATTCCATTAAAGATTTTTTTTCCAGTTGTCCGCGTGGAAGGAGAACAGAAGGAGCCATTTGTTTGTCAGGGACTCTTCTCATCTCCCTCCCTCTATTTCAAAGAATCATACTGACACAAATTAGCTGTACTCAAATTAATTAATTCAAATCCAATTATTAAATTCAAACTATAGTTTAAATTTTAAAAAACTCACTATTTTTTTGTCATTAGGCAAATTAAAATTATGTAATTAACCATTCAAAAGCAAGAAAAATTTATCATTAATGAAAGAAAATGCACTAGAGAAATTAGAAAACAACTATTTACAGCTTGGACTTTAAAACTGACATAACGAAATTAAAAACAAAAATGCCAAATTGGGATTAAGCTCATCAGCATCCTTGTTTTCTACATTCTTTTGATTACATGAAAATCAAAACAAACATCACATCTGTATGAAGAACACAGATTTGATCCTAACCCAAAAAGACAATACCTTTCTTTTTTTTTTTTTTTTTCAAATTAAGCTCTAATTGCCATTCGAACTTGTAACCTGACAGTTCTGGATTACAGTATTAAACTGTATCGCCTTCTTCTAATTTCCTGTAACACAAGAAAACATTCTATGGCTTCTAAACCTCACAAGCTGCTTTTGAGGAGGAGAATAGGGACTTGCCACTGACATCGATAAATCTTCAACAGAACTGTATCTTCTATGCAGTTTCTTCCTTCCTGCATTATTACTATTTCCTCTCTGATTCTCAGATGAAGGTTTCAAGAAAATTTCTGCTTCATTGATATAAGCAAGAGCAGAACCAGAAGATAAACACTCATATTGTCCGCGAGTTCTGCTCTTCTTTAGTGCCTTATAGACCAAAGGAATCAAACCCTCCATTGATAAAACTTCTGCTTGTTTCTTTGGTTTCTTTTGTTGTTGTTGTGTCTCTGATAGAAGAAGGAAGAGGAGAGGAAAGTGCTTTAATATTTGAACTTTCTTTCTGTGTTCTTTTCTTTTGTTAGGGAAGAGAAATAGTATATTGGGTTTGGTGGGAGTGATAACGTGATATTGATATATGGAGTGATAACGTGATATTGATATATATATATATATATATATTATGTATATATATATATTCTACAAAATAAATATTTGTTATTTTCTTGGTTTAAAGGTATATATTCTACAAAATAAATATTTTGTTATTTTCTTGGTTTAAAGGTATTAAAAGTCTATTATGTCAATTTTGATTTTTTGACTTTGATAGAGGAACGAATCAAATCATAGAGCTCCATTAACTAATAAGAATGATGATGTTGTGTTATTAAAATATTTAAATATTAAAACTATTGGTAGATACATTTGCCTAATTGGATATACATGTACAGGTATATGTCAATTATTAGATCATATTTTACGAATGGATTCATAGCACACCTTTTTTTAGGGTAATAGCATGTTTTCTAAAACACTATATATATAAAGATAATTAAGTTCATATTTTATATAGAAAGATCACAGAGTTGAACAGTGATCATGAATAGCTACTAAGACATGTATTATGATCTGTCAATTTGATCGAATACTTCAAAACAAAATTGTGTTTTTTTATTTTTCGTATAAATGGTTTATTATTACACTTCATATGCAAAGATATAAAAACAATATATATATAAAAGCACATTACATGTGTTATTTATGAATTTTCTTTGTGGCTTAATATAAAAGCACATTACATGTTTTATTTTTGAATTTTTCTTTGTGGCTTAATATATAAATTGATAGCTAATTTAAAAATAAAAAAAATCTAGTAAAACTCTTAACTTTTAGATTTATCTATCTATTAAACCCTTCAATTATTAGAAATACATACTTGTGGAATACTTTAAATTATAAAATCACAAAAATTAAATATAATGTTATAAAATTTTTAATTACAAAATAAATATTTAATGAGTATAAAATTTTATAAATTAAAGTGTTTAATATTTACATGCATATTTATTCATTTTCATGTGTTGTATTTGATTCACCCATACTATATAACTAAAATAAATTAATAATTTAGAATATTTATAAATAAATTAAATTATTCAATTTTTTAATTTAAAAATTCATCATGTCTTATCTCATCTCATCCCAGTTGAGCTTAGGAAAGGAATATGCAAAACGTGTTATGTATATCAAAATTTTAATCATTTTTTAAGTAAATTTAATTGGCAAGACTTGAACTGTAGCCCTCATTTCTATTGTCGTTTTATATTTAATTCAATTTCATTTAAATGTGCAGTGTTTAAATCAATTCTCTTAATTATATTCAAATACATAATTCATTGTATAAAAACAATAAAACAAGAACTTTCAATAAACAAAAAGCATAGAGCAAATGAATAATTAATTACTCATTGTCATTTTAACTGTTGGTGCATAATGACTATATCTATATGAGGACTAGAGAGCATTGTACACGCAAAAGATTTCAAACTTATGGATTAAATGAAATGAAATTAATTATAGATAGAGGTTTCTTCTTCAACATTCTTTCTTTTAATTACCATTTTTAGGATATCTTATTTATTTATTTAGTTTCTTGGGAGGTCTAATTAATGGGTTTGCATTTATAAAATAAAATATAAAAAAAATAATGTGTAGTTTATCTCTTCCGCTGTCTTTAGTCCAACTGATAATTCCAATTCAAACATTTAACAGATGAAAAGACTCAAATTCAATAATATTCTGCCCTAAAAGAATCTAGAAGACAAAACATGTTACATATTTGATTTATAATTGTTAAATTTTATACAAATGAATCACTTCAGTCTTTTGGGTAATAAATAAATAATTTAGTTTTGATAAGCATAACTACTATTTAATCTCTCAATTATACTCAAATATATTAATTAAAATATCTATTTAAAAAAACTAATTATACAGTTCCTTGGTTTTATTTTCATTACAATATTTCATCTCTTTGTTAAATCCACTGTTAGTCAAATGATATAACAAGAACAAAATTGAGGGAAAATTTTAAAAAATATAGGATCTTGACTAGCATATTTAAATACATCGGTGGACTAAATAATAATTTACTATTTTAGATACTTTTTTATTATTAAAGAAAAAAAATTTAAACATATCATACATATATTTACCACTAAATTATATTTTTACACGCTCTATTTAGACACTTTTAAGTTACACGATACCTAGCATATATACATTCAACAGGAATAACAGTGAGATCTCACTGTATGTATCTTCTTCCCGTTGACCTGGTCAGGCCTTACCAGTAAAATACTGCGTGCTAATACTTTGTTAGTCTATAGTTCAATCCAACTTTAAAATTCAAGTTGGTGCTTGTGCTATTAAACTTAATCATGACAACGTTGTACTGTATTGGTTGTTGCTGTTGGTACAAATATAACTGTTGTTGTCCATTGATTTAATAAAATAAAACGGTTTTGACTGGAGTGATAAGTTACATTTGCATATTAAAAATAATATTCATTTAAAAAATTTTAAAATTTTAAATATAAAAAGATGTTGGCCTTTTAAGTGTTGAATGCATTAATTCTTCTGTGCAATTAATGGCCTTCCTAAGTGGGTTGAATATAAATAGAAAAATTAGTTTAGGAAAAGTCCAAGGTTTGTAATTGTGTCCCTCATGTTTGTTCACCTAATGCTCTATGTATCTTAGTCATATAATCTCATAGGAAACTTCCTCTCTCTCTGCCAATCTATATATTCTCGGGAAAATATTCAATTTGATCCTTAAACTTTCAATAAATTTCTGATTTAATTAGAGTATAAACTATTAAACTTTGATAAAACTAATACATTAAATATACTTTGAAAATTTTTGTCAAAGATGCAAAAATAAAAATGAAAATTACTTTCAATTTTCATGTTTTTTAGTTCTTTCTTAAATTTATATTTCAAAATTTTTTATTACTTTAAGATTAAAAAAAACTTGGTATTTTATTATTTTTTTATGAAAAAATAGGTAAATTATTCCAAAAATTAATTTTGAACCAAGTTGAATATTAATTAAAAATTAAAAGATCAAATGAAAGGTTCAACCAATAGTTTTCTGGTGAGAAAGTCATTAGTACTCTATACATATTCTGCTCAATACTTATCCTAATTAGAGTATTTAGTACTCACATCAAGAAAAAAAAAAAAAAAAAGAGATTAAAACAAAAAAAAAAAAAAGAGATTAAAACATATATTTTAAATGTATAAAGGTTCTCGTTATGTTCTAATCACTAATAATTTTATTGCTTAATATTAACATAGTAAATCAATATTTTAAAAAAAAAAAAAAAAAAGAGATTAAAACATATATTTAAATGTATAAAGGTCTCGTTATGTTCTAAATCACTAAAATAAAATTATTGCTTATATTAAACATAGTAAATCAATATTTATTCCAATAATTTAATAAAACTCATAAAAATAAATATTTATATATTTAGATTAAATTATTAGATAAATTTTGGTAATGAATTATTTTATTTTTCTTCTCTCAATGGCAAAATTGCAATAAAAAGCATTTAATATTAGAATTTTTAGTTGACTCACAAAAAAATCATCAAACAGCAACTTAGTTGAACTACAATAAATTAGATAGACCATTTACTTAATTTTCAAAAACAAAGGTCCTAACTTACAAATTTGATCAAACCATAGAAATTAAATAGTAATTTACCCTTTCCAAAAAAAAAAAAATTACCCTCTTAAGAATTATATTTAAAAATATTATATTCTGAATTGTAAAGCCAACCAAACACGACATTAAATATTTTGTTCGGATATTTGAGCAACAAATAATATAATGTTGTGGAATTTGTCAACATAAGAGGCATGTTTAACGCACATCACTTTATAATATATTTAGAAATGAAATTAGAAATTCTTTCTTTAGAGTGTTAATCTATGATTTGTGGATGTATGACATTGTAACTAATCTAGATAAGCTTTATTATTAACTATAATTGCAAGTTACAATTATACATATCTAATGTGGATTTTTCTTGCAAGATCATCCTCTCTAGTTGAAAGTCAGCTTCAGAACATCTAATCTAATCCAAGTTCCGTTTTCCTCTTGCTTATTACTTTCTTTCAATTGTCAAAGTACATAAAATAAAAAAAAATAAAAAAAAAAAAAGGAAAAAACCCCTAATTTCATTTTAGAGAGCGATTGTTTTTTTAAGATGCAATCATAACAAGGCGCAAGGTCGCAAAATTTCGACTTATTGTTGGTTGTTAGACCTTGTAGTTTAGCATGAAAAAAGTGTTTAGAAAATTTTAAAAAAATGAAAAAAAGTGAAAAAATATTGGTTTTTCCATCTTATTGATACTGAAAAAGATTTCATCTTTGTACAAGGATAGGAAGATAAAGGAGTTTAGGACTTCTGAATTCTGATAAAGCAGGAAAATGAAGTTTTGGAGAAAAAAGTAAAACAAGAAAAGTTGCAAACCGAGTATCAATGGCAAAGGAAGATAAAGAAATGAAATAAATCTAGTAAATGGGTCCCAGTCTCAAACCTGTTCAAGCTCTTCTGCGGAAACTGCTCCCCCAATTGTTCTCTTCTGTAAATGCTGCAATAAACTGTTCTCTTCTTGCAGTTAATCAAAAATTAGTCTTCTTAATTATCTTATCTTTACAACACTGTTTCAAGAAATGAAGCCCTAACTCTTCTTCTTCCTCTTCTGATCTATGATTTTGAGAATCTAAAATCAAGCTCTTAAATCTGAAATGTCATTAATTGAAACTGAACTTTTTTCAAATGTCCAGCTGCTGTTTATTAGTTTAATCCCATATTTAGTAAAGACTATTCTATATTTAGCATAACTATTCATAACAAGTTTTTCCTTGAACCTTGCAATGCACTATTGATCACTCATTCATCTCCTCTCTGGCCTGGAACCTTAACAAATATTGACCAATAGTTTGTTTCTCCATCCTGTGTGCTTGCAATTTAGACAATTTTCATAAACCATCGACAAACAATTTTCTAAAAATAGAAGGGTAAAACTGCACTAATTTGTCCATCATCAACAAGAAAAAAGCTGCAAGGAACCAGCAAATATATTTCAATATTACCAACACATCCACAAAGCTCTGTTTTGGCTTCTTCAGTAAAGAAATGAAACATTTTTAATTGCTCCAAGATATCATAACAACGCGCCTCATCATAAAATTAATAAAAATTAAGAGAAACAAGATTCAGATAAAAAATATTGTAACAATAAAGTACAAAGATGGTTCAGATTATGGAACAAATAGAATAGTACAATGATGGTTCTTGTAGATTAGATCTAAGGTTACAAGGCTTATTCTACCTGAGCCAAGGAATGGTAAAAGAGTGCAATCATTACGTTTGAAACAAGTGGTTCTTGTAGCATAAGGTCCAATCTGAATCCTCGGACCTAACCAGATCACCTGCATCAGTGCTTATAGACTCTGCACATGAACATGGTACCTGAGGAGGAAGCCCCTTGGCTTTTTCATCAATTTCATGTCCATTATCAACAAATATTGTAGATACAGAACAATTAGTTGAAATCTGTTCATCCACTACGTCAACATTGAGCTTAGGACTGCAGAGAGATTTTAAGGAGTCATCGTTGCAGCCATTGGTATCATCTTCTTCATCTGATAAGCATCGACAAGAATCAAATTCATCCATCTCAAAGATCCGACTAACTAGTCCTTCCCTCCATGATATCCTCATTTGAGATTGTGACACGTTTTCCATCGAGGAATTAGAAAACCAAGAAGTCCTATCATCTAAAATTTTTTGAAACTTCAAAAGATCAACAGAATTAGAAGGTGTAGTCAAACAATCAAACTGAAAACTAGAACTAGTTGGATCCCATATTGACTCATGGTTCTTGGGAGATAAACTAGCCATTTGAAGATGCTGAGTCACAGAATTAAGTTCACAATCAAAGTCATGATTCTTTCTACCACCATTTGCATTTAACCAGGATATACCAAGTCCTCTATCTGAACTAAAGTCAGATTGCGGGGTTTGAATTACATTTCCACTACCCAATGAATCGACAGATACCGGGGACCTCTGTTCATCAAGATCAATGCAATCCTTCCTCTTTTCTTCAGAACATAAAACATTCGCCTTATCATACAAAGGAGGCCCCATAAATCCTCCACTCGGAGAAAGCAAAGAGGCATTCTTTGTCTTCCTCTTAGCACTAGCAATAGAAATACTTTTATCAGTGGTGCCACTGGATAAATCTGGTGAAAAGACATCATTGCCAGGCGGAGGCGAAACAGAAAAATTGCGTCCAGCACTCTCCTCCAACCTACAAATACGACACAATCCCTTCTCAGAATTCTCTTTTTGATCCTTATCGTCCTCCTCATCACAAGGCGATAAAAGCCAATGCATTGAAGCCTCAGCAGGCAAAGGCAAGATGGAAACGCTAGAATTGTTAACAAGATCTGAAGCATTCTCTTTTTCCAGTTCATCATCACTTTCAAAACAATCAAGAGGCATAGCTTCTCCTACAGTGAGTATCCCTCTAGGCCTACACTTTCTCTTATCAGTGACCCCTGAAACAAGATATCCAGCTCCATAACAAACTGGGGTGATTGTTTTATTAGCCGCAGACACCATAGATGACCCACATTGTATCTCCGGAGATACAGAGGCCTGAACTGGAGGTGTCTTAGTATTAGCACTTGTAGAGTTCGTGTTAGTACTATTATTAGTATTTGATTTCTCATACTTATCATCATCAACATCAGTTATAACCTTGCTATCAACTGCTGCAAGATTCAAAACAAATCCACTCGCAACCTTACTTAAAGGAGTAAAATTCGATCCATCAGCGTCACTAACAACCCGTTCCGACTTTGTAGAGCCAGATATCAGTTTATTTACAGGATTGCCACTACTACCCAAAACTGAAGAAATTTTCAAATTTTTGGGTTTTCTAACAGATTGAGAAGGTTCTAGCTTAACTTTCTGCAACTTTTGTGAAATGGGTTTATGAAAAATATTGCGTTTTGGTAAGTTCTCCTTATTGGGTCGCACATTAGGTGCAGACTTAGGGGTTTTGGAGAGTTTTACTCTAGTGGGTCTTTGACTAGTACCATTAATGAAAGGAGTTTTTGCAGAAGAAGTGTGAGAAAGAAAGAACCTGAGACAACCCTTTGGAGCTTCAACGGAGGAAATAGAAGAAGCGTTACTGTTACTATCATATCCCTCCTTGTTAGAGCCGTTACTAACACCAGCACCACCATTATTGAGATCTTGAAATGGGCTTCTAGAACACAGTTTTTGCTTCTGCTTTTTGCGTTGAATCCTTATAGTAGAATCCGGCCATGCAGTAGTGGAAGAAGATGATTCCTGCTTATGGGATTTTGATGATTGATTCATTTTTGCAAGAATGATTCGATTTCGAACGTGTGTGTGAGAGAGAGAGAGAGAGAGATCTAATGGAGTAGGAAATGTTAAAAAATAAAAAATGGAAAAAAAAAATAAAAAGAAAAAGTTGTATATATTATTCTTGAATCTTGATTTGAAATATTGTGGGGATGAGAGACTGGAGTTCATCTTTTTGTCAGTTACCCCCTTTTCTCATATTTATTTCAATAATGCCATTCATTTTGTACGAAACGTTTGTTTTATGTAAAAAGGAGTGGTCAAAAATTTAAATGTTGGTCCTACGCTTCCTACTTTTGATTTTTTAATAATTCATCAAGCCTTTTTGTTTCATTCTTCATCATATCCAATCCAAACATAACAGCAAAACCCACACCAAGTTCCATTATTATTATTCTTATTAACAGAAAATTTAAGTGATATTTAATTGACATTATGATGAACATAAGATTCTTTATGTTTTGCAAATAAATTTTAGGGCACATACGTATATTTACCATCAATTTTCCAACTTTAATTCTATAATATTTTCAATTTTATAAATGATGTGTGGTATATTTTCATTTGTAAATTTGATAATATTACATGTCTTTTTATATTAACGAAGATAACTTTTATAGTTTTTTTTTATTTTTTTTATCAAATATTGATTTGATGTGCAAGTATCATAAATAATAATTTTTTTTCTTTCGACTATTTAATTGATATTTAATTGATTTAATTTTATAAATTGAATTATTTAATAAGATGGATTTGCAAGTTAATGTGTTTAATAAGTGCAGTTTTATAAGTTAAAGTGTTTGATGGATCAAAATATAAGTTAAAAAATGCTACATAGTTAAAGTAACAAATTTGAAGGTAAAATTATATATTTAGCCATAAATTTTAGTTGTGAAACTTTCATACACCAAGTGTAGATAAGTCATTCTCGTTTTCTTACATTATTTGTATTTCTCTTTTAAAAATTTTGAGTACACAAAAAATAATTGAATATTTGACTTGAATTTGGAAAAATGATTAAGATTATGCACGTTATAGCTATAAAGTTGTTGAAATATATCGGAATTCATCATTTATTGAAACATTCAAATCAAAAATTAAGTATAAAGGGGCTAGCAGGGGCCATGTCCTCCTTCCCACCCACCCACCTTCCAACCCCAAACTTTTTCAGGTTTCTTCATAGAATTCTCATTCCAGAGAATCACTTTCTAAGTTGACATTTTCAAAAGTTAGCTCAACTAACAATAACTTTCGATATCATTCAAAAAAAAATTTTTTTTTGGTATTTACATGCATAACATTTCATAGGTAAACAGAGGAACTGTGAAGTTAGGTGTTGAGAGGAGCCATCAAGCACAGGAATTTTGGTCCTTGGGAGAATATAAATTACTCGGGACAAGTTTTCCTTGTTGAAAAAAATTTTTTTACGTTGTTTAATTTTTTTCTAAAAATTTTTATTTTTTTATAAAAAATTTAGAACATGTTTTGTATTAATAGCTATTTTTCTTTGTTGGCATATCAATTAAGTTTGGTATATTGAAATTGGATATAAAATATGTAGCTATATAAGAAATATTGTCACGATTTGTTTCCATTTTGTGCTTTTTATAGTAAAAAGATACATATACCTTCATCAAGCATTATGAGTTCATTGAACGTGTTATTTTACAAAATTTTTATAGTAAACTTAAATTGATCCTTACACTGTCAGTTTTGGACAGTTCCAATTTTCTATAATTCCTACGTTATTCCGATATCTATATGTATTTTCTTTTTTCTAAAAAAAAATACTTTCCATATTTAATTAGGAATTCAAAATTAAATAATTAATCAAAATTGTCTTTTCCATATTTGATTTGATTTAATTAATCAAAATTAATTTTTCATATTTAATTAAGAGCTCAAAATTGTTTTTTTTTTTTTTAATAACAAGGAGGGGACACCCAATAAACTAAGTGGAGGCCACATTCAAAAGCCTATTTTAAAATTGAATAGTTAATCATAATTTATTTTCCATATTTTATCTATTGGACTCAAGATTGAATTTTCATATTTAATTAAGAATTGAAAATTCAATAATTAATCAAAATTGTCTTTTCATTTTTATCTTGATTAAATAAAAAATTCACTTTCTATATTTGATTAAAAGTTAAAAATTAAATAATTAATAAAAACTCAATGATTTTTTAATTTTTGTGCATTTTAAAAAAAAATAATATGTGAATTTTAAAAATTAATCAATATTAACTTTCCATATTTAATTAAGAATTAAAAGTGAATAATTAATTAAAATTATCTTTGATTTTGTCTAATTGATCAAAATTGATTTTGATTAAATACAAAATTAATTTTGTATATTTGACTAAAAATTAAAAATTGAAATAATCAATAAAACTTCAACTAAATTATCTTCTAAAATATTTTTATAGGTTAAACCGAATCAAATTGGATCGCCAATTTAAACTATCGATCTTAAATTGGTTTGAGTGCATTTTTCTCCTCCTCTTGAACATGAACCCATCCTTAAATTGTTGGTTTCAGTTTAGTTCTTGAATAGACTATCCGGGTCTATTTTGATTTATTAAAAATAAAATTTGATTCTAGTTCAAACTAAACCGTGATCATGCTTAACCTTCCTATTTACCAAATGATTTTATTAATTGAGTTGATATATAAATTGGACATGTACACCAAATATAGGAGACTGTTTCTTAAAATTGAGTTTCATTCTATGACAATTTTAAGGATGCATGATGCATTCTTCTATTCTCAAATGATTTGAAGGAGCATTTTTTTATATTGACTTGATATTTTAAGGAACTATGTAGTTCCTAAAATTTGCCCAAATACACTAATAATCACCTCAATTTTTAAAATTATACTATTTAGTCTTTGTATTATAATAAAGTATAAGGTTAAACCATCTGCAAGTTGTAGTTTAGTTAGCAACACAGACTGTCATATGGAAATAGCATTTGAATTCGATCTCCACTAAACACGTCTATAGAGAGTGGCGAAGAGTTTTAACTATGACTAAACACGTCTATAGAGAGGAACGAAGAGCTTTAATTATAACTAAGCACGCCTGTAGGGAGGGACGAGAAGCCTTAACTATATAATTAAGTCTCGAACCGGATTAAGCGGTCCCTGATAATATGTCCGGATATAGGTGGCTTACACCAAAACAAAATTATAAGGTACAACTGTTAGTTTTTCTATTAAATGACTATGAAATGTCAAAAGTAATCTTAAAGATTATTACTATATAGACCTTATATTTTAATGAAATACACTAATAAGGACCTCAATTTTAATAATTTTTAAACTATTTAGTCCCTATATAATAATTATTCTTAAAGGTACTATCGATATTTTACAACAACTTAACAGAAAAACTAACTATTTGAACTTATAGTATAATAAAATTTTTATTTAAAGATTAAATAATATAATTTTGAAAATCGAGATTTTTATTAGTGTATTTGACAAAAATTTAGGGATTATATAGTAATTACCTTACATAATGGAGTCTTATATTTTCAAATGATTAGAGAAGCATTCTTCTATATGGACTTGCTGCTTTTAGGAACAGTATTTATACTATTCCTGTATAAAAAAAGGATGTGAGGTAAAGAGAACCATAAAGATAGCTGTCAAGAGGAGCCATAGCATAGTAATGTTGGTCCTATGGAGAAAGAAATTGCTTTGGACAGGTTTTCCCCGTGAAAAAATTTTATGTTTTTCATCATTTCTGAAAGTTTTTATTTTTCATTTTTTATAAGAATCTTAGAGCGTGTTTTGCGTTCATAACTTAAAAAAAAAAAAAAAATTATTTTTAAAATCACCCAATAAAGTTAGACTAATTTGGATTTAGTCAATATTTGTCTGATTAGCGAATTGCTATCCGCCACTAGTTATACACCGATACAAATGCTAAATCAAATGAATCCTAAATTACCGTAATGGATGTATTTTTTTATACACTTTCCATGTGCATGTATAATTCAATAATTGTATTAATCCACTTTTTTACATGTTAATTAGTTAAAATAGTTATAAATACACTAATGCTCTGTTTATTTCTATAAAATAAATTGTAGGAAAATAGATTACCGAAAAATATTTTTCAAATGATTTATTTTGCGTTGTTTGATTGTAATATTAAAAATTAATATTAAAGCCTTTATCTCATAAGACTATAAAAATATTAATAATAATTACATGTTAATGTAGTTTAAAATAGTTATAAAATTACAACTATATGCTGCTGTTTATTTCTTACATAAAAGTAAATTGTAGGAAAATAGATTACCGAAAAATATTTTTCAAATATAGTTTATTTTGCGTTTGTTTGATTGTAATATATAAAAATTAATATTAACAGCCTTATCTCATAAGACTATAAAATATTATAATAATAGAAATTTTTATAAATTTAAAAATTTTATTGTTAAATATGAAGAAGATGCAAAATATATATATATAATTATGAAAAAAAAATCAGCCAATGGTTTGGTTGATAAATGATGACTGGTGATAGTGACTATAATATAAATTAATAAATTAAAAATATAGATTTAATAACAGGTTTGTCAATGTTCGAAAAATAATAATTAATAAATTAAAAAATATAGATTTATAAGGTTTGTCAATGTTCGAAAAATATACTACTCTCTCGAAAATGAGAAGTTATTTTTCTTAAAAAATGACGTAATTTTCCCTTGACCAGGAAAATATTTTCCGTTGACTTATTTTCCTAAGTGTCCCAAACAACGGAAAATTGTGAAAAATATTTTTCTGCAAGTTATTTTACTGAAACAAACGGAGTCTGAGGCTCTATTTATTTCCGTGAAATAACTTTTAGCAAAATATTTTTCACAATTTTCTCTTGTTTGAGGGGCTTTTAAGAAAATAAATCAATAGAAAATATTTTCCTGGTCAAAAGAAAATCAAATCATTTCTAAAGAAAATAACTTTCCATTTTCAAGAAAGTAAAATATTTTTCGGATATTGACAAACTTATTATAATTTTATAAATCCATATTTTTTTTGATTCATTAATCATTTGTAACCACTACCACTAATCATTATTCACCACCGGCCACCATCGACCACCACTACTGGTGACCAATGACTTTCATAATTTACTTTTTTTGCATTCTTTCCATATTTAATAATAATATTTTTAAAATAGAGAATTTCTATTATTAATAATATTTTATGGTTTTATGAGTTAAAAATTTAATATTTCTAGCTAAATTTCAATATTGCATCCAAACAACAGAAGATAAATAATTTAAAAAATATTTTTCAAGTAAAATATTTTCTAAAAATAAGTTATTTTCCTAAAACAAATGGAGTATTTATGTAAAGTTGATCTATTCCTATTTTTGGGCCCTAAGGATTCCTATATTAAGTTTCGGGCTTGAAGATAAAAAAAGTTCACATAGACTGTAAATGTTCCATTTAACATAAGATCAACTTACCCATTTGCATCAAGAAACTGGCCAATCATTCATATTTAGAGTAGGAAAAGTTTGTCTACATAAAATTAGTAAATGGGATTTTGCAGTCTACACCAACTTTTTATCTTTCAGGCCCAAATCTTATTCGCATTTGTTAATTTGGAAAATAAAATAGAGTACAAAATGGTCACTCTCTCAAGTAAGAAATGAGAAGTCTTAGCATGAGCCTACTACAATACATTGCGGATAATATTACTAAAAAGGGGCTCTTGCTTCCTAGTTTTCTTATAGTTGGATTTTTCGAAACCCAAAAGTCCTTAGTTAGAATAAAATTTCGATTCGGTACTTTTTGAGATTTTGAAAAGAGTTATTCTTTGGAGAAAAAGTTGTAATCTATGTTCGAGAGAGAGTTATTGTCTATTGTTAGCTTCTATGGTAAAATCAGTCGGAGCCTAAAAGATATTGGTTTATTCTGTGATGGATATCAACGGTTTGAGTCCGCTTATCTCCGACCTATAAACTTAACTGTATAAAGTTACATGAGTTGGCTCTAATAATTACCATGAGTATTTCCTATTTTTTTTTGGGAAAAACAAGTGTTGTTTTTTTAAAAAGCAAAGTTTACTTGTGTTATAATAAGTTTACTAAAATTTGAAAATATTTTCAATTTTTAGCCAAATTTTTTTAAATTAATTATTTTTCAGTAATTTTCTTTCCTTTTTTCAGTAACTCAGATGTCAAAAAAATCCGAAAATTTTTTCAGGAAAATATTTTTTAAAAATTTACTCACAATTATTAAAACTTAAGAGAATGTTATGGGCGGATTTGGCTTTTCAGAAATAATGAAAAATAAACAAGGAGAATGTCAGCGTTGAGTCCTACCATCTCCACTGCTGAAGCAGTCATAAAGAAGAAATCAAACATTGGGATCTAAACTATCACTCTCAAACTGTACCTGCTCAATTTCTCACAAATCATTCACAATTTATCTGTACCAGGAATTTTGATCCATTCCCATCAAGCTCATGGCATCAGAGCTAAAGAAGATCATCATCGACACTGACCCTGGCATTGGTACGCCTTCCTTTTTTTAAGCTTTGATATCTCTGGCGCTTTAATATTTCATCTTGCTAATTTTTACTCAAGTACTTATTGGATTCCAAAAGAAAGTACTAGATTGAATTTTGACCCTTTTCTTGATTTGGAACTCAAAATGATGTGGTATCTCTGACGATAAACTTGGCCGTTGGCAAAAATGGGTGTGACCCCAATTCTGTGTTCTTGTTCCTTTCAGTAAGAATGGTCGAATTTGTATGTAAATCTATGTGATTTGGGTTTTGATGCAAATTCAGATGATGCCATGGCCATATTTCTTGCGTTGAGGTCACCTGAAGTGGAGGTGATTGGACTGACTACCATTTATGGAAATGTTTATACCACCCTGGCCACCAGGAATGCCTTGCACTTGGTAAATATTTTGTGTGTTAAGGTTTATGAGATCCAAATTAATGATTAATCAGATCAAAGATTGAAGATTTGATTAATTAATTACAACTGCAATTCAAGTTCTGTTTCGACTGATTTTTTTTTTTTTTTTTCCAAAAAAAAAAAAAGCAACTGCAATTCAAGTTTCTGTTTCGACTGATTTTTTTTTTTTTTTTTCCAAATTAAAAATAAAATCCCGTTGCTTTTTTTTTTTTTTTTTCCAAAAAAAAAAAATCCCGTTGCTAACTACACTAATTTTGCTGTTTGCTGTTTATGAATTAGTTGGAGATTGCAGGGAGGACTGATATCCCAGTGGCTGAGGGATCTCATGTTACAATAACGGTATATAGCCTTCAACTTGATTCTGTATTGTAATGGCTCTTTGGATTTTCGTCTTCTATTGGTAATGCAATTCTTGCTGATTTGCTGATGACCTTCTGTAGCATGTAAAAGAATGGATGTATGAGATGTACTATAATTTTGAGTCTGACAATCAAAGCTTTGATTTTGGATATCTATTTTTTAGTCTTCAATTAGAGAAGCAAGAAAGAAAGTTTGTTCAATATGCACTTTGAGTCAAATATTTTATCTTTTATATCTGTTGACGAGAACAACTAACTTAGGATTAAGGCTTCATTTGATTGACTTAAGCTAGCCTCTACCTGATTTATCTTTCCTTGGTTTTTCCTGTTGCCTCGGTATGTCGTGGTGAGAAACATCTTCCATCTTATATGCTTTATATGGTTTATGTGATCTATAGTTGAAGGCAACTCTCTGTGAATGAATTTCACACAGAGTTGTGGCTAATTGGCTAATTATGGTAGTCTTTAGATATTGCAAGTAGTCTAATCGTGTTTGGTCTTTATTATTTTATATATGCTCTTATTACTTTAACTCTGAATTTCACAGTATTGCATTCTTGCCGCAACAAATAATGGTGAAATATGTAAACTGATTTGTGATTGAATTTTCACCATTAACCATTTCATCTTTGTTTCTTGTAAAGAAAGGTACAAAACTTCGTATTGCTGATTTTGTCCATGGTGCTGATGGACTTGGCAACCAAGATTTCCCCCCACCAAAAGGAAAGCCAATCGAACAGTCAGCCGCTGAATTTCTGGTTAAGCAAGCAAATCATCACCCTGGAAAAGTCACTGTGGTGGCGTTGGGCCCACTTACAAATATTGCACTGGTTAGGTTCCTGACCATTGCTAATGGTTTTCTATAATAAGCTTCATTTAGTATATTATCTAATGGATCATCTATTATACAGGCTCTTGAATTAGATCCTGCATTTGCCAAAAACATTGGACAGATCGTTCTTCTTGGTGGTGCATTCTCGGTAAATGGGAATGTGAATCCTGCAGCAGAGGCAAATGTAAGTTGCATGAATGGCACAACTAGTTTTATGATGCTTACTTTTAGGATTTCTGATGTATTGGGCGTCTGAACATTTTGCTTGTCTGCCATTTGTTTTACTTTCTTTGAAATATTTTAAAACTTAGGACCCAGCTTCTTCTTGGGCGCTTTGTAAATGTGCTACATCCCATTAGATTTTTTAAACACATTGTTTTTTGAAGTTACCATAACTTTCTATCAAGTTATTTTTGTATCATCTCAAATTCTTTGTAGCTTATTAAGTTTTCTGCAGTCGGTTGTGGTGTCTGAACATATTGCTTATCTACTTTTTGTTGGAACTTAAATTTATTGGGTGTCTGAACTTTTTGCTTATCTACCTTTTGTTTTACTTTCTTTGAAATGTTTTCAAACTTAGGACACAGCTCCTTTTGGAGCTCTTGTAAATGTGCTCCACCCCATTAGATTTTTTAAGCACATTGTTTTATGAAGTTACCCTAACTTGCTAATAAGTCATTTTTGTATCATAAATTGTTTTCTGGCTTATTAAGTTTTCTTTGTTCAGTAGTTGTGATTTTATCTTTGCTGTTGAGAAAGAACTTCATTTCTTTTGGATTAAGAGAGCCTGTGAAGGACTTCTGGAATTAAGCTTCTTTGGCAAGCAGTAGTGCTTCTAGTTGAATAATTTTCTTTACTAACATCTGAGGCGGGTCTCTTTACTTCTCTCATTTAATATCTAAAATTCTAGACTGTATGACCAGATTTTCGGCGATCCAGATGCTGCTGATATTGTCTTCACCAGTGGAGCAGATGTTTTGGCTGTGGGAATTAATGTTACTCATCAGGTTGTTTTGACAGGTATCGTTTTGACAATATTTGGTTTGCACATGCATGCTATTATATATTTTTACAATATTTGTTTGCACATGCCCATGCTATTATATATATATATATATATATATATTATATATATATATTCAAATTCAATTAATGGTGTTCATAACACCACATATAATTTTATATATAGTGGAGTTGAATAAAAGCCTTTCTGGTGACCTGTCAGAAACTAATCAAATGATTGGAAAAAAGTGTGACTTAAATATTCTGCATACAACTCTGTTCACGTAAAGAACTAATGTTCTGTGTACGTAGTTCACCTTAAAACAGAGGGGGAGGGAACCAATTATGTATGAATTTAGATATGGATGGATAGAATGTAAAATTTAGTCAGATAAAATATGTTTTATGCTATCAATAAAAAGATTTATGGACAGTGTAAAATGATTTGCCGAATATTTTGATATCCTTGTTTTCAACCTAATGCTTTAACAAAATTCATATGACAACTACCCCAGATAGATTTCTGGACATTTGCTTTAACCCTATTTTTCTTTCATAACTAAAACATTTGTACTGTAGTTCATTTATAAGGAACAAATGAGGCTCTTAAAGTATAGGTTTAACCTGTTCTCGGTAGTTGTCTCAGTGAATTAGTCTCTAACGAAAGTTCCTTCCAATTACTTACAATGGGAAAAGATTAGCTGTTTTTTAACTCTTTGTTTTTGTTTCCCCTTTTATATTTTCTCTGTTATATTTCTTGAGTTATCCTTGCATGTAGGTGCATTTTACTAGACTTGGGTGATAAAATTTGATTACCTATCATAAGGTAACTTCCAAAATTAAATCCTCCAAAAGAATACGTATAATCATAATAACAATGAAGCACTACAATTTCTCCAAATAAGAAAATCTTCAATAAGATAATATAAGGGTCCATTTGGTCAGCTAGTCATTTGAAATGATTGAGTTTTTAGAGTTGGATGTCATGCTGATTATTACTCTTGAAACTAAAATCTAAATTCACCTTCATTTTAAATTACCTATCCAAATGGACCCTAAGAGAATTCATCTAAAAGTCAACATATAGCTATATTAGTCAACTTAGGATCCCTGTATATCTGATATGTAATGAGACCGGAACAAGCAAGATAAGAATGTTCCAGTAGACACAAATTTTTTATTTAACAAAGAGGTGGTCAAATATTCAAATATATCACTAAACATTTTGTCTCAAAAAAAAAAAAAAAATTATTTAATGATGTTTTTATTTGTTATCATCACTTTATGGTACATTGGATCACTCGAAAAACTGGTCGTTCTTCTCCCAAAAAATCCATGGTAGGTCCTTTGCCATGCATTTTTTCTTATAGTAAGATGGGGATACACTCGGCATCAATATTCCACAGATTTATACCTCATGGGGAGGACCACTTCTATATAAGACCTTTATATCTCAATTAGATTTCACAAATTCTCTACTAGACTTTCCTTTTCAAGATTCCAATGACCAACAGTGATTATTTTCTTTATATCCTTAGATGACTTTGTTGTTTCAAATTTAAAGAGAGCATTTAAAAAATCAACTGAGTTCACTGAGGTAGTATTCTATCCGCTAGAGGCTTCTGTATGACTTCTTTATAATGTTGTTTCTCAAAAGATCAACGTGAAAGTTACATATTTTCTTGTGAATTATGCTTTACTTATGTTTTAAGAGATTATAATGTCTTTTGTCCCGACAGTGCTTTGTTCTTTGGCACCTGTAGTTTATTGTCATCTTTTGTGAAGTTATGAAGTGGGATGCTTGTTGTTAATAATGCTTTTTGGTGGCATAAACTAGCAACTTGTTCATGTGGATTTTTTTGATGGATTCTTCTTTTTCTTTAGCTATTTTTTTCTTTACTTGGACATATTGTAGATGTTGACCGAGAGAAATTGGCACAATCAAGTGGAAAATTTGCTCAATACTTGTGCAAAATTTTAGAGGTGTATTTCTCTTATCATCATGAGGCATACGACACGAGAGGTTTGTTCACTTTTTTGGTTGATACGGCCGAGGAAGTTGGGTAGTAACAAAAACTTTCAAGTTCTTGATGCTTAATTTTGCTCATGATGCAGGAGTATATCTTCACGACCCCACAGCACTTCTTGCAGCTGTTAACCCTTCACTTATGACCTACATTGAGGGTTCTGTTAGAGTCCAAACAACTGGAATCACAAGGGGGCTGACAATATTGTATAACAAACAGAAGAGGTAGGACTGTCTGAGATAGTTTCTTGGAGTTTGTTAAATCATCATGTGGGAGATGATATCAATTGAAAAACAGTTGGCATCTGTAAAATTAGAGTCACTAGGATGCCATATTTTAAAATTAAAAGTAAAGGAAAATAAAGGTGAACATTTTCGTTAGTTTGGTTTCTGGGGGTTGTCTAGTACAAATTCCACGGTTTGAGCTACAGAAATAACAGGCACATACAGTCTTCTACTTTGGGATTAATAGAATAAGTGTTGAGACACTGCATTAAAATTTCTTGTTATACAAACAAGTTAAACTTACTGCAGTAAAGTGTTACCTGGTGCATATTCCTGTAAGATGATAACTGGAAGGAAAAGAAAAAGGTCCTTGAATGAGATATTCTCATGCTTCATAGTAAGAAATGCAGCTAATCTTTTTCTCAAAATAATGTAAACAGGTTTGGTGAAGTAACCGAATGGTCTGATAAGCCGTCAGTGAAGGTGGCGGTAACGGTTGATGCTCCTGCTGTTGTCAAATTGGTCATGGAACGCCTTATGGAATCATAAACTTCACAGACCAGAATTTCCTGTTTATCGAGGAAATCATCTCTTGGTGGTTCAGTGGTCAATAGACGGTGATGTAGTTAAAATTCCATTGTTGATAACTGATCTATGTTATGTATGTTACTGGTTATCGGTTCATAATTTCGAAGTTTGATGATATCCCACTGCATTGAGTGAGAAGAGACAGAGATGGTTTTATTGACATTGGGATTAACATTTTGTACCAATTATACTGGAAATACTGATGAAATAAAGCAACTTGCTGTTTACAGGTACTCAACTTGAATTTCCCCCTGCATTTTAAGGGCATAAAGCTTTTTAACTTTGGTTAATTATACTTTCTGGCTTTTGTGTGTTTTTCTCCTCTATGTTCAGTTTAATTTAACTCAACTTTTATATTAAAAATAAAAATATTTTAAATGATAGATCTGCAAATATTATAATTTTATAGGGATGAAAATTTAGTCTGGTGATTATAGTTTCCTTCAAGCTGTCTTCTTGCTTTCAATTTTTATATAAAAAACGGTTAAATTATAACCAGCAGCTGCACCTTCAGCATCTGAAAGGTAAGGAACAGAAGCCAATTTCAGCAGATAGAATTATTAAGAAGGCTCATCAATTGCCTTTTTTTATATGAAGCAGCCAAATAAGAAACCAAACTGAGCTATTAAGCATATAAATAGCATCATAAAAGTTACAAAAGCATACATATATACAAAGTTACTCACCGATGACAACAGTGATCCAGCCCAAATTGCTTAATTGATTAAAACCATCCTTCTTGCTATTAGAAGCAACATACAAAATAGTCCCTCCTATACCTCCCCAAGCCAAGGTTATATCCTTCAAGCCACCATCAGTTGCTTAATTGATTAAAACCATCCTTCTTGCTATTAGAAGCAACATACAAAATAGTCCCTCCTATACCTCCCCAAGCCAAGGTTATATCCTTCAAGCCACCATCAGCGGATGTAGCATCCAAAGCAAAGCAATCAAAGGAGTACTGCATTGCCTTTTTTCAAGCAGGCTCACCTATAACATAAAAAGAAAAAAAAAATGAATATCGCCATCAAAACACATTGAGCAAGTAAATGAAATTGCACTGAAACCTAGATAAAAGAGCTGAAAAACAAAAAGAAATGCTATAAACCTTATCATCAGTTAGAGCCGGTGAATAAGAAATTCCCTGCATAAAAAAAATATTTGTTAACCGATGTTTGTGTGTTCAAATAGACTGAATTGTACACATACGAGAGAGAGGAAAGCTAGTTACAAAGTGGAGTTTGAAATGGCGGAGCCTACGAAGGAGAGAGAGAGCTGCCGGCGGTAATGAGAAGCCGGCCGAGTTGTCTATTAGAACTGACTCATCTTGAATGACTCCGGCTACCAACGCGCCCATTCTTTTTCTCTGTTATTGTGTTCTGTCTTTTTGGCGCAGCAAAGGGAGAGTAGAGGAATGAATCGCAGAGTGATTAAGAAACGTGACGCGAAGAACAAATGCCTCTTCTTTACTTATTTTATTTATTATATAATATATTTCTTTTTGGAAGACATCTGATTCATTGAGGTGCGTGCTGCTATAATACCTGCACATCTATAACTAGTCGGTCACACGTGCGTTCCAATTTCCACATATTTGGATTTAGATTTAATTTATATACTCCATACGGGCTTTTTTTAGAGTAATTAGGAAAATAATTAAATCATTTAAATTATGATAGAATAATCTATATATACATATATTAAAATTAAATAATTTTTTTGGGCAACTTTGATGCGTTACTATAATTATAATTCCAAATTTTAAATTAAATCTCTCTTTTCTAGATATAACCAATTACTCTAATTAATCTTAATTTTGAGACAATTTTTTCCCCTCCACATTCTAATTAGTGGCTATGGTATAAAATTTTCCATTACATCTTATTTTTTATTTTAAAATGTAATATTAAAAAATTTAAATATATAAGACACTACACTTTCCCATTCTATTCCTAGAGAAGGAGTGTTGAGAAAATGTAATTATAATATGAAAAAATTAAAAATATAATTATATGTACAAAATTGTAGTAAAAGTATCACTCAACTAAGGGAATGTAATATTGTTTATCAATATTCACAAAGTCCAAGTTCCCGTGCAAATATCCGGAGATCATTTTTTATTATATACTGGGATGTTGACGTCAATTTAATTTATTGACATCCTATTTGGTTTTATAAAAATAAAAAATATATGGTATACACTAAGACATTGTCTAGTGATAAATATTTATACGACTTGACAACATATATAGGTTCGAATTTCCCTTCTCGAATGTTAAAAAAAAAAAAAAAACTTGAATATATGACTACAATCTAGTTTTAGTATTATATTCTGAAATATTTTCATTGACAAATAAGAGATTTGAAAAGATAAAATTTCTAGTTTTAGTATTATATTCTGAAATATTTTCATTGACAAATAAGAGATTTGAAAAGATAAAATTTCTAGTTTTAGTATTATATTCTGAAATATTTTCATTGACAAATAAGAGATTTGAAAAGATAAAATTTCTAGTTTTAGTATTATATTCTGAAATATTTTCATTGACAAATAAGAGATTTGAAAAGATAAAATTTCAGTATTTCGTAGGAAATTTTGTATTTTTAAGAAAACTCAATTTTTATTAATATGAACCCCAACACATTTTTTTTTTATATATATTTTAAAGGGTTGAAAAATCTTGATTAACAAATAAAACCAAATTTTTTATTTGCCAGTGTAATGATTAGTCTGTAAAATGCAAAAAATTTTTGAAGCCTGTCAGACAACCATGCGACCAACCCATTCAGCAAGGCTGGCTGGGTACGATCCTCTACAGTCAAACCTAGATCCAAGGACCTAGCAAACCGTTAATCACGCTCGGATCGCACGGTCCTGATTCATCAACCAGGTTTGGGTTCCTGTCTCCTTTGTGCTAAAGGATACAGATGTACGATCCTATAGAACAGATCCTGTTCAAGTAAGGTCGTGACCACAGATGATCTTCAGCTGTCTTAACTAGAAACTAATCAGCTTGTTGGTTTCCGATGTGGGATTGGCTTCCTTCCTTTCCGGAACATTTTTGTCAGAGCAAGTGTTGCTATTTAACATCTCAACTCTCAAATCTTATCTTTTCAACCAAATTGAAAGATAATATTTTGGTTTAATTTTTAATATGACTTAATAATGTTAATATTATTGAACACGCATATAGTAAATTATAATATAACTACATGATTTCTCATGCTTCACAATTCACATTGCTATATATATATCCCCGCTACTTATATATAGGTATATCATATTATTTGTTTTTTTTCGTTGAGGGTTTAATGACCAGTGGGTAAATGTCATTATTAACATCCAAGAAAGTGTGTACAGTTGTTATACAATACATCATGATTTAAATTGTCGTCTTTTAATTGCATATGCCAGGTAAGAATCGTGAAATATTTTTTTTTTTTTGAGGTTTAAGACATGGGTAAATCATTATTAAATCAAAGTGTGTACAGTGTATAAATAATATGATTTAAATTGTTGTTTTAATTCATGAGTAAGATGTTGAAATTTATTTTTTTTTAATACGTGAGTCTTGATTATAAAAAGCCCAATGGAGCTCTACGATTTTTTTATTTGCGACACTCAAAGAATTTTGATAATTTTTTGAGTAATGTAGGTATCCATTAATTTTTTTGGTTTATTTAACAAGTATGTAAAATTTAGTATTAGTATCCTTTAAAAAAAAAAACTAGTTTATGCAAAATAAATATAAAAATAATTATTTGTATACGTGACCTGAATAATAGTTTAGAAACAATCATCTCTTATTTGTTATTATTATTTAAAAAAAAAAAAGGAATTACTAAGTCAATGCCATCGGCTTGGCCATCTCGATTTAAGACTCCTTCGTAAGGTGCACCTAACCCCCTAAGCATTTATGGGAGCCCCTTCCCATAGGATCGTAGGCGTCAGCGGTCCTCAGCCCACAACAATAAAGCCTAACCTAAAGAGAATCAACAATTACAGAATGCTGTCACGAAGGACCAAACATGGATCAAGCAGGCGGATAGTGAATCCCTTTACCACCAAGGCACCTCCTCTGGTTATGTCTTATCTTTTTACACGCTATTGATTAATATTCTTTTTAAAAGCATTTGTTATGTGATGAATAGTTGAGACATAACAATAATTTGTTGGAAATACTAATTAAAGCTTTAGATATGGAAAAATAAACTTAAAATGAATAAAATTGGAAGTATGAATAAAATTGGTGTGGAATATATTTTGTAAATGTAAATGATTTATAATTGAAAACCGACTTGTGTTGTATTGGAATATTGATATTTGAAGAAATAGGATAGAAAGTTTTAATAAAGTTAATGGCGAGGTAAATTTCACACATAGATAAATAAAAAATAGATATATATATATTATAAAAAATAGTACAAACATGAAGGAGGTTATTTTTCTTCCAAAGATAAAAGTTTTGTAATTCATACCTTTTTACCATTGAATAAATTGTAGTCATTTTTGTTAAATTGATGGAATGCAACTTCAAATAAATTTAAATTACGTTAAATTCAAAAAAGAGAATAATATAAGTTAATTAAGAAAGTGCAATTGAAGGATTAAAAACCAAAGCAAAAAGTTGAGAGCTTGTCAGACAACCATGCGTGTACGTTTTTAATCCACTGTTCTCCTTCAGCGGTAGAGGAGGATATGATCACCTACGGACTAGGGAAGCATTTCAAATTACAACAACATCAAAACCAAAGACGGTGAGATCAAGCTTTCTTGAAAGCCAATTTGCAGCGTCAGTGACTAGACCAAGATCAAAATAGTGGCTATTGGGTGTGAAGAAATCCTTATTGCCAGAGCCCTCAGTGCTGGTAGAAGGAGATTTTAAGCTGTGGACATTGAGCTTAGGGTTGTGAAACTGGACACGAGACCTTAATCAATTGAAACAAAGAGAAAAATGAAGAAAGGGAAACACATGTTACCTGTCAAAGATTAAAGGCCCATTTCTTTCAGGTAATTTCATTAAGACATCAACATTAGGCATAGACTTCTTAATAGCATAGAAAACTTTCTGACCCAGGACATAGATCTTGAACAAAGTGGATGAATGGTCAACATATTCCTGCATAGCCAATCTTCTGAATTATAAGGACAGACACATTATACTTGAGTAAAAAGAAGAGGAAGATACATATCTGAAACTATCATTTTCAGGTAGCTGATCAATAATTCTAATCCATTTGACCCTTAAACAAACTTAGACTTCAAGCCATATTTCAAAACCAATTTATAATGCCTTAGATTTTCCAGAATTAAAGAGTCAAATTTTGTCGTTTCTCTACCATGTACAGACTCTAACATGTACAGACCCTTAATCAATTAAATCATATTATTTATGCACTGTACACACACTTTGATTTAATAATAATAATTTACCCATGTCATAAACCTCAAAAAAAAAATATATATATATATATATAGAGCAATGTGAAGCATAAGAAATCATGTAGTTATATTATAATCTACTATATGCGTGTTCAATAATATTAACATTATTAAGTCATATCAAAAACTAAACCAAAATATTATCTTTCAATTTGGTTTAAACAGAGAAGATTTGAGAGTTGAGATGTTAAATAGCAACAATGCTCTGACAAAAATGTTCCGGAAAGGAAGGAAGCCAATCCCACATCGGAAAATAACAAGCTAATTATTTTCTAATTAACACAGCTGAAGATCTGCTGTAGTCACGACCTTACTTGAACAGGATCTGTTCTATAGGATCGTACATCTGTATCCTTTAGCACAAAGGAGACAGGAACCCAATCCTGGTTGATGAATCGGGACCGTGCGATCAGAGCGTGATCAACGGTCTGCTGGGCCTTTGGGTCCACGTTTGGCTGTAGAGGATCGTACCTCGCCAGCTTTGCTGAATGGGTTGGTCGCATGGTTGTCTGACAGGCTTCAAAACTTTTTTGCGTTGTACAGACTACAATACTAAAGCTGCTTTTATTTTAATTACATGTAACTTATTTATACTTAATTTAATCTAAATTCATTTGAAATTCTCTCTCATTAATAATTAATAATTTAAAGATGATAATTACATTGGCAAATAAAAATTTTGGTTTTACTTGTTAATCAAGATTTTTTAACCCTTTAAAATATATAAAAAAAAATGTGTGGGGGTTCATATTCATAAAAATTGAATTTTCTTAAAAATATAAAATTTCTTACAAAATACTGAAATTTTATCTTTTCAAATCTCTCTTTCATAAACGAAAATATTTCAGAATATAATACTCAAACTATTTTAGTCAATTAGGAGTTTTAACTCTAAATTTTAGTTTACTTCAACTAATTAATAATGATAGTGGAAAGTTAATTTGCGTCTTTTTGAATTGCAGTCATATATTTAAGTTATTTTTTTTAAACATTCAAGAAGGAAATTTTGAACCTATATATATTGTCACGCTATGTAGATATTTACCACTAGACTATATCTTAGTGTACACCATATATTTTTTATTTTTTATTATGATAACAATGTCAAAGATTTGCTTCTAAAATAGTGTATCCTTGTTATGGCATAGGCAAAGCTCAAAACTTTAGACTTTTATCTCTGGAATTTCCAAGGAACTGGGGCCACATTCTGCTTATTTGATGTGAAAATTTCTACCAGATGAAATGTATTTTTGAACTTATTCTGGATACGAAATTCAATTTTGGCATTTGTAATTATTTGTAACACATCAAACTTGCCCAAAAAACTTATTTAATTTTAATATATGTATATATAGATTATTCTATCATAATTTAAATGATTTAATTATTTTCCTAATTACTCTAAAAAAAGCCCGTATGGAGTATATAAATTAAATCTAAATCCAAATATGTGGAAATTGGAACGCACGTGTGACCGACTAGTTATAGATGTGCAGGTATTATAGCAGCACGCACCTCAATGAATCAGATGTCTTCCAAAAATTCTTTATCTATCGATCAAACGAAGGGTTGCTCAAAGATTTGCTTCTAAAATAGTGTATCCTTGTTATGGGCATCAGGCCAAAGGCTCAAAACTTTAGACATTTTATCTCTGGAATTTCCGAAGGAATACCATCTGGCGGGCCACATTCTGCTTATTCTGATGTGGATAAATTCTTCTACCAGATGACAATTTATGTACTTTTTGAACTCGTATTCCTGGATACTGAAATTCCACTTCTGTCATTTGTAATTATTTGTAACACTATCAAACTTGCGCCCAAGAAAAATACTTATTATATTTTAATCATGATGTAGTATATAGATAGTTTTATCATAATGGTTAAGATGCGAGTTTAATTATTTTTCCCTAATTACTCTAATATTTAATTTTAATATATGTATATATAGATTATTCTATCATAATTTAAATGATTTAATTATTTTCCTAATTACTCTAAAAAAAGCCCGTATGGAGTATATAAATTAAATCTAAATCCAAATATGTGGAAATTGGAACGCACGTGTGACCGACTAGTTATAGATGTGCAGGTATTATAGCAGCACGCACCTCAATGAATCAGATGTCTTCCAAAAAAGAAATATATTATATAATAAATAAAATAAGTAAAGAAGAGGCATTTGTTCTTCGCGTCACTATTTTTAATCCCTCCGCGATTCATTCCTCCACTCTGCCTTCGCTGCACCAAAAACACAGAACACAGTAACAGAGTAAAAGAATGGGTGCATTGGTAGCCGGAGTCATTATAGATGAGTCAGTTCTAATAGACAACTCCGCCGGCTTCTCATTACCGCCGGCAGCTCTCTCTCTCCTCCGTAGGCTCCGCCACTCCAAACTCCACTTTGTAACTAGCTTTCCTCTCTCTCGTATGTGTACAATTCAGTCGATTTGAACACACAAACATCGGTTAACAAATTTTTTTTTTTATGCAGGGACTTTCTTATTCACCGGCTCTAACTGATGATAAGGTTTATAGCATTTCTTGTTTCTTTAGCTCTTTTATTTAGGTTTCAGTGCAATTTCATTTACTTGCTCAATGTGTTTTGATGGCGATATACATTTTTTTTCTTTTCATGTTATAGGTGAGCCTGCTTGAAAAAATAGCAATGCAATACTCCTTTGATTGCTTTGCTTTGGATGCTACATCCACTGATGGTGGCTTGAAGGATATAACCTTGGCTTGGGGAGGTATAGGAGGGACTATTTTGTATGTTGCTTCTAATAGCAAGAAGGATGGTTTTAATCAATTAAGCAATTTGGGCTGGATCACTGTTGTCATCGGTGAGTAATTGGCTTGGGGAGGTATAGGAGGGACTATTTTGTATGTTGCTTCTAATAGCAAGAAGGATGGTTTTAATCAATTAAGCAATTTGGGCTGGATCACTGTTGTCATCGGTGAGTAATTTTGTGTATATATATATATATATATATATATATGTCGGTTTGTAACTTTTATGATGCTATTTATATGCTTAATAGCTCAGTTTGGCTTCTTATTTGGCTGCTTCATATAAAAAAAGGCAATTGATGAATCTTCTTAATAATTCTATGTGCTGAAATTGGCTTCTGCTTCTTACCTTTCAGATGCTGAAGGTGCAGCTGCTGGTAATAATTCAACCGTTCTTTATATAAATAAACTAGAAGAATTGCTTTTTACCATTTGCCACTTAAATAGAAAGGTTGGTTGGGTGAGATTTTTATTTAGGCAAATCACCTCTGCAATTATTTACAATGATTAATATTTCTGTTCTTTTGGAACTTGTAAACATACTTTATTTTATCTCAAATTCAGCATCCTATGAATTTTTTTTTTTTTTTTTTTTTTTTTTTTTTTGCGTTATTGGCAGTCTTTTTTTTTTTTTTTTTTTTTTTTTTTTTTAATTCAAACAGGCGATTGGCAGCGATGCTGTTACTGTTGGTTATATCATGAAGCCTTCACGTGAAGAAGATTTTGCTAAGGTGAGCCCTTAAAAGTGAAATTGGAAGTATTTCTTTTAATGTTAGAGAAAGAGAAAGGTTGGAGATTAAAAGGAAGGGAACTATAGGTGGTCTGATTACAGAACAATAAAGAAGTGAGATGTCCCTTATTAAACTCCTGCGTTGCAATTGAAAACTGACTGGTTCTAATTTTAGAACCTAGACTCGTATGTGGTTAAGCCCATGTGCTATTCTCATTTACTAAATATGCTGGCTCCAAAATGTGACATTACCCATGAAAAGCGTAGACCATCCATCACTGATTACAAAAGAAGTCAATCTGAAACTCTATTATCCTTGATTAAACTGCTGCATTGCCATTGAGAACTGACTGATTCTAATTTTAGAACCTCTAATTAAATATGGGTTGGCTCCTCGTTGCCTGAGTTTTTAAATTTTCTAATATATCATATTCAGAGGTTATGAAATGTGATTTATAGTCTGAATTATGTAATACTGTTGGAAGCTTATTCTTTGTTTTTACTATTGTAGAGGGGTGCATTCCCCATATCTCCTACTTCAAATGGATTGATGTTTCTGCCCCTGACATTTGAACTCCCCCTACTATTTCAATTACAACATGTTGACATAGTTCTGCATAAAGCAACGGATGAAATCATCTCTGTTGAATTAGGCAGCTCTACAGAATCCTCAAGCAGAATTACTTACACCACAGGCATGCAAGAATTACAAGGGTAATCTTTCACGTAACCTTGGAACAGTGTCATATAATGTGATGAATTATCTGATGTTGTCTAATGTTGCCTTTCCTATGTTGATCACATGACTATAACATTCATCATGATATTGCCTCCAAATTTCACTGACATCCATTCCCTTTTTTCTAGGATCCATATATTGGATATATGATTCTTACACATTGCTATGAGTTTTCCCGGGTTGAATCAATTTACAGCTGCATCATAAGAAATTTGTGTATTAATTATAATATCTAAAGTCTTTTCTTACAAGTGTTTATTCTTTATACAGGTACATGGAAGATCCTTCCAATTGCTTTGTGATTGACCCGCTTGATAAAATATACCCTGTAGTAGATCGGCTAAAAATACAACAAATTCTTCTTGGGCTGGAGGATATCAACACAGAAGGCCGCAACACAATTAGAGGACCACATTTTCTAAAGGTCTTTTGGTCAAAATGGTATCTGTTCTATTTAGTAAACTGAGGATTCAATGGACAGTCTGAAATTATTCACGTGCTCTTTATTTTTCTCCTTTTCCCCATATCTTGATAACAGTGATGAGACATTATGTAGGCTTTAGGAAATGTTGTGAATAAATCCATGGGTTTGACCACAAAAATTGTCAGCACTAGGATTTCAACCTAGGTCAAAAGGTCATGTCTCATCATACACTGAAGATAAGACAACTCAGTCAACCCCTTGGCACAATGATTAATTTGATTACATAATCTTTTGAGGTGGAGAAGTTAAAATATAGTTAACTCTTGTTTTGTCTTTGCTGATATGCAATTCATTTGCCACAAAAACTAGGTGTTATTGTGATGGATCCATGTCACTGGAACCATAAGTAGTTCAAGATGCTAACATTAACATGGAACTGCTCACAAATCTAGGGTATGTAATCACTGTTTCAGACAAAGAAGCTTTATAGCTTATACTATTTTGAACTTGTTGCTTCCAAAACTGTAAAGTCTTCTATAGATTTAAACTTGTAGCTGCTAGCAAGACATAACATTTTTTTTCATCAGCAAAATAAATTAGTTTTATTAGAAATCCAGGAAAAACTTATCAAACTCCAGCAATTATCCCAAGTTAATAGATTCCCCCAATACACCCAACCTAACTAGAGAATGATAAGTGAAAAAACCTGATCCATATTACATTTAAACAAAGAAAACAAGTTACAAAACAGAAGCCTATTCTTGAGATAAGAACAAAGAAATCTTTTGCAATGAACCCATTTTACGTATTGAGAAGATATAGCACAGACAAAGTTCTTCAAATCATAAACTGAAGAAAGGATCTCTTTAGCCCAAACTAAGTCCAGGCCAAAAACGTAGCAGTTTCCACATCTTTCTTTGCTAATATATCAGCAAAAGAGTTTACTGATCTTGGAATCTGCACAAAACTAATATTTGATAATGATAAGCACAAGAAGTCTAATCTAAGCAAGACATAACATTGAACTAAGAATAAATAGGATGGGAACTTAATGTTTTCACAGGAATTAATACGGATATTTGTTTATTTTGGTGAACTTTCAGCGAGACTAAAATTTGCTAGCTGACCAAGTTGGCAGTGGGTTCTGAAAGATATGTTCCTTGAGCCTTCTGCTTTGATATTGGGAGAATGTTGATTAACATGATTTTCACACATCCTGCTTTATAGTGAACTTGTAAGGAGAGAGGTGTATCCTCGTATTATAGTTTCAGATGAGATGATAAATATGTGACATCTTTAGCTTTAACTTAGAGGTGTCGGTGAAACAAATGATGCCACAGCCCCTTTTATTTTAATTTCTACTGTATTGATTTCTGTTGGTAATATTCTCAATTATTCTCAAAGTTCTTCTGTCCAGATCAAAATCCATGCAAGGTTCATTAATATGTATGTAGATGTTCATGAGACTTACTGCAGGCACTAAATTCTCTCACTAGATTATCAATATCTGAACAGCAATGGAATATGAATAATGTAACCCTGATAGGTGAAAGGGTGCCAGTAATCCTTGAATCAAAAGGAATTGTTAATTTTAGCCCGTAAATTGACAGGTTAGGCTGGTAAGGATCAATACAATCTTTCCAGGCTTAAAGCTGTTATTGATTTTTATCATTGCACTTATGCAATTAACCAATGGTCTGTAGTTATGTAGAACTTTGGTAACTGTAGAGCAAAAGTAAATTTGTTTGTAGGTAAGAAGAAGAGTAAAAAACTAGCAAACCCACCTTTCATACTTCTTTCAAATGAAGGTTAAGTTCAGGCATCATGCTTTGTCCTAGCTTTCACCATTTTTCTCCTCAAATCACTTACACTGGAGTTTAATCATGCAGGTTAATGATTTTAATGAGCCTAATTTGGTTCAGAGGCTGTTGGAAGCTAAACTAACTCTTCCTAGTATAGTCAAACCTCAAGTTGCCTGTGGGATAGCTGATGCTCACAGTATGGTAAGAATTTGTTTGCATGCAACAGAAACCATTTTGGTGGCTAAACTCTATCAGGGCTTTGTTACTTGAATTCTATAGTTTGCCTAGAAAGATTACTTTTCGATTTTTAATATTATTTTTCATTATATTGATTTTTTAATTATAAGTTTCTAGCTTGAATGTTATTAGTTATTCTAATGATGCCTATTAGTGAAGGGTTGCCATGTCAATACCAGGAGTTTGCCTAAATTGGCCTATTTGTTTTGTTGTATTTGTTTATGGTCTAAAATATAGTTTTTTCCCCCTGATGGTGCAACTGTTACCAATTACCAATAGTTTCCGGGTTAACTTCCTGGAAACTCATGAGGCTAAGAAAGGTGCTGGCCTCTTTTGCAATGCGTATATACTTCAGGCTCATATTATTATGTTACTGTTTTGGATGCTCAATGTTCTTGACACAGGGCATACATAGAGCTAGTTAAATAGCAAACTGCCTTGTTGCTTTATATCTAAAGTTTAAGTTTACTTGGTTATTCATTTAAGCATGGTAATGTTGTTGTTTCTTTGTTAATTGTTACTTTCATGAGCCTGGTAGCCACATGGTTTCATGAGAATGATGATTGTATCACCTTCTTTGCTTGTATAGTAATTATTGAACGTGTTATATAAAGGATGTTCTTTAATGTTGTCACTGTAGATGTTTGATTCGCTTAACAAATTACTTTAAAAGAACTATATCTTTTGGGTATAGTAGATAGCACAAACTACTCTGGCTTCTGAAGGAAGAATCTAACCTTTGGAGTAGTTCATCCTTTGGGTTTACTTAAGCACATAATTACAGTGCTGACTTGTTTGACATTGTTTTTATTTAATTGTACCAGAAGCATCAAGATTATGGTTCCTTATCCCTGGATTTGTCCTGTGTTTTTAAAGTGATCAATCTGCACATGGCAGGCGATTGTCTTTGGAGTTGAAGATTTTAAGGGTTTAAGTGTTCCTCTTCCAGCGGTTGTTCAGGTAAGCCTGAAAGTAATCATCCTATGATGACTTTGATGTGATGTTTTGATCCTTAGCAATATAATAGTGGCCCAGCTTGGCTTTTATTGTCTCATAGCTTTTTTATTTTTTATTTTTTATTTTTTATTTTATCATTTGGAGCTGGTTTATCTGAATCTTATTTATGTCTGCTTTATGTTGCTTTTAAAGGTGATTCCTCATGTGCAATTAATATTTCATCATGTTTTTAAGAGGTTGCTTAATTTTCAAAACAGTTACAGTTTTTTCTAGCATATTGCTATCATTCATATTGCATAGATATATTTTTGGACAAACTTCGATAGGCAGGGATATTGTAGTCATTTATGTCTCAAATCACAATGGTCAAAGCCTGTTGTAGTTGGTATTTAGATTATTTGACATGTCTTTGTATTTCTTTGACTGGACTGAAACGTACTTAACAATGTCAAAGTAGAGTCTGTACATGGTAGAGAAACGACACAATTTGACTCTTTAATTCTGGAAAATCTAAGGTATTATAAATTGGTTTTGAAATATGGCTTGAAGTCTAAGTTTGTTTAAGGGTCAAATGGATTAGAATAATTGATCAGTTACCTGAAAATGATAGTTTCAGATATTTATCTTCCTCTTCTTTTTACTCAAGTATAATGTGTCTGTCCTTATAATTCAGAAGATTGGCTATGCAGGAATATGTTGACCATTCATCCACTTTGTTCAAGATCTATGTCCTGGGTGAGAAAGTTTTCTATGCTATTAAGAAGTCTATGCCTAATGTTGATGTCTTAATGAAATTACCTGAAAGAAATGGGCCTTTAATCTTTGACAGGTAACATGTGTTTCCCTTTCTTCATTTTTCTCTTTGTTTCAATGTGTTTCCCTTTCTTCATTTTTCTCTTTGTTTCACTTGATTAAGGTTTCGTGTCCAGTTTGACAACCCTAAGCTCAATGTCCACAGCTTAAAATCTCTTCCTACTGGCACTGAAGGGTCTGGCAGTAAGGATTTCTTCACACCCAACAGCCACTATTTTGATGTTGGTCTAGTCACTGACGCTGCAAATTGGCTTGCAAGAAAGCTTGATCTCACCATCTTTGGTTTTGATGTTGTTGTAAGTTGTGCTTTCTTTGCTACACCTTTTTGCATTCTGTTGTTTGAGGCTTGACTAATTTGAATTAATTTCCTTGTTCATAGATATATGTGTGATTGAGTATCATAATACATTAACAAATGTGAATCTGGAAAAATGAGGAAAAGTTTATGAATTTGCATTGTGGTTTAGTCCTCCACTTGATGGACTCTGCTTTTGGGTCACTTCACTAGCCTGGGATATTTTCCTCATTATATGTCAGTTGGCTTAAACTTTCAAATTCTGTTATATAGCATGTGCATGTCATAACTTTAATTCAATTTAGGTATTGTCCTTGAGTGGATGACCATGTAGCATCATGTAAATACTATGTGGACAACTTTTCCTACAAGTACCATTATGTGTCTGCTGCTGTTATGGGTCTAAACTCTAACCAAATAAATATTAAGACTTAATAAACCTAATTCCCAAACTATTAAAACGACAAGAAGAAAGAAGTTATCCTCCAGCACTATTATTTTCTCGGTACTAGAAAATCCTTTATTGTTTGCTGTCTATTTGTTTTTGTCCCCCCTATATTAACCTGACAGTTCTCCTATATTTCAACATCTTAATCTTGTTTCTTCATTTGCAAAGCGTTTCTGTCTTTCATTTTGTCATTCTTTTCTTGATGTGTTCTAGCCCTGTTCCTCCATAACTTCTAAACAAGCCATGTGCCCTTAATTCTCACTACCTTCAGTCGCTCATTCATATGTTTGGTACATATCAGTTTATACTTCAGTATTATGATTGAGAGGATAATTTTATTCAGGTCCTTTTTTTTTTTAAATTTATTGCTTCTGTAGAAATTTATTTTAACGTTTTTGCTTTTATTTTATAAATAGAATTGATGGTTCTACCCTATCCCTTCAACTTTCTTGATTGATTTTTTTTTTTTTTTTTTTTTTTTTTTTTTTTTTTTTTTTTTTTTTTTTTTTTTGTTGATTTGAAAATTTTAAATTTTTCCTGATTTTTTTTTTTTTTTTTTTTTTTTTTTTTGTTGAATTTGAAAATTTTAAATTTTTCTGATAACTAGTACCTTCATGCTTTTGTTCTGACATTGGCCATAACATAGAAGGCTATAATGGAAGGCAAAACTGGTCAAAACAAATCATTTCGTAAAACCACAATTTATCTTTTAGTTGACAGACAACAATGTCTTAAAACCACAATTTGATCTTAACAAAACTTATTCAGGGGTATCTGGCTGGATTGAAATTAATGGCATAAGAACTAGTCGATTCAGTCATGATACTCTATTTCTCAAGTGATGCGAATTAAGTACTTGCCATATGACGGTATTACATGATGCATGGTGGTCCTTGTTTCAGGAAGTTCTAATGTGAATAAAGACAATTCACGGAGAGCTCAAAATTAGAGAGAAAAAGGAAGGAAACCAAAGAAAAAAGTTGGAAAATTAAAGAAGCAAAAGTAAAAGAATTAAATAAAAATATTTAAAAGGTAAAAAAGGGATCAAATTGTTATCACTTGATAATATTGATGTGGCATGCAAGTGCATCTTTAACAAAACCTTTTGGCTTAACTTTGAACTTCCAGTATAAAAATAAAACCAAACTGTTCTTCAAGAGAGTATAATGCTTTAGTATACCTATTTTATTTCTGTCTTATTACTGATAGCATGAACATTTTCATGGAAATCAATTACTCGAACTAACATTTTGATTATGCATTTCTTTACCCTTGATGGTGCGAAAGCAATCTTGAAATTCTATTTCATTATGTTGATATGATGACGGAATTTAGACCTTTGACTTGAGATATTATCAATAAGAAAGGTTCTTTTTCTAGTTAGGTACTAATTTGCATCCTCTTGTTAACTCTGTTTTGCTTCCAAAATTGCAGATTCAAGAAGGCACCAATGACCACGTCATTGTGGATGTAAATTACCTCCCATCATTCAAGGAAGTGCCAAATGATGTGTGCATTCCTGCCTTCTGGGATGCTATTAAAATGAAGTTTGAATCAAGAAGGATGAAATAAATGCTGCGAATATACCATTTTGAAGCAAATAAGTAGTACTTTTCCTGACTGAGACAGTATTGGCAAACTGCCCAAGAACTTTAACCATCTTTTGTTTAGACTAGTCATTTTCTTGAAAAGATGAGTTGAAATACCAATCATATATTCAGGGAGTACGTACTCGAAGAGTTTGAAGAATGGAGTGTAACTGATTTCTGTTTTTTTGCCCATTATTATTAGTAATCTATACCCGTCTGATTGTGAAATCTTACATTTGATAGATAAATCTTTTGAAGTCCCTTCTTGTGCCATATTCCGGCATTGGTTATATTCTGATATTCTTCTGAATGCATACTAGGCATGGAATATAAGTAGACTGCGATGATAAGAATATATATTTTTTTTTTTTCAATTTCTTCGTTGTAAACTTCACACGGTTAAATGTTTATATGCCAATATTATTAGTATTGTTATCTGAATTTTTTTAAAAAAAAGATGTCTACTGGAACGTTTCACTTCTATTTAACACTTGTTTTCTTAAAAAAAAAAATTATTAAATACTTTAAAACATATTTATTAAATACAAGTTTAGATACCTTTCAATCACCTAATAGTTATGTAATAAGTATGATTTTTCATCTATATTTTAGTATAGGTTATTGAAACCACAATTTTCATTTTTTTAATTGATATAATTTTTTGAAGTAAGAAAATGTTTTATGTATCAATTTTAATAGTCGTTGATTATTTAAAAATTATTCAATAAGTATGATTTTTTACGTATATTTTAACAATTTATTGAACCATGCTTTCATTTTTCTTTAATAGCTGTAATTTTACAATTTCATGTTTTATGTATTGAATTATAAGTTTTCAAAATAAGAATATAACATGTCAAGGTTTCATTAAATGTAACTTGCAAATTGAACCTAGTTATATTAATAGTGCGGAGTTCATTCTAGCACAAAAGTATTTTTATTATTCGTAAAAAGAAATAAAATGAAAACTTTTTTTTTATTTTGAATAACAATTATCTCTTTTAAAATTTTCATCAAATAGATATAATTAACTTATAAATCAGGATTTAGTTAACTTTTTTATTTAATATTTATCAATTGGGTGCAAATTAAAAGGAAGTTAAAAGGTTGAAATTTAAAATCAATCTTGGGGCACCCTCAAACTACAAAATATTAATTTAATATGTAGTGAATACAACTTTTAAAACAATAATTTTTATATTTTTCAACTATCCAATAAATATTTAATCAATTTAATTTTATAAGTTGAAATGTTCAACGGATCAAAGTGAAAATTGTTAGTGCCATGAGATTTTTCATAAAAGTACAAAGATGAATTAAGGGGGGATGACAGAAGCAGACTTATGATCACCAATCAAAATGGGAGTGAATTAAGGGTGGATGACAGAAGCAACATGAGATGAAGGCATATTGCAAACATATCAGTTAAAGAAGCTTCGTTGTTGTAGTAGTTATTAAATATTGCAATGCCTTCAGCCTAGAACCTCAGTTTTTAAGAGTAGATATCGATTAATATGCCAATCCAAAAATTATGGAATGAAACTCTCAGACAGATAGATAGATTGAAAATTGTCTAACAACCACAGAGACATTACAGTAGAATAATGGTCGAAATTAAATTGTTGATGCATACTTATCAAGTACCAGAAAAGAAGCAAGTGGAGAAAATGAGCTTGCAGAAGGTTTTGAAAACATTAAAGCACAACATTCAAATTGACCAATGACCATCAATGGAATTACAAGATCACAATCAAACAATTCATAAATAACATGGGGGATTTAGTAGATGCTAATTACATTAATGCAGATCCAAACAACAAAGAACACAGCGCAGTTTGCATATGGTAAAATTTAGTTATTAGAGTAAATAACGAAGAGAAGTAAAATGGGTGTTTCTAACTGACTCGTACTTAAAGAAAGTGTGAAGAAAACGTAAGAGAAGCACTCTTGTCATTCCAGAGTGCATCAGATATTTTGTACAGATTTTAAGATAATACTTTGCCATTAAGAAGCCAAGCTATAAATAGTACTGTATATAATTCATATGAAAAATTAAGTAACTACATGTTTGCCTAGTTTTGAGTAAAAGGTTCAAAAATTAACAAGCAGCTTTCGTACTTAATTCCCAATCTCAACACTTTGTACTTTTGCTATCACTGGTATCATACACATGCAACATATCCATGTACAATAATATCAAACCAGACACACAACAAAATGCTTCCTATTCACTTAATTGATGCATCAAGAATCATGCCTGCCATAACAATTCTTCATGTCCTGACTTTATTGTTATAACTGTCCTCCCGCCTCTCTAAACTTAAAATTGAAAGTTCATGACACCCACAGATCAAGATTAGCAGCACAGTCCAATAATTGAAACCCAAACAACAATCTATTCAAAGTTAAAAACACATCATTCTTAAACTAAATTCCCCTTTCTGCATCATTTTAGCAATGAACAAAACAAAAAAATTGCAAATCAAGTGCCAGCATCAAAAAGAACCTAGGACTGCACATGTTTCTACGGCTGGTCATATACTATTAATCCATTAACAGGATAAATGCAAAGGAAAGCAGGCAATCATCAGGGGTATTAAAAGTTTGCAATCAAAGTGTACTAGTGGGAATTCACTAGAATAATAGCAACAATATGCAGATCCCAGAATACATCTAACAAAAAAGCACATGTGGGAACTGAGGAGGGCTGCAATTGGTGCCATCGAAGAGTGTGTAGCAAATATGTAAGAAGAATTTAAAAGAAAGTACAGTCATCAAGACACCAAGCTGAAAATGGTACACTACATGCCATTTGTTTACAAATTATCTGTATATACATTCCAGGTCACGACTAAAAGACTCCAAAATCAACACCTTTAACAATTACTGAACTTTTACTGTCACTAGTTTCATGCAGATACAGTCAATTAGATCAAACCATACACTATAAAATAGCATCCTACTAAATAGATACATCAAATGCATCAAGAATGATGTCTGGTATTGCAATTCTTTATTATTGACAATATAAGTAACTACTGAATTTTCATGGTTGGCCTTCTCTCTCTATCTAAACATTTGTTGTTATTTTGGCATGCCTTTTTCCAGACAAGAAAAGGCTTGTTTGATAGGATAAGTGAAGATTCATTTAGAATGAATTTTTCAAATCTAGATTCTCATGTTTAGTATAAGTGAAAATTCATTTAGAATTTCACATTTTTCATTCTATGAAATTGGATATTCTTATACTAAATTCTATAAATTGATAGGATTTGCAAATGAGCTCAACTTACAAAGAGGACAAGCTACTAAAACTAATTAATTATAAGTACAAGCTAGTCATGCTACATATTTAAAATGAAATTAATATCCAAACATGAAAATTCAATTGCACCGGATTTTACAATGGAATTCATTTACAAATGAAAAGAATTCCATTTGAAATTATTCAAACACTGTAAACAAATTCCACAAAACTCAATGATTTTTTTTTTTTTTTTTTTTTTTTTATGAAAAGAATCCATTTTGAAATTATTCAAACACTGGTAAACAACATTCCACAAAACTCAATGATTTTTTTTTTTTTTTTTTTTTTTTTTTTTTTTTTTTTTTTTTTGGTTGTTGTTGTTGTTGTTGTTGAATTAATTTGTCACTAAACAAGGCCTAAACGAATTTTAGGCTTCAAAGAGTAAAACTTCAAGCATTACAAATGACATGCTTCTTATAATTATAAATACCAACAAAAACCATTTCACTTCAAGGGAATATCATTAAAAAACAGAAAAATGAAAGTGAATTTGGCAAATTAACATAAAATGCCCTTAACATATCAGAATTTAAAAAACTCAAGTAATGTTTCATCAATTAACAAAATCTCAAGAAATTCTCTATTGATTATGCAAAAGCCAGTTCAACATTGGAACCAGACAAAGTAAACTCATACAAATACAATTCGCAAAAGAAGCACTTCAAAGTCCATAAATTATCGAAAATTTTAGCCACTAATCCAAATCCTTAACAACCTTAATCCCCATACTATTAGCAGTACCAATAATAGACTTAGAAATAGACTCAAGAGACATATACTGACAATAAGGATCAGATTGCTTCACCTTTGCAATCTCATATATGTGCTTCAAAGTCACTGTAGATGCCACCACGTGTCCTGGCCGGCTGCTACCGGACTCGATTCCGGCGGCTTTCTTCAAGTACCATGTAACCGAAGGCGATTTGACGGTAAACTCGAACGTGTTATCCTTGAATGCCGTTATCGTGACGGCCATGGGGGTGTCCGCCTTGTATTTCTGTGTACGAGCGTTGAAGTCCTTGCAAAATGCCATTAAATTGAGACGGTACTGACCAAGCGCGGGACCTACCGGTGGGGATGGGCGAGCGCCGCCAGCTGGAACAGTGAGGCGGATTGTAGCGGCAACAGGACGGCGAGTTAGGATCTCCTTTAGGGTTGACATTGATCGGGTTTAGTGAAATGGAAGAGTGGAGCTTGGGTTCGGGGGTTTTGTTTGGATGGAGACAGGGACAGAGCACAGGAGGGTTTTTGTTTGGTAAAAGAAAAACTAAAATGTAAGTATTTTCGAATCCCCTCCCCCGCTACTCAAAAAAAACTAAAATGTAAGTATTCGATCCCCTTTCCCCCGCTACTCAAAAAAAAAAAAAAATATATATATCATATATATATATATATATATAATATATATATATATATCATAGAGAACTAATATTTATTTTTTGAAAATAAAATTTTGCAGAAATTGAAAAGGAAATTGATTTAGTTGAAGGGTAAAAATAAAAGTTAGCCCAAACCGAATTTTTTGAAATTAGTTGTGCCATAGTAAAGTAGATTACTAGGATGGTAATTCTAGAATAAAAGTTATAATCATTTAAAATTGGGCAAGGAGTTTAGTTAAATCATATTCAAATTCTTTAGTTACCAAATATTTCTGTTACTGTATAAATTTAAGAATGTATATAGAGGGGAACTAATATTTATTTTTGAAAATAAAATTATTGCATGAAATTGAAAGAAATTTGATTTAGTTGAAGGTAAAATAAAAGTTAGCAAACCGAATTTTTGAAATTAGTTGTGCCATTAGTAATAGTAGATTACTAGATGTTAATCTAGATAAAAGTATAATCATTTATAAATTGCAGGTATGTTTAGTTAAATCATATTCAATTCTTAGTTCTACAAATATTCTGTTACTGTATAATTTTAAGAATGAGAAAATTTAAATTTTTTAATAAGATGGAAAAAATAATAAAGCAACATCAAGTTTTATACGTTATGATAAAGATGGTTATTATGGATTAGATCTTTTTCAGTTTTAATAGTTGATCTAATTCAACACTAATTATTTCTTATTACAATTAAAAATAATTTAATAGAAAATTTTATCAATTACTTTATAAAGTTATTTATCTTATTGTTGATAATGTAAACTTTATTCAAATAATTTGTTTACATTGAATAAGTTTAAATTCAGATTTCAAACCCTTACTCTTCTATAAATAGCCATGCTTACTAGTTCCAAGCACAAGGGTTCCCAAGAAGAACCTAATGCTATGAGTTCCAAGCACAAAAGTATAGCCATTTATAAAGTATAGGTCTGCTCTACGAGTATTCTACTGAATGAGAAGATTTAAATTTTTCAACAAATGGAAGTAAATGGCAAACCTGGAATTTTCAGAAAAATAGCATAATAAAAATTCTCCAGGTGAGTTTAAGAAGGAATAGATAGCATGTACTCAAACATTTTATTATAATGTCAAAAGTCTCTGGATCACATTTATCTATAAGTAAAAGTATTTATGATTCCCCAATCCCCACCAAGGATTTCATTCATCTCATTTCTACATCATACAGATACTAAACTGAAAAAATAAAAATTAAGAAAAATTTTGTTCTGCAACATCAGTGCAAAAATACAAAAGACTAGACCTCTTAAAAGCTAATTTGACCCCTTATACCAACTACTTGAGATTGATAGCTCTTTGTAAAACCCTGCCATCAAAACCATTCCATGTAAAAAGACTTGATTTCCTCATCCCAGCATAGACTTGCATGTCTAGTTATAAGAAGAAAATCTGTAAACTTAGAAACACAAGTCATGCTATATTAACAGCAAGCGGCTTCCCTCGGCCCATAGCAAATCCTCTAGTACCATCTGGCATGCGGGGCCCTGGAGGTTGCTTGGCCACAGTTGGCAGCTCGCTCATAACTGGATTATTTGAAGGGGGAGTTCCCACGTGATTTCCACGGTTATTATGATGGTGTTGACCCCGCCCACGTCCTTTGTTACGGTGACCCTTATTTCGCCCTTTTCTATGTGCACCCTCCTTGTCATTCGCATGATCCTCTCCCTGCCCAAGCAAAGGCCATCTTATAAGGCACATTGAGACTGAGAACTAAAACATCATTTGATGGGACAAAAAACTTGGATGCCTTTTAAGGCACATGAAAAAGAAATCAATTTATTCTTCTGGATTCCAAGCAGTCGTACAATCCATTTGCTTCTCTATTCAACAAAATATTCCAGAATAAGCATTTGAATTACAAAATGTAAGACTAGAAGCCTATCTTGTGCAAAGAAAGTCTCATCCTCTCTTTTAATTTTTTTTCCCCCTTCTGAGCAAAAATATTGGGAAAGAGTAATTCAAATTCCTCATTTCTTTTGTGAATCACAAAATTTTCATATATTTATTTATTGATCATATATCTTACCAAGGGAATAGAAACCATTCGGAAAATTCCTAGGATTTTAATATCAGAAGTTCTTCAAACATGTCAAATTTCAAGCATTGATTGGTCGCATCAACTAATATAATTTTCTAAAAATGATGCATATATGCTCTTGATAGAAATCTGCAGTTACTTACAGATTGTTCATGTGAATGAACATCATGATGTTGGGGAGGACTTTCGTGCTGTTTTTCATTTGGTTGTTGCTCAGATGTAGAGGCCTCATCTTCCTCAGAGTGCCCTGACCCATCATGCCCCTTCTTTCCTCGTGCTTGCGTATGTTTGGACTAAAGATAAAAGAAACATACACATTAAGGCATCAATCTAACTTCAGAAATTAAATAAAACATGCCACAAATTAAGTTTCTTTATCGCGCCTTTACAATTAAATGCAACGATCAGACAGGTCATGATTTATAAAACTTCTTCATACAAAACAACTTAGGCTCATTTGTGTGTTATTCCAAGAGAGGATAAAAAGCAGAAAATAAAAATAAATAAATTTTTAAATAGTAAGCAAATGATCTCAAATTTGTACACAGGACGGATAACACTGCAGACACAATTAAAATGGCAACATTTCAGGTTGTTAGAGTAGACGCAGTTTCATATCAGATGTTCAGCAAAAGACATGTTTCATCTTATTATGTGTTATCTTTTATACTTCCTTGATACTCTCTTCTTTTTTCCTTTCCTTTAAATTTTCTCCCCTTACAATATGCAGCTATTTAGATATCATCCTGCCTTATAGTCTTTTACAACTAAGCATAATTGTGCATCATAGAATACCAAATCAAATTGAATACTTTTTGATAAACTTTCATGACCCAACTAAAAAATGTAATTGGTATTGAGGCCCAATAAGAAAGCAAAGAAGAATTAATATGGTACATACAGTTCGTTTTAGCATTAGTCGGACCCTAAGACCACTCCTCCAGCTCTCCTCATCATTTAGCTCTATGACCTGCAAAATCAGAACTTCTCCAGTGAGCAACGAAGGATGGAAGAGGAGCATGCACATAAAAGATAATACTTACCGCTTTCTCAGCTATCTCAACAGATTCATATTCCACAAATGCATGTAACTGCACAGAACATAACTTGAAATATTAGATGCTCATCTCAATCAGGGATTCAATATAGTAGAACTGGAAAAAGGAACGGAAAATCACAGAACCAATCTATATCAGAGAAAAAATTCCTGAATAGTCCAATGCAGCTGTGAATTTTTCGAGGCCATTAGCAAAATACTCAGACCGGCAATAAACAAGAATTCAATTAACATAAGCTTAAAAAAAATTAACAATATGCAACATTTAAGTAAATAATAACCTAAAGGAACATTTTTATGAATTAAAAGAACATGCTTAACATCAAGGAGTTAGCAGCCACTTGTCATCTCATAATTTATGATTTTCAAAGACCAAATTAGAATATACTAAAGATGATCATGTTATTTTCCCATATTTCTTGCTATTGAGCTCCAGTGAGAAATTATTGGTTCTCCGCACTGGAAAGAAGCCCAGGATGATGTAACCGAACAATGGAAAAATGAGTGTTGCCAAATCGAGAACACAAAATTAAAAGCTTCAGAACATGCCAGAGGCATGTTGGTATGGAATTATTTCAAGTAAGAATTTTAACGTAATTTTAGCTTAAATTGTATAGATAAAAGTTGGTCCATACTTCAGTTACTTAGCTTCATGAACACAGTTGAAAGTTTACTAGTGGTGGATTTTTTATTGCATTTCCTTTTATGGGCATTTTAAATCCACATTAAGAACTCCTAGACAATTTTATGAATATAATAAATCAAATATAATATACATATATCCAACTCAAATCTTATAACTTCAACTTTTCTCATCCATAACACAAGGCAAAAGCAGTCTCTTCCTTAGACCACTTGTGTAAGTGTGTGTGCAGGAGCATCCACACAAATTTACCTTATTACTGAAATGCATTCCATCAGCTTTTGTAGATCTTGATGCTGAAGAAGCCCCACCACCCGACGTTTGAGGTGGACAGGTACGAATTGTCTTCACACTGAAAAAGTAAAAATGAACAGAATTAGATGCCTATTATCTACCAAGTTAATATCTATAGAAAATCTGATATGGAATCATCTCAATACCTCCCAACAGAAGAGAAAATCTTCATTAGGTTATGATGACAGTGATCTTCAGGTAAATTTTCAGCAACAACTATACGGGACTAAAGATCAAAAAGTAAATAATAAAATTAGGACTGAAGATTCAGATACACCAATACGCATGCATCTTATAAAAGTCAGCAGGTAAAACGAACAGACAAAAAACACCTACTTGCAATTCTTCCACATCTGACTCGGTTAAGGGATGCAGCCGTCTGACTTTTTTTCCATCTTCACTAACCACCTGCAGGATGTGGAATCAAAATATGTGACAGTTAATCAAAACATCTGGAAGAATTAGCAGGAAAAGGTACCATTAAGGAAAAGAAATCTAGTTCAAGAAACAAATACATGAAAAATCTTACAAGCTTTGATGAGTTCCGCAGAATTGAAGCAAGCTGAGAATTGTTATTTATGGCAGCTTTGATCTTCTTAAAGGAAGCAACAACAGATATTGGCACTAGATTAAGGCAGAGACTGAATTAGAATGGACCGACATATTTGAAATAATAACAGTCTAAACAACCAACTCTGAAGCAACAAAGCCGAATTACCAACATAACACAGAACAACTTGATAAATAAGGCAAATTAATTTAGCAAAACTTTTCTGTTCCACAATATACTGACCCCACAAAAATTTGAGATTCAGGCTAAGAAGAATTATTCTATCCGTGAAATCTATCTTTTATCATACAATATGTTCACTTGGCCTACATGTACAAATACAAATGCATAAAGCCACAAACAGATTTGAATTTGAAAAAAAAAAATGATGAATTGAAAAGGGAATCTAGTGCAGATGCATTTATAAAACAGATAGAAATAATTCAAATCGAACTCCAAGAGAAAAGACATTATATCATGAACTTTTTAGAAGGTTAATAATATTTTGAATCTTGTGATATTATCTTGAGATGACTCCAATTTGCACACACTTTAATTTTATTCCACAATATAACTATTATGTAGGCATGAATTTCTAAAGCCCAAAACTGCAGAAAGCACCACAAGGAAGGCACCATTATGTGAAAACCTTTCAGAATAATTTAAACATCAATTCATCACAGTGGGGCCAAAGACAATCTAGGAAAACTGAGGTTGTGTTCTCCTTGCAGTTGCTTTGACCATAAGCAACCAAAATAAAGTTACAGTTACATAGGCAAAAAGGAAAAGTAAAAAATGTAACGGTTACAGGGAAAAAAAAAAGAATAGAAAAGCTAACACTCATCAGCTGAAACTAGAATTAGAAAAATAAAACAAAATATGATAGATTCAAAAGTAAAAGATCACTGAAAGCAGAGACCTTACCATATCCCTCAGGATCTTTGTTAATAAACCTCATCAAATGATCTGTAGTTGCTAAATTTAAGTCACTGAAATAATACTCCACCTGTAAAAAGCAAATCAAATGTCCCAAAAAAGTTTAACAGCACGCGTTCTGCAACAATGCGAAGTAAAACTTGAACACTTAGCTGGTACAAATAATGGAAAGCAGTTGTTTTTATATTTGTTACACAGCTGTATATTAGAAAATAATCTCTCAGTCAAGGAGATTCTGAAACAAGTTAAAACTACTTATATTGATTACAGGAGCAAGCAGAAATGTCTCGTTACACCTCTCATCCCAACACCCCCTGAATCAGAAAGGTTTTGTAAATAAATGAAATATACAATATCCTAAAATGATTGTACAGCACATGTGCTAGCAACTTCATTCGAGATGAATGATATATGTACATATACGAAATGAAATGTAAATAAATCAGTAATCAACGCATAGATAATTAGACAGAATTCTGTGATTGCTTATATATATAACTGTAAAGTTGTTTTGAGGCAGTAGAGAAAAGCACAAATTGCAGACATGTTTAAAGTGTAGATCCTTCCACCTTTAAACCAATTTGTGAGGGAAAGAAGAAATTTAGCCAAATACATATTATCAAACAGTAAGAAAAGAAAACTTTTACTCAAATACAGGAACTGACGTGATAACAAATTTTGATGAAAATTAGAAAGAGTATTTGATACAATAGATGATATATTAGAGTTTATAAAAAAGAAAAGAGAGACTGAAATAGGATAATAGTCGCAATCTGATGTGAAATTCCAAAATTCATGTAGGAGAGGAAAGGAAAGCTATGATTAATGTAAAACAACAAAATTGCACAAACCAGAATTAGTTGTTTTACAAAATACCTAAAATTAAACTTAAACACTTTTAAAACAAACATTTTCTGTCTTTTATTTTTAAACAGGAAACCAAAAGCAGAAACAATAACAAACAGTACCTAAATTGTTTTCTTCCACAAGTTTGCAATTTTTTGGCCAAAATTTCAATACTTAAAATTTGGAGAATCTTATGAAAAATAAAGGGTGTCCCAGTGCACAAGGCCTCCTGGATCATGGACATTAGCAAAGGTCAAATGCAAATATCCTTCCACTTTCACATTACGGAGACCATTTTTAGGGTGTGAATATTTGCAGTGTCTAGACAATCAAAAGGGGAGGAAAAAAAAATAAGGTGGCTCTTTTTTTTTTTTTTTTTTTTTCCTTCCACTTTCACATTTACGGAGGGACATTTTTAGGGGTGTGAATATTTGCAGTGTCTAGACAATCAAAAGGGGAGGACAAAAAAAATAAGTGGCTCTTTTTTTTTTTTTTTTTTTTTTTTTTTTTTTTTTTTTTTTGGTCAAAACAACATACATTTAAAGATGCTAATAACTCCAGATAGATTTATTGTAAACCCAATAGGAAAACAAATGCCAAATACATATTACGGAAAATTTCAGCATTAATGGGACCCAAGAAGCAGTTTACCACCCATTCAACTATCAGATTCCATAACTCCGACTTTGCCAACTACCATAATACTATATAAATGTTTATTTGACCTTGTATAAGAATCCCAAAGGCCCAAGCTGTACATATTCTCAAACAGTAAGAAAAAGAACTTTACCCCAAGCATCCATTTTTGATGAAAATTAAAAAGAGTAAATTTGATACAGTAGATGGGATATTAGAGTTTATAAAAAGAAAAGAGGACTGAAATAGAAAAAATATTCACCATCTGATATGAAACTCCTAAATTCATGTAGGAGAGGTGAGGAAAGCATATCAATCATGATTAGCATAAAAATACAAAACAAAAAAAAAATGCATAAACCATAATTTGTTATTTTGAAAAACACGCTTACTGTTTCTTAAATGGCTTTGAAAAAAGTTAAAAAATAAACTTAAACACTTTTAAAACAAAAACGTTTCTTTTTTTTTTAATGAAAATAAATCAAAAATGAAGACAATAACAAATGGCACCAAAAATGGTTTCTTCCAATTTTGCAAATTTTTGGCCAGAATTTCAATTACTTAAACTTAAGGGAGTCACGGTGCATGAGGCCTCCTGGATCTAGACGTTAGTGAGATCACATGCAAATTTCAATTCCTCTTTCAAGTTATGTAGAATGTTTTTATGGTGTGAATATTTGTACATTGTCTAGACGATAAAAAGGAAAAAAAAAAAAATTAATAAGATGACTGTACATTTTTTTTCAAACAACATACATTTGAAGTAAGATGTTAATATCTCCTAATTGATACACTGTAATGCCAGGAGGAAACAAATGACAAAGGTACATTAGATATTCTAATCCACTTGCCGGATTTCATTCATGAAAAATGCCAAACACATATCACAAGAAATTTCAGCATTAATAGGACCCTAGAAACAGTTGCCCACCCATTCAACCACTAGTTTCCATACATCCAACTTTGACAACTACCATTACACAACTGTTTATTTGATATTATACATGAATCCCAATAGCCGAAGCTGTATAGATTTTGGCAAATAAACCATAAATCCAAAAAATGAGTAGCCTAGTTATGTTAATTTAAACTCCCAAAAGGTTGTAGAACTAAAAAGTAAAAAAAGAAACAGAACATAGCTAACGCTTAGAACTTGACCCCAAATTTTACAAGTGCTCGGTAAAGCATGTATAAGACTATAAGATTATTGATCCTGTACACCAAGCCTGATCAACCACTAGCTATTCCATACAATGTCCAACCCGTCATTGCACACACTACAAATGATACCACACGGTATACTTTTTGATAATCGAAATAGCATAGCTAATGCACAATTAGTCCTGCAAGGTCTCTAATCAAGGATTCTCTCGAGCCAATCTAAAAGAGAGATCATAATTAGGGTACGCAAATACAAAGAAGCTAGCCTAGTATCCGTCAATCATATATGGAGAGATCCCAAGAAAAGTGCTTGATCAAGAAATAACACATAAGGTAATAAAAAGAAATCAGAACCAATCTATGCATTACGCATGCAGTTAACTCTTGTCTCTTTGAGACCATAATTATAACAAATGATGACCAACACAGTAAAAGAGGAGGTAAAGAAGAACTAAGAAAAAAAAGATAAGCTGAGATGCTTGAAGTAGCTCCACATGTAAAAGGATCATACGAAGTCAATTCACAAAGAGTGGAGTGCTAGGCAGATAAATGTATGCACCACTAGGACTCTACAGACTGGAAGTAGACCACAGTATACACCGAAGAAAGGGACAGCATATCTGAATAAAGAGTGCATAAACTCTAGGAGGAGCAATAAAAACTAGCCTCACATCACTATTGAGCTCGCGCGAACATTCGATTACATGGAACGAAAAAAGTGGCCAAATGAATATCACGAGAGGACTTACTAGGTCAGCATTTTAGACCAAAGAATAAGCGAGCAAATAAAAAAGAACAAAAAGTGCTTTCACTCGAATTCTTCACACCGAGCCAGAGAAAGTTACCATTTTATGCCATGGATCCTATAACATGCAAATAAAGTAATGACCCTTAAAAAAAAATTCCTTTCTTATTCACTAACTAAGGTCTTCCTATTGCGGAGAGCATATATAGCGATTGATTACCAATGACCACTAGATCCGTTCACTATATCGGCTGAAAATAGACAATCAATAAAATTGAGAGAGACGCTAACCCTTATTCGAGTCAAAAGTTACACTTAGCAACTACAACAATAGGTTAGTAAAAGAACAATTTTGAGAAAATATCAAACACACTCCATAAGAGCATACGCTTCAAATGTGAGCTTCTACGAAAACTTAGAAGATCTCCACTACCATACTGGGTTACTACCAGCGGGATATCACGAGCATCCGATCAAATAACGAGTCACACGACATATATACGGAAGTCATTCTTATTGATCCTGTAGTTCCCCGTTTAATCACAACATAACTTAAAAAGGTTGAAATTATGGGTAATAATATGTCTTCGTCCACTCTGATAGATCTTCATGAGTCATCAATTTCACTCGAAAAAAACAAGACAGTAGAGAGAAACGGAAAAAATTGGTCACAAAAGGTACATTTGGAATACTCATCAATCTCCGGGATTATCCAAAATACTGCTAGCACCAATTTCATTAACCTAAAAAAAAAAACGCTCCAAAACCATTAAATCCCATTGAGTAATGCATTTAAATACTATCTTGTAAATCACCACCAAAAAACAGTTGATACACGTCCTTCCCTAATACCAATCCGTGCTACGTACATCGTTTCTCAGTTTCTATACCTCGACTTTGTCCAACCTATCATTGCATTATACAAACCGTTTTTCTTTGCACTTGTAATCAATCGAAGGGCCCCAAGCCATACACGGTGTTGCGTGAATAAGTACCTACTCCAAAAAAATGAGTCAAATACCCTACTTAAAAACTGCCCAAAAAGTTTAAGAAATATTTGAAGAAGAAGTAAAAATAAATAAAATTAAAATAAAAAAGAAGAAGAAAGAAGAACATAGCTAACGCTTGGAATGAACGCATATTTGTAAGTGATGGGTAAAGATGTCTATGATGAAAGGATTAAATTGATGCTGTATTTTCTTGGTTTCACCATAAATTGACAAAAGAGTGCACGATGTTGCTACGATAACCTACCTCGACCCTCAACTGCAAATGAAGAATAATATATCAAGTCAACTTATCCACCTTTTGTCAATATATAGACTTACTGGTACACAAATGTTCAACTTTTTCATCCTCTTGCTACTAAGGTCAGATAATCCTTTCCTTCACTATTCATAATAATATTCAACCGCAAATTATACTCCATCTGCACACACCATAAAAAAATGCTCAATATTATTGTTACTTGTTACTGTCATTAGAATTCTGAAAATAAATATTCAATTGATGTTAGTTGATTATGAGATAAACTAAAAACACGAAATCAGTCAAAAAAAAAGACGGCAATAGAAACACTCTATTACTCCACTGGTTAGACAACAATTTATCGAGCAATCAAACTCTCTAAGTTAAACTAACATATAGTCCACAGTATAAACTATCCCCAGTAATATAAACTGTAAGTTACAACCAACCCACTTGATCTCAGATAGTTTCTGTACAGCCTCATCAGATGAGTCCACGTCTATCACTTTTCTGTGCACTGATCTGATGAACGCCACATCCTTCCTAACGCCCAACTCCCGCGTTCCTCCTTCTTCGAAACCCGAAGCATACTGATTTGATTCGGATCCCTGAAGATGATCTGATTTCCCATGATACCTGAACGGCAACATAGTGATTGTTCGATTATGGTGATGATTGTTAATGGTTCCGCCGAACCGGAACATATTGTTTGACTTATGATGATCAATGTTGATGATCGGTGGTTATGGCTGGTGGTTGTGATGGTGTGGATGGTGATTTTGGACTTTCGGATCACGTGAGGAACAGGTACAGGGCTATGAATCGGGGACATGAAAACGGCGACGGGAGGAGGAGTGGAGGATAGATGTGGATCGGCGGAGGCATGACGGTTAGCCGACGAGGTGGGGAGGTGGTGGTGGTGTTGTGGGCGCGCAGGACAAAAGAGGAGCCCTGCGCGTTGAGTTTTACTGCAGGATACATTACGAGAAAGTGATGGCAATCTGAAGAAGACGAGGAAAAGGAAGACTTCGAGACTCGAGATTGAGTATTGATCTAGGGTTTTCTGAAGAAAGCAATTCCAACAATTTCTTCTTCTGTGCCAATTTTTTCTTGGCTAAAACAGTACTAATCCACTATTACAGTCTAACTAATGATTTTTTTTGGAGATCTGATGTTACGGCTTTTTTAATTTTTTTTTTCTTTTTTCTGTTAAAGATTTTTGGGATCTCTGGTTTTCTTTCACTTTTCAGGCAGGGGAGAGGGGCCTGCTTGCCTTGGGGCCCTGAGCAGGGCGAGGAACAATGGAGAGGATTTCTTCGGCTTCGGCAGGTGAATGAAAGCTGGGGTATTAAGTTGATTTGATTTCCCCTAATTGTGTAAAAAAAATAGTGGGGTCCATGTAAGTAGTGAAGTGAAATATGGCTCCATCTACACAATACAGTCCAATCACTTGTTTTTGTATTTGCTTTGTTTTTGTTGTAAGGTATTGGATCACACATCAGTTTAGATTTTGTGCCTTGAGTTATGTGTACAAATCATCAATTATTACATGAATTTTAGAGTCTCAAGAATGGGTGAATTTGGTCTTAATTCAACGGGAAGATATATATTACTCGGATCCTTGAACTTTATGCAATTGTCAATTTTGTAATACCCTTAATTTTTACTTTGACGTCATCAAACACTTTAAGTTATAAATACATCTGATTAAACACTTTTATTTTTTTTAAATATTCTATTACACTTCAATCTTACAAAAATCTTAGATTAGACTAAACACTTATTAAATAAGTTAAATTTAAATAAACAATTATTAATCGCAAAGTCATCGCTAACCTATATATTAAATAAATATTTTATATATAAAGTCAAAAATTTCTAAATATTATTATATATGTGTCGAAATGATGTAATATTTAAACCAAAATTTACAAGTTCAAGGTGCAAAGATAGACTTATTTTGCGGAAAGTTTAAAGGTGCCACAAGATTAAAATAGTAAAGTTTAGGGTGATTTATTTTATTTAGCCTAAATTTATTGTATCTGAAATATTCTCTATAGTAATTCCCAATTCCCAAAACCAAATGGGTTAATAAATAACGATCGTGGTCATCTAAAATCTGGAAGCAAATAATTCTATTCCAACTCAATTAAGATCGATTTGATTCGATATTAAATTTGGCTACTTACCAAATTAAAGTTCGGTTTAATTATTCTATAAGAATCGAACAAAAATTGAAACTTAAACAGTCTTTTATAATACCGAGCTTGATTGGTCACCGGATTTCTAAAAATACTATCCGAGTCCAATTAAATTAAGTCGACTTCGGTTTGGTTCTCGTTAGAAACTGAGAATCACCCTCTCTCCAAAACTCCAATTGGTGGTCCTCTTTGTTATATAGTCCCAAATTGTTGGCTTTAGGTTTATTATTAATTAAAGTTAATAAAACATTTATAGAATCTTCATCAATCTGAAATAAATAAAATCCCTATAATATTCTAATTTTTTATAATTAATCAAATTTTTTTCATCGTATTTATTTAATAATTACAGTATATATAATACAAAATTTTATTACCTCGTTGACGATTTGGTTTAAAAAGGGTTATCAAAAAATTAAGAATACCCAAAAGATTACACGAATCTATTGGGAAACATCGGTGCCCCTAAGTATGATGATCTAGGTGATTTGTTCCAATGGTAAAATGGAGGGTTTCTCAACTTCACTTTCATTTTGAAACTTGAAGCTAAATAAAGGGTAGGAAAAAAAAAGTTTAGGGTATATTATGAAAAGCGGTGAAAGGTTATTGGAGATTACTTGTCAAGATCCCTAAAGGGCCGAGGGTCCACTTAGTAAGCGCATGGATTGTTGTTTAGATAAAGGTTCACAGCGTGCACAGAACTTTAAGCTATAAAGTATAGGTGTCCGGCATTTAGGGCTTTGGAGTTGAAAATGCGTGTAGCTGGAGCTTTATAAGTGTGGGCTTTCTGTATTTGGGATAGATAGGATAACCGCCTCCATGTTTGGAGGGTATACAACTCTTAATCCAAAGGGTGTATGCATGCATTGTACATATAATATGCAACGATATTTACCGGAGAAATCAATTTCCGTTGATATCCACAATGGGTCTTGAATTGTTAAGGTTACCACAACCAGAGCGCATTATGTCTAAGTCTTCGAAGGTAGACATTTAGTTTAAATAAATACTAACAAACTTTAAAAATAAATACACACATAGACTCAAAATGATTACATTAATCTCACATTTCCAAACTTCTATCATTACGGGTCAATATACTATAATATTAAATGATAATAAAGTAAATTGATATTTGGTCCAATTATACTTCCCCCTCCTCGATTTTGTTCCTGTTCCATTTTATACATCTCAAATGTTTCTATTTTGATCCTTAACATTTAATTTATAAAAATTTCACCTATTACATCTTAATTTTTCAAATTTATTTTATTAACATTTAATTTGCAAAATATAGATCAATTAAACACTCCAAAGTTGAAATTAGTAAAAAAAATATGTATCCAAAGTTATACACTAACACATGTCAATCAATATTTTGTAGAATAAAAACCAAAATCCCTAAAATTATTGATACTTAGGTATCGAAATGTGTCATAATATATTAAATTACAAACTCAGATTGCACAATATAAGTGTACCATAAAGTATTATGGTAACCAGGGTTTATTCAATAGTAAATAATGAGAAAGTCCAAATAGCCACTTGATTGCGATTAATCCATGTTCTGGCAAAAGCAATATAATTGATTTATTATAATATATTGCTCGAATCAAAAAACAATAAGCCAGATAGTTACCTATTTTGACAGAACAATCACGCAATTAGTAAAAGAAAGTATCGTATAACTAACTCATGTCACACACGTTAATCCTCATATCATTTAAGAAAGACAAAAAAATAATAATACGAGTTATTTTTGTTTTCTTTTTTTCCTGCTAGGAAACATAAGCTAAAAAGGGAGAGGAGAGACAGTCTCAGTAACCTCATGGGACTGCATTACTAAATAGGGAGTTTATTACGTGACTGCTACGGCTAGTTATCAAACTTATTTGACTTATTTACAAAATTTAATGATATCATCTTGTCTGGTACAAAACAGCTTTTTTAGAAAAGTAAAAAAAACTTCAGTTGCAAATATCCATAAGCTATCAATTAAATATTTTCTGTGTAATTAAAACGATAGATTAATAGATTAAGATGATTGACATGCATTGTTATTTACTAAGTTTTAACTATAGATTTTAAAATTAAAAATTCATACTCACAGATAAAAATGAACTGAAGATTTTGTGGAAAAATAAATAAAAAGCCTTGATTAATTTTATTTAAAAAAAAAAAAAAAAAAAGGCACCTTGTAATTAGATCGGATTAGCATAATCCCATTGCTCATGGTACCAAACATGAGAAACTAAGAGCCTCCTCGTATTTGTATTTGGCAAATCAAATACAAAGATAAAATGATAAAACATATCCATACAATATTAAGGGTCTAGGAGAGTAGTTAACTCTATGATTATTAATCATAAATATTATAACAGTGATTGACAAAGAACAAAATACTATTAATTTTTTATATAAATTGAGCTAAAAAAGAAATTTCAAAGAAAAGACTACCCGCAAACAAAACGCAAACTAAATAAAAATCTTAACCTATTGCCTTTGAAAATGAACCGGGAAAATTTTTCAAGTTATTACTTCATTTAAAAATCTAAACATTAATTTTAACCCAAACAATATTAATACCTTATTTATATATATATTCTTTACTGGTATGTTACAGAATCCGCATCAATCCATTGCATTTGCCATCATGAATAACGGTAAATAATGATAAATAATTTTATTAAGAAATAAATTGTGTGAATTTAATGGATTTTAAGATTTACTAATATGCCGTAAGAGGCTTTTAAAACCAGCTGAAGGCTATAGTAGATCGCCCAGATAACGGGTCGTGATAGTACTCGTAATTATGAGCTCTCTTTCTCCATGCTTGCTCCGCGTCTTTTCTCCCAATAATACCAATAACAAAATAATAGCTCGTAACAAAGAATGTAGAAAACAGCTCGTGATAAAAGATGAGGTGTAGAAAGATTTGTTATACAGGTAGTATCATAAATTGAATAACAAATCAAAAATTATGAATAACTATATCTATTAATTAATACACAATAATCGTTTTGTTATGATTGGAGAATATAGCAGATTCATAGATTAATTAGATAATCAATATATTTTATTACTACAATGTTAATTATTTGTTTTAAATTTAAATAAATAACCAATCAAATATTAAGATAAATTAAAAAATGAAAAAGCTAAATAAGAAGCAGTGTCATCTACTATGGATGAGATAACAATCATTAGATAGTCCAGTGTTTATATAGAAAATAATAATTGTACTTCAATAAAAATTTATTTAGTAGAGTATATATGAAATAATTCAAATCCTGACCTATTTATATGGTAGATAATTTAAGATATATATTAAGTTCAGTAATAGTAGATAATTGAA